CAAGTAAATCAATGTATATTCTATTCGGTGAGCCGGAAACATGTTGTCGATATTTTTCGCTCATTGAATGGCGATATTTAACGGTTTTTTCACAATATTGTCATATTAAAGGTTGACAATAGTATAATTTTTGAATGAATAAACTGTGTAAAAAGTTTGCAATTACATGTTTTATTTTATCCTGCTACTGACAAACCCCAATCAGCCTGACAAATCATTTATTTGTAAGAAAAAATCTAAACGAATTTTTCTCCCCCGACACCGACGTAGGTAAGGTATCTACCAGGGTTGTTGCTGATGCAGGATTTTGTCACATCAGCGGATGCTGATGCTGATTTATTGTAATTTACATCAGCTGATGCTGATTTTACGTTTTCTTTTATACCTACTCAATTTTATAAATTTTTTCGGTAGGTAAATATTATGTTTTCATCGATCTACTTTTAATAAAAGATATATTTCAATAATTCTATAACTTTTTAATGGAGTAAATTCTATAACTATTCTGGAAGTAATTCTATAACTTTTCAAAGATTCAACAAATGCGCAAAAACTAGTGAAGTAATAAATTATCATTAATACTGGAATGATGAAATGGAAACTTGCCGTTAATAGAATTATTAACGGCAAGTTTTATTTTAAAAACAACAACTGAGCTGCTTTTTCAGCTTGCAGTCTGTTGCGGGTAGGTTTGTAATAACTGTTCGCTAGGGACTCTTGCAGGCGGAGGTGACAGGATAGGTACTGCACTTTGCTTGCAATGCTTGCAATATTGATTGACAATTTGTTATGAAATACATGTATTTTGACTGGCCAAAACTCGGAAGCGACAGCGGCACGTGCCATTAACTCCGCCCACTGCCGGTCATGTCGCCACACGAACTTTGAACATCAGCATCTAACATCAGCAACAATTAATGCGGATGCTGATGCTGATGCTGATCTGGAAAATAATGCTGATATTCCGCTGATGCTGATGCTGATATTTGCAACAACCCTGGTATCTACTACCATTCTAATTTTGTATTAAAAGTATTAAAATATACTTGAATGACTTTTCGCCGGGCATAGTGCTAATCGGCGAATCTACCATAATTATGTAAAGGCCGCGGATCTGCAATAGATCCAGTTTTACTGGAGAAAGATAAAACTTAAAAACTTTACTAATTCAATGAATTTGAGGCCCATTTTTGCATATTATGAGTCAAAATGAACTCGTGTTAAGGTGGTGACATACAATTAAGATTTTGCGGGATTTTTACGCTAAATCTAGAATTAACTACATTTTTTAGATACCCTAGCTAGTCGATACGATAGTCTGCCTCGTTGGCCGAGTGGTCGCAAGTGCGACTGCCGGGCAAGGGGTCTCGGGTTCGATTCTCGGGTCGGTCAAAGTATTACTGAGTTTTTTTCAAAAAAAAAATCTCAGTAGTAGCACGGAGTCTGGATATGTGCCCGGTATATGGCAATAGGCTCAGCCCCTATTACATGGGACTCATAACATAAATAGTGAAAAGTGGGTGTTACTTCTGTATGCACCTCTGCCTACCCATTCGGGGATAAAAAGGCGTGATGTTATGTTATGTTGTGTTAGATACGCGGAATTATCTAATGCTAGTTCCGCAGATTTGCGAATCCCTATTCGCACTATTGTATTTTAACTAGTGTATTTTAGCCCACCAGATGGCGCTATCGTGAATATCATTCATCGTCCAATAGGAATTTAACAGCTGCAGTGATTGGACAAATGCTTTTTTAGTGTTTTTGCTCAATGCTACTCTTTTTTTTTTGAAAGGGGAAAATCAGCCAATGACTTTCTCCGCCCGGATGAGGCGAAAGGAGTGTTAGAATCTAACTAAAACGGGGTGGCCGTTCCTACTCCTGGACTTCACGCTGCAGACGGCCGGCTACACGTTAAGTCCTGCTCGGCTCCGTATCGGCATCAGTCCTATTGGTGGCATCTGTGGTGCTCTGATAGTTATTTGAGGCGCGAGCAGAACGCGACGCGCCGTACGCTCTGATATGGTTCTACAATAACAAACACAACAGAAAGAAAAGATCAGCCAAATCGGTCTAGCCGTTCTCAAGTTATGGCGTGACAACGGGAAACGGGTTCCATTTTTATATATAAAGATAAATATTTTTAGAATATATCCTATGTTATGCATCCTGGTGCTTTGGAAGAAATATGACGTAATTTTCGTTGAGTTTCGTTCAAGAATAATTTCTATCCACTTTTTAATAAATTTCTTAGGCAGTCCTAGTATTTAGTAGAAGCTTTGATTTTTTTAACGTACAATTCACATACATACCCGAACCGAATCGAACCCGCGACACGTTACAAAGCAGTCTGGTGCCCAGCCATTGCACCAATCACGTAGTCAGTATTGAAGTATTATTTATTATTAATTGTCAACAGGGGGCCCAAGTGCACATCTTTACAAAGATATTGTAAGGAGGATGGTTGACACTTCAGGTGATCGAAGGGCTGGCTACTACCTTGGGCAAAGGTTAAGCATTGCCATTCAACGTGGCAATGCTGCCAGTCTTTTGGGCACCCCACCTCACGGTAGCGATGAGGAAAATATTTTCTTTGATGCCTTATAATTTTTTTTTTCATTATTATTATTTTTTCATTAGGTATTATTATTTTTTCATTATTATTAATTTTTCATTATTATTATTTTTTAAGGTGTAAATATTTTAGTTTTAATTATACTATAACTTCATGATAATTATAATATTAATCCAGTGTTTTGTAGGAATTAAAAAAAAATTGTCAACAGTGGAATTACCGTTCAAAGACACTGTCTTTCTCAATCAATTATTCTGGAGGGGTAAACGTTTTTGCCATTTTTCAGCTAGGAAAACTCCTAGCCAAAATAATCTCGAGTCATCTATGAGATTATGTGTTATCTGTGTTCGTAGCATAAACTCAAGTTTCAAATGGAAATAAAAATCATAAATCTTATTGCATATCTTTTATTAATAAATCATTATCAGTAGTGACATTCACACTCACATTCCTAACTAAAACATTTGTACACGAAGCTATAAGCTCATCATTCACTCGCGCAGTCGCCGTCAGTTACTTATGTGTAACTTAGTCATTAAAAAACTTACATTTACTTACACCCCCGATTTATATAATTATTACCTAAAATAGCTAAAATTAGAGTCACCCCCTATAACGGACAGGTAGCAATATAAACACGTCACCCAAGTATTTGGGAAACTTTGTATCGTTGAGTTGATTAATGGTGTAAAAATATTGAGATATTAGTATTGTCGTGGCGAATACTACATTGGGAAATGCTCGTCGCAATACTCAACCAACTAAACAGAACTTTTATAAACTAAAACGCAAATAATATCTACTAATAACAAAGTTGTTGTATGAACGAGCATTTTCTCAAAATGTTCTTCCATATAATCATTTGATTCGTGTCTTAACTATAACTTGACTAAAAGTATGTGCAATGTGAAGTTTTATACTAACAGACATCGTTGTACTAGATAAAATCTTGCGCATGCACACATTAACAATGAGATATTCCGTGCTAAATATTGTCAGCACTCAATGTGACACAAATACTATCACATACAAAAAAAAAAATAAAACAAAAATGCAGGTTTCTAATTTAGACGTAAGGGAACAGTGTCCTGACTAAAACTTTAGCAAATATATTAAAACTTTGTAAAATCGTAATAATATTCTTATTAGCCTAGTTTCTTTCAATGAAACATTTCATTTTACATTTTGTTAATTGAGTCAATATTGCATATTGAAATAAAAAAAAACAGTGCAACTCACATATACAATGACTATGTATATGTATGTATGTATAGGACAACAAACATGAAACCTGTTATAATATTATTTTTCAGACTGCTTTCAGCTGAAACTTTCAAGTCTAGCATTCACAGGACAAAAAGTATTGCACCAATCATAAACAATATGATACCGAAAACAATAAAGGTAAAAACAGAATGTATATAACATTTGCTATAAATCAAAAACAAAGTTAACTCAGAGCAAACTATCCATTTATTATTGCTGCAATACTTTTTAATTATTTTGGTTATTACCTAAATACTGTAGAAAAACATGTATCAATAATACAACTTTTGAGTACACTTAGGTACAGCGATGACGATGTATTCGAATATTTGACCTTAGCGTTAACATTATGTTTACGACCCTAACGGACATAATAAAAAGGTATTTATAAACAACCATTTTGAACTACTTAATCTATAGAAAAGTTGTTATTAACATATCAAACTCGATACTACGATATACTTGTAAATATCAACAAACTGTAATTTACCTTAACAAACACATATTACATACTCTGACACGATTTACATAGAATAACACTGTAATTTAGGTCAAAAAGAGGGTCTGAATACTTTGGAAACTAACAAGTATTGTCCTTGAATGTATCTAGGCATGATATCCGGCTGTGTAGTGAAGCAGGCAGGCGAGGTTGGCTACGTAAGGGTCGTACATGAAGGTGTCGGCCGCTACGTCGGTCGGACGTCACAAGCGCGGAGTATCGTTGTAAAGTGAACATCACTTTTTCTCAGAGCCGGTGACTGCATTGTTAGCGGCGTTGTTTGCATTGGCGTTGCCGTAGTTCTGTAAAAGAGATTTTGTTGTTACTCTATGTGGAACATAATAATATAATCGTTAGAATGAAGTGCTATTGCTCAGATTTTTGTGGTTTTTGTACTTTTATTTAGCTGAATTTAGCTTTATATACGATGGGGAAAATATAATAAATACCTTCTAAGAAGCTGTCTTGTGTGATTAAAAATAACGAAAAATATATCGTATGTTCCAATTTATGTCATTAGTCTTTTGAATTCGCCAGTGGGATGCGTTGAGATTTTTTTTATAGTATTTTACAGTAATGAGGTAGTTGTTAAATACTACTTTTATACAAACCTGGTAGTACTGTGCCCACGCTTGGGCGTCAGGTGTGTTTCCAGCTTGGTTACCTTGCTGATACTGCAACAATAACAGACATTTATTAAATATTGTAATAATTCGGCAGTATTCTAAATAGTATAGATAATTATTTAAGATTTTACTTATAAAGCTTATTTATACATTTGTGATGGCTCTGGAATAACCTCTTTGAAGAGTTAAACCATAATTGACAATTACTGATGTAATAACATTCTCATTAATCAAAATAAAGTAAAAGATCTTAAAATGATTATAATTATGTTCCATCATCATATCAGTCCAAAGTCGTCCATTGCCTAACATAGGCTTCTCCAATGACATATAGATAGGCCAGTTGGGAGCGACCTACATCCCTTTTTATGAAGGGGGCTTTTATGAAGGTTGACTGTTAATGCCACTAGGCATTAAGTCCGCCGTAGTACATCCATAGTGCGAGTAGTGTAAGTAATGAAATGTATCGAGTGGTGCTGGTACCCCGGGCCAGGCGTGCTGCTGTTGCTGCTGCCACTGCTGCCACTGGTACCACTGCTGCGCGCTGTAGGCGGCGGGCGCGGCGGGCCAGGCCGCGGCGCCCGCCTTGCCGGCCCCGCCCGCGCCGCCCGCGCGCCGCCGCGCCGCGCCGCCGCCCGACTGCTGCTGAGGATTGCCCCAGTTGCCCCAGTTACCCCAGTTGCCCCAACCTGACCAAACACACAATTTGTTAAGCTTTTACTCGTATTATTTAGTTTTCTACTATCTGTGCTTTGCCCAATGGGAGACAGGCGTGACGATGTCTGCACGTATTTATATTAAATCTTGACTGCTAACAATAGTAATAACATTTACACACTAGACGAATTCCTCTTCTAATATTATAAATATAAATTTAGATTAAACACTATAATTTTTCGACAATAAGGAATAGCCTATTCTTATGATAGAATACACCAGCCTTTTAAAAGGATTATGCTCTTTTCTTGGCGGTTTGAAAGTTATTTTGATTTAAACATACCTTGGTTTTGGTTCCAGTTACCCCATCCTCCCCATCCACCGGCCCACTGGTTCCATCCCTGTTGGTTGGCCTGGTTCTGGTTTTGGTTTTGATTCTGTCCATCCTGTACAATAGAATGTTGATTTAACATACTAATCACATTTTAAGAACTAGGCAATGTCAAATACATTAAACTAAGCATTCACATATTGGTAACTTTTGATCAAGGGGCTACACACATTTGACGAAGACCAAGCCTTGGCCTTTCTGATACTGTGGATTTTTTTTTACTTTCAGCCCACCTGCCAACATGTAGAATGTAGATTATAGAAATCATTCTTATGTAGAGGAGGCCTGTAGTGCAGAGGACTATTACGGCTGTTGATATTGATTATAAGAATGTATTACATTACCTCAAAATTAATCAAATACTCAACTTTAGGGTTGAGTATATATTTGTACATTAATTTCGGAACTCCTAGTTCGGATTTTTTGTGTTAGATAGTCTATTTATAGAGGAAGGCTATCATAGGCTATTAAACGTCATGTTACGATCAACAGGAGCATCTCATATAAGTTACCTTCTGGTTGGGCTGGTTGGGTCGTTGGTGCGGTCCGGGCGCGTGGCCGGGCCGTGTCTGCATGGCCCCGCGCGGGCCGCCCGCGCCGCGCTGCCACGACCCCGCCCCGCCGCCATTGTTACCCGCGCCACCTGTACATACAAATATTATCGTAAGCGGAAGCGGAAAACCGCAAGATTTACCGGGGGTTACTGACTCAAAGTAGGAACAGGAACTGGGTAGTTTTGAGTCAGAAATAATCTTTCACTCCTAATAAGGCGAGAAAACTCGTGCGATGATTTTCTCCTGTTAAAAAGCATTTATTTAACGATACGACAAACTAGAAACTTTGCCGCAAGAGTAGAGTACATTAGTCACCACTAGTATATACTCTTCACGCGGTATTTGACTGGACTATTTTTGTGACAATTTGCAAAAATGCCAGCAATGCACTCGAAACTTCTCTGTGTTGCGGGTGTCCATGGGTAGCTCCGATTGTCTACTATTAGTCGCTTGTTTGCCATCCTATCCCATAACAATATGTGATATTATGTGCACCTTTGCTTAGCCCGAACAAAAGGAACAGAAGGCGTGGTCGGTAAGGCACGTACCAGGTTGATGGTGTCTCTTGTCAGGTCCGCGGTCGTTGGGGCGCGAGTGCCTGTCCCGCGCGAACCTGTCGTTGTTGGGCGGCGCGCCGCCCCGGCCACCGCGGTCGCCTCGCCCGCCGCCGCCGCGCCCACCGCGACCTGATCCGCCGCGGAAGTCGTTGCTGTAATAAGTAGATACATGATAATAATCAACTACCTTTTCCTTTTATACCACCTAAGAATGATAGTGCATATGATTGAAATATTTTTTCCGAATCGCAAGTGCGAATAATGGCCGAAAATGTTGGATGCCATATCTAGAAAGAGATAAAAAGAACGTAGATTTTGAATTTAGGAAATACTCAATTAGTTAGGATTTATGTCGAGATACAATAATTGGCATTTAATAAGTTTCATTTTATGATAGCATTCCATGGCCACTGCCATGGCCGGCGCCGATTGCTTACCACCGGGTCACTCGTCTGATCGTTTGCAGCAGTTTGCTTATTAAAACTGTGGAATCAGAAGTTGCATAACATGTTTCGAAACATTTCAGTGACAACGCTACTGTATGTTCGTTCGTGATTATTGCCGATATATGCAGGACTAGTATAAAATAAGAGTTAAAACAAAATGTGTGAACTTACTCATATCGGTTAGGTCCGGCGGGCGCGCCAGGTTGCGGCGGTCCCTGCCAGGGTCGGTCGAAGCGAGTGTTGGAGGGAGGGCGCGGCTCGCGCGGGCCCCAGCGACTGCCGCCGCGGCCCGCGCCGCCCCAGCGCGCCCCGCCGCCGCCGCCAGACCCCGTGCTACCACCCCAACGGTCCTCTGACGAACGAAAACAATCATTATAGCACACTAGCTTCTGGAAGCTGCTTCGTCCACATTTGGGATTTAAAGTAGCCGGTGTTATATCTACCCCTATTCCCTTCAGCCGTTTTTGTGTGATTGAATAACAAACATAAACTTTCACATTTATAATAGTAGTAAGACAAAGATTTTCGCTTCTTTTTTGTGCTACTAACTTGAGTCTAAAATTCTAAATCTTTTGTCTTATGCAAAAAACAGATGAGAAGAATAGCCCATTCTTCTCATCTGTTTATATCTTCTGCTGCTTATATTCCAGGAATATGACTTTTGTTAGTGTCTTTTTGCTAAATCTCTACAAAATAAATAGTGGCGAATATAAGTACTTAAAACTAAGTAAATTGTGCCCCACAGGAATTGCTGGCAAGAGTGGTAGAAAATACGAGTTGAGCTTAAAAAAAAGGGTAACTTTTGTTTGCCTATTTCTACCTTTTATTCAAGTGATCCAGCCAAAAGAGATCCAATGTGGAATTTTAACATAACTTCAAACATTCAGTGACCATAAAAATGATTATATTGTGCTGTGATCATATGATTACTTTCGATTTTTCGAAATGTCAATAGTACACTAAGTACACTAAGTACTATTGACGTAAACAGTGTGAAACTTTTATTGGAATCATTGTATTTGTTGACTTATCAGATAGAAACTCTACTTGTACTACTCAGCAAAACTTATGATATTACTGACCTCTATCTCCGCGGGAGAAGTCCCTGCGCCTGTCGTCGCGCGGGTGTCGCTTGTCGCTGGAGCGATGTCGCTTGGCGGGCGGCAGGTCCCTGTCGTCGGAGCGGTCGCGGCGGTGCGAGTCGCGCGCCACGCCGGCGGCGCGCGCCTCGCGGTGGTACGCGTCCACTACTGCAGCGGCTGCCTCGCCGCTCAGCTCGGGGAATATTACCTCGTCTAGCCACGAGCACTTCTCGGGCAGCGCGAAGTTGGCTGCGACATAGATAAATGGATGTCAGAGCGAGCGTGGACGGGCGCGGAGTGCGGCGGAGGGCGATGGGATGCCAGTAACCAACCTTTCATGTCCACGATAGCCCCGTCGGGCACCTCCTTGCCGTCGAGCTCCTCGCGTCGTTTCTGTCGGTCGCGGTAGGTGTCGTCGTCGGTCACTATGACGACTGCGACCCGCCGGTACCCGTCGAATTCCCTGAGCTTCCGCCTCTGGGCCGACGGGTATACGTTCGTCTTTTTTTACCCAATGCGATATCGAAACCGCGTGTCGCGAATTACGTCGATCGCCGTCGTCGATTCCAGCGGAGATTATGATGTGGAGCAAAACATTCTCATTATAGACAATGACGATATCCAGCGGTGGCTTTGTACTTTGTTTTATGTTTTGTGGCAGTTCGACACCTAGAACAAGCTCAATAGAGATCCGCGCTTATTTCAGTGGGCCGTTGTTTGGCAAAGAGACCGCACACCGCTCCCGCGCGACTACTCACCTCGCGACTCTAGAAACAACACATTATATCTCGCTGATGTCGCGGAAGCGGTGCCGTGATACATAGCCTTACTCTACGCTTATACATAGGACGTACCTTATGGAGATGCGGAGGTATATGGATGGCATACGAAGCTAGATAGACACTATATAATTTGGCACACAAGTACAAGTACAGTCCATGGAGAGAGATATACGAGTGGGAGGGCCGAACGGTCGCGAGTCGTGTTCGATCTCGATTGTTCCTGAATTAAGTGTGGCTGCCAAAGTGAACGTGTTATAGTAAAAGTGGAAAGGTGCTCACCTGGTCAAGGATAAAATTCCTTTTGCGGCCCTTCGCGATTTCCAACAACTTAAGCACGCATTTAGCGCACTTGGACACCATAGCGTCCCAGCGGCCCTCGTAGCTGGCGCGGAAGGGCTTACAGTCCACCTGAACGAGTACACACGATACAGAACTAGAACATGGCGCACGGGCCTTACACTAGCTTACAACTAAATAATAAGTTTGTGATACCAGGGACACTCCTTGGTGACTCGGACTAGCATACGTACGTCCTCTTCACTCGGCGATCCACTGGTATCATATTAACTACACTGCTAGTGGTGACCGCTAAAGGTCGAGTTATATTGGTTTGTTATAATGTTTTGTTTACAAATGTTGCTCATATTGCACCCTGTTGAAAATACAGAGGAACATTAGTTATCAATGTCACAGTTGGAGCAGGTCGTGATAGTGCTCATACCTCAAATGCTGCAAGAGAACGGATCATTAGCGTGTGAGGACTCGTGTTTGTGATCAACGTGTCATTTTATTTATGTTTCGTTTGCTATACAATACGACTGTTCATTAAACACTTTGGAGTGCTGCGAGAGCTTTTTATTACTTTCATACCCTGCATTCATTCATCTCCCATTTATTTCTATCAAACTAACATGCTTTGGGATTTTTATAAGTTTAACGAGTATCTGCTAGAGGTCACGTGCGCATGATTTATTTTGAACTAAGAATGTAAGAAAGGAACTCATTATAACATTTTCTCTTGCGAATATACGTACCCTTTTCTCAATTTATTATTATTTATCATATACTTACGTCTTAACGAAAATTCCCACATGTTTCTTGTACTATTGGTCGACAAAAGAAATGTTTTGTATTCCTTATACACAAATATATTGACTTTAACACAAGTTAATGCTCACACGCATATAACCCACCAGTAATTATATTGCACAATGAAAAGCATAACTGTTAACATTACTGAGAGAGCCTGTCGCAACATATCAAAGGTCTACTCAAAACTAATTATTTAACAAAACATAAATAAACCAGTGTGTACAACTGTATGTCTGATTACTGTGTGTTAGGGTAGAGTTATATTTATTTTAATATCCAAGTCTGACAAGAGTTTATTTACACTAGAAAGGCCAAATTCCTTCTTAAAAAAATCGTTTGTTTCGTTTGTAACAGACTGGATATGAAAACAAAGGAGTATAATGCGTGGTGTGCGTGGGGCGTACCTTCATGCGGTCGAGCAGCGTGGCGGTGGACAGCACGCAGTAGCGGCGCGCGCTGGCCGCCACGTGCTGCCGCACCCACTGCGTCTTGCCGGCGCCCGGCATGCCCACCATCAGGATCACCTGCACAACACTCACTTGTACAACGTGTTCTGAACGATCATTTGCAAATTGACTTCTGAATCCACGATGAGATCAAAGTTTCGAAATTAATTTCGATAGCGCCTGCATGTCATGAAGTAAGTAAGAAGAATTACGTAAAGTGAGTATTTTGACATTTTTAATGCTTTTTTTAAAGCTTGCGAGGTGATTTTCGAGATGATATAACCATTTTTGGAATAGCAAATCGTTTCCGATCGATCTAAAGTCATCGGGATCTATGTTCAGAAGTTCTGTCTGTGTGGTTGAAATGCTGGTGATGATACGAAATTAGTAGGTATCTTAAAGTCTTCGGATAAAGAGCGAAAAGAAAGTAGTCAAGTTTTTTGGCATAAATCTTTTCCACCTTGTAAATAAGTAATATAATGTGATGTAAGAGTATGGTATATTGAGTAGTGAATGCTTACCTCGCAGTCTGCGATGGTAGCTGGGCGGGCGGGTCCCTCGACGATGTCTGCCTTACAGATGAACACGTACCCCGGCAGTATGGACGCCTCCTCGCCGTCCAACTCCTCCTCCACTGTGTAGCTGAAGACATACAACAATCACATCAGTATACTCCTTCTTCAGCTTCCGATGGAAGAAAACATCGTGAGGAAACAGAGACTTATAACTTCTAATTATAAGGTAGAAATCACCAATCCGACTTGAGCAAGGGGATCATGGTTATCTTCTCCGTATGAAAAGAGATCTTCGCTCAGCAGTGGGTACTTATAGGCTGAGGGTGTGTGTGATGTATAAGTGTATTCTATGGTAGAACTTGCTTGATCCAACCCACTTAACTAAACTCACAAACTTTCGCATTTACAATATGAGTAAAATAGGTTCAATGGCCACAGGCGACCCTTCAAAAGACTTCAAAATGCAACTAAGTGTTCTAGCTTAGTTTGACTGTATGTTCTATTTTCTTTCTTTCTTTAAAAAAACGTTGCCCCACTTTGGGATTTTCTCCTGTGTCGTGGGTACCTTTACAAACATACAAGTTCACATACACATCACACCCAGACCCGAAACAACAATTTGTGGATCACACAAAGTGTTGTTCCGTGCGGGAATCGAACCCGCGACACGTTGCACGGCAGCCGGTTGCCCAGCCACCGCACCAACTGTGCAGTCGAAAGTCGATTTTGACTGTAACTTTTCATATTCGTATTATTCTTATTTATTTTTTAAGTATGGAATAAGCCTGTAAACAAGCAGACGGATCACCTGATGATAAGCAATCGGCGTCGCCCATGGACACCCGGAATAATAAGGTGTTACAAGTGCATTACCGGCCTTTTGGGATTAGGAATTTGGGGAAGGGGAGATTCAGGGATTGGGGAAGGGGGGAGGTAATTGAGCCTTCAGTAACCTCACTCAGACAACGAAACACGTCGGTTTTCTGCTCGGCCGTGGTATCACTCCGGTCAAGCCGGCAGGCAAAATTATTCTCTGAATAATTATTGTTTCATCCGTTTACAAAATAATGTAATTCCGATTGCGATCTCATACATCATATAACGTATGAGAGTAAATACGAAATATTGATGTACCTGCTTAGAATACTGACACCACATTAGTGATATCAGAACTAATTTCTTTACAGGATACTTTACTTTTATATAAAAATAATGTACTATACTAGAATTAAAAATAAAACTACATAATAATATTATAATTTTTTAGTATTCAGAATCCAATTCTGTTGTATCCTACCACTTTCTAACCCTAAGCAATAGATGATTCTGAGGTTTGCCAGATCGTGTCATTTGGCGTTTTGTTGTCTCTGCACACATCAACGAGAGACAAGTGACGATTTGAAGGTTCATACATACATTCAAAGTAAACTTACCGGATGACGAACTGAATCCTTGGGTCCAGGACATGTCCGGGCGGGGCCTGAAGTACTTGCTCTTCTGTTATCTCAGCGAGCTCACCCTCTGTGGACCATACAATATTATATTTAGTACCTAGTATGACAGAGCTTTGTTCCATGTTTTTTTTTAGAAATCAACATTTTCTAAAAATGAAATCTATCTAGATGGACTTATCGCCTCCGAAATCCCCTGAATACAAAATTTCAAGAAAATTGCACCTTTTCAGATATCGTTTATTCACATTTACAATTGGTCGTTTAAAGGTATTATGTCTATTATAATAATGTCGCTTCGTGTGGATATTAAACATTGTACTGTCACGTTTGTCGAATGGTAACAAACGCGACTGGTTAGATTTTTATAATACTAAGAGGTCAACGGTTGGCCACTATCTCGCCTGGTGGTGAGCGATAATATGACCGACGATGGAACCGCCTGTTTTTTTTTAATGGGGAAAATAATCGAATGACTGCTCCCGCCTGGGTGAGGCAGGAGGGAGTGTCAGACTCTTACTGATAAAAACCAACCCGTTCATTCTCCTGCACGTCGAGCCGGAGCCCCGGTAACCTGTTAGGTTCTCCGCGACAACCGCCTATGTATAAGCTACCTATTCACTCAAAACTTGTAGATTACTTACAGTGTTTCATTTCAGTTTTCGAAAATTCTCAGTAATGGAGTAGGATGTATACACTCATACATTGACTTTGGATCCCTGGCATGGCTTGAAATCAGGTCGAGTAACCACGTCAAGCAATTAGATTATGTCGCACAATAGTTATAATACGAAAATATTTAATGTAATTCAGCTTGCGATCTCACATGTTAAAGTAACACACGAGAGTAAATACGAAATATTGATATACCTGCTTAGATTACACATATTACAATGGGCAATACATGTTTTGAATAAAGTAAATTTTGGGCAGGAAACAAAAAAGTTTAACAAAATATATGAAGTTATTTATGTTATCATCAAATTAATCAATTTTCGACAATTCTCAGTATAATAATAGTATATCACTACCAATAACCTCACTACAATCCCAACACATAAAAAGTGGGTTAAGAGATTTTATATCGTTATTATATTATACTAGCTCTTTCCGCGTAGTTTCACATACTCTGCTTGAGTCCTTCAAATCGAATTCAAATCGAACTAGTAGATCCAGAGAATAGCGCGTTTAAACAAACGTATATTAGTGTGTGTTTGGTACAGACCAGGTACAGGTTCCTCTTTGGGTGCGACCTCAGGCGCGGGCTCGCTCTGTTCGGTCTCCATGGGCTCAGTTTTGTCTTCCTTCTCTTCGGGAGCCTTCTCCGCCGCCTTATCGCCGTTCTCCTGTAAAATAACAACATAATGTTATAGAAATCCGTCTGTTCTACAGTACATTCTAAGTATTACATGGAACTTGTAACCTGCTTCACCACCTCCAAGTACTCGATTAACTTATGTGACAGGATAGTTCATACAACAATATATACACATCAACGTGTGTCAGTGTGGGAGAGCCAGGCACGAATAGGCCGGCTCGACCGGAGTGATGCCACGGCCTCACAGGAAACCGAAGTAAAACAACGCTTGCGTTGTTTCACGTCGTGTGAGTGAGGGTACCGGAGGCCCAATTACCCTCCCCTTTCCCAATCTTCCGAATCCCTGAATTCCCAACGATCCTCAAGCTCCTAATCCCCAAAAGGACCGTAACGCACTTGTAACGCATAGGTGTCTATGCGCGACGCCGATTGCTTACCATCAGGTGATCCGTCTGCTACTTTACCGGCTTATGCCATTAAAAAAAACCGCGGAAAGAGTAGGGGAGGTGACAAAAAACGTACGTATTTAATGTGTACAGTTGTAAATGTAACACAAATATTCTATCTCCATACCTTAGGTTCCTCCTTAACGTCGCTGGTTTCCTCCATAGGCTGTGCGTCGTCCTTGGCACTGTCATCCTTAGCACTGTCCTCCTTGTTCTCTCCCTCGGCAGGTTCAGGTTCCTCCTCGCCCTTCTCCTTCCTCTCCGCCGCCTCTTTCTCTTTCCTCTCACGCTCTTGTTTTTCTCGTTCCTAGAGAATATGGTATTTCGTTTAGTAAAATATTAAATGAAACGAAATTTTGTGTTTTCGAAGAAACTGTTTTTTTAGGATGGCAATGGAGTCGACTGATCACCTATCCAATACTGGCAATAGCAGACTTTTAATTGTTTCACACCAGTTCACTGTGAGACTGTACAGCCCATTTGTTCCAAAATATGGCTTTTTCACGTAAAATATTAATTATAATTTATAATATGTTATATATACCTCTCTCTTCTTCCTCTGTCGTTCCTCTCTCTCCGCCTTCTCCTTCTCCCGTCGTTCCTTCTCCTTCTTGGCAGCTTCCTCCTTCTTCCGCTGCAGTTCAGCTTCGATGGCTCGCTTCTCAGCTAGAACTTGTTCTACGGGCACTTCGATGCGGTGGCGGACTGTCTTTGTCTTTGTTAACATGTGTATCTGGAAAATAGAAATATAGCCAAAATTACACATAAAATTAAACTAAATTCATCAAAAACCCGTGAAAGTGCAATACTGGACTATGTGCCTCTTCAATATTAGTAAAGTGTAGGCAAAGTGTCATTGATTTGTGAATTTTCAGAAGGAGTCGACTTAGTCATGTATCTCTCTCTGCCTACCACTTCACGCGACCAAAGGCGTGATGTGATTTTACAAACTATGAAAATAAATTCTTCCACTTTATATCTTCCACTTTATAAACAAGTATATAACTGAATTCACCCAACATTATCATTTATCAACATCAATATCCCCTCCCCTCCTTTTTCAACACTTAATACACACTTAAAACGCTTACACTGAAAACGACAACACGAATGCCATTAATGTACTACTAAACTATAAAACCTAAACAACTCACTTCTTAGGCAGTCAATCAATTTTATCTCAGCCTCGATCGAATACCTTGTAACCAATAAATTGTTAATGTTCTAAAACTCTATCGATTTTACTCTAATCCATCATTACCGAAAGCCGATAATAATAATAATAATTACCGTGGACCCAATGTTCATATTTCATTTTTATTACACTCAAATGACATGAAAAATGTATTTCCTATTGATATCTTGTGTACTATCGAAATACACAAGAATAAACATAGAAACGAAACTGTCCCTGCGGTAATAGAAACCCCTAGCGTATGTAACACTACGGGCTGATCCCCGCAGAAATATTATGAAAGAAATAAATGTTTACAAACATCTAAAGAAAAGTGCAACATTTCGCGAGGATCGAACTCGGCGTCCCGTGTTTACAAAGCGGGAGAGATTCCCCTCCGACAAACCGGGAACTTCAATTACCGCTCAAATAGCACACCACATGTCGCGAATCAATACATCGGGGTGGTAATGCTAAAATTAGTTCGGTTGCGATGACGTCATCTCGTACGTTCATGAATGGCTCGTGCGCGTTCGATCATCGGATGCGGCACTTTTTGAATGATTTTTGTAGTAGGGTAAATAGAAAGTGTGATATACTATCCATACTAGAAAACAGGATGTGTTTATGTTACTATGTAGTGGACATTAATATTGTAGTAATAGCACACCGTTTTCAAAGAACAACGTAAACGTTAACACGTTACAACACTTATAAGTTATAACTGTAAATTAATTATGTATTATGTATGGTAGTGAATCATGGGTGTGGCAGAAGAAGCATGAAAGCAGGATTAATGCGGTGGAAATGAGAGCCCTGAGAAGTATGTGTGGACTAAAATTGAGTGATCGAGTGAAAAATAGTGTTATTAGAGAGAGGTGTGGATTGAAAGACGATGTAGTGACAAGGATTGAAAAGGGAATGTTACGCTGGTTTGGACATGTAGAAAGGATGGATGAAAGTAGAGTAACGAAAGAAGTATACAGAGCGGATATGAATGGAGCCGTCGGTAGAGGGCGCCCTAGACGGACATATAGTGACCAGATTGGCGATATATTAAAGAAGGGCCAAATTAAAAGTACTCTTAACCGACGAGCATGCATGAAAAGATTGATGACTGTTAATGAAGCGAAAGAGGTATGTAAGAATCGTAGTAATTGGCGTTCCTTAGTCTCTGCCTACCCCCATGGGAGACAGGCGTGAAGTTATGTATGTATGTATGTAAATTAAATCTTACTACTATTTACGATAGTTCGTACACGTCGCAACAATAAACAACTTCGAGCACAACACCCAACTTTACCTGTAAAATAAATAACTAATTGATATAATTTACCTGTCATAACCGAAGTTGACTTTGTAGCACATGTTTTTAGTGAAGATGTGAGGGAATAGAGGTTTGCCGTTCAGTGCCGCCTTGTCAAACTCAAACGCATTGCCGAGTTCCTCGCCGTTTAACGTGTAGGAAATCGTGCAAGGGGTAGATTCCAAGTCCTATAGGAAGAATACATAAAATTAATATATTGTGTTCAAGATTTACTAACTTAATTTATGACCATACGCCACTGTTAAGCTTATGAATTGCCAATGCTATGTACGCCATTATTGTCGAATGCATCAGACCTTTATTTTGTTACTATTGTGTATTTTGAATGTTAAATGTTTGTGATGTGGCCGTACTCCTTCGAATTAATAAATAAATGACCAAAATAACCTAATTTTGAGAAAATTTCTGTGACTATCTCATGTAAAATCTTTCAGTACTTAAATCATGATGAGTAATTGATAGTCGCGCCAACATGGCCGCCCCCGTTCCCGCATGACGGTTTATCGCGACTTAGACAAATGCTATTTAAATGCTAGTCGAACGAGTAAATAGAAAAATCACATTTGTAAGTGGTTGATATCTCATTATCTACACATGTTATTAATTTATATAGAATTTCTGTTAACAGTATCATAGACTACTGTATTTTATAAAGTTCATACATATGTATGTATTTATTACTTACCAAGTAAGCACCAACGACATCCTTCTCATTGAGAGTTTTTCCGTATTCCTTGAACTCGCTGTTGGTGAGGGCGCGACCGGAGCTCTCGTACGCCCAACTGAACTCACCTTCACCTATTACATTGTATGTATTAATAAAATTATTCGATATCATCCCCCCGGAAATAGGGTTGCATGGTTCTCAATAGATTTTTTTTAATGTAGGCTTCCTAATATTTACTTCTGTTTCGTGGGTACGTTTATAAGCATAAAAATTTAAATACAAATAATGCACAGAGACAAAACTTCTATGGACCACACAGAGTTTTTCTATGTGGGGATGATACCTGCGACACGCTGTCGGCTTTATTTACACTTCATTATTATCGTTTTCGGCTTACTCACGTAACTGTTTGACAAGGAACTCGACTAGTTCCAAACCATTTATTTATACTTACCAAGATTGAGTGAGGAGTCTTCAGTAGACCAGCCTATTCTCAGTCCAGAGGTGATCTGTTCTTTTTCGCCACCTTCTGTTGTTAGGACCGTGGCGCCAACACGAACCTAAGACAGAAGACGCATTTATGAAAAGTCTGTTTTGATTGTGGATTTTTAGACTTTACGAAAAAGAAATCCTATGAAATAAATGTCATTGCAATCAAAAGCTTATACTAACGTCGTCCTATATTGTTTAAAGATAAGTGAAGTAGGTACAAAACTCACCTCGTAGCAGACTTTTCCTGCATCGACGCCGTGAGTAGCCCGAGTACCAGCCCAAGCATACGCAAAGGCACCATCGCTGAGAGGGATCACACCATTCAACGCCGGCAACTCCAAGTACTGGTTTAGATCACTGTCATCTGTACACCAATATTCAATATTAGACACTAAACTTTCTACTTTAAGAATCATATCCTACTAAAGTATGCGTACATATGTACTAAGCATATAGTATAAGTAGCGTTAAGAAGTTATACAGTATTGTATTGTATTTTGAACAGTGTTACACGTCGACATAGACAAAACGCGCCTATCATGGTCTCGTTTTTTATTAATAAAAGATTGGATACGTAACTCTCATTAATCACAAATTTCGAGTTTTGAATTCTATTATAACGAAGAACATAAAATATAAGAATGTTGTAAAAAAATTACAATATTCTCCCCCTACAATCGGAGGTGTCATATCCACATGCTTGGTAGTTGGCCACTTGGGATGCGAAGATCAGTGAGTGAGAGTGATGACGTGCTAGTCATATAGTAGTAGCAGATGGTTTTAGTAAAGAGTCTGATTAAGGGGGGAGTCTTTTGATGATTTTCCATCCATAGAAACAAATGTACTTTATAGATCACAATTACGACACTGACAGTTGGGATAGCTATCTATTACCATACCCAAATCCTAACCTTTTTTTTTTATTTGAAGTGCCGACGTTTGACCACGATCTCGCCTGGTGGTACGACAACAGTTGGATAACAACTTAAATAAATAAAATACAGACTGTTACTTACACCAAGACAATGTGATTTTGCTGTCATCAATCTCTGGTTCAGCCACTTTAACCTCGGCTGCTTCCTTTCTTTCCTTCATTTGCGCCTCCTGTTGATAAAACAAATTAATTTTAGGTTTTCTGTCTCTATAAATGTTTGTTTTCCAACTTAAACTATCATCATCATCATCATCAACAGCCGGAAGACGTCCACTGCTGGACAAAGGCCTCCCCCTTAGCCCTCCACGTCGAACTATACAAATATTAAATGTCGTAATAGCTTGGAGATTGCATTGTGGTGGACAGTACCTGTGTTATTTAGTCTATTTATCCCTTCATATATAGTTTTTAAAACGGCACTAAACATACTGCACTTAGCAGTCATGTGAGATACAAAGTGTATTTTGGGATATTATGAAATACTATATTATTCATTACTATTATTTCGACGACTAGAATAAGGAGTGAGCCTATTGTTATTGTACTGAAGCTTCATAAACTAGGGTTAATAAAAACTAATGATTTTTTTTATATCAATTTCTATACAGTAATAAATTGTATTTTGTTCTATTTATACGTTTATTCTATTGATCGTCTATATCAAACGTGAATAATAAAACTGCGTTATCTAATGACATATAGAGTTATTTCAAAAATAAGTACTAAATTTCAGGGGATGAATGATCTCATGATTATAACTTTTAGTCCCAACTTGAGATTTATGATGGTATCCAGTCTGTATTAAATTTAAAAAATTTGTGATATCAAACTAATAGTAAGTTTTAAAGTTAACCAAATAATAACTGATTCTACTAGTGGTTGTAGAAAGATACGTGCAAATCAATCGATGATAAAATACGAATATAATCTCCAAAGCATCAAAGAAAAATATATTTGCTTTCCGCAATACTTTTTTTTATAATTCCATCATTTTTCTTACGGTAACTTTTATCATGAGTCATAATAAATAAAGTTCCACCCCTTGAAAGTATTTTAGTTAATTTTTGAAATGACCCAGTGTGGTCTATGTACGTTGTACGTGTATATGCGTATGCGACATACCTCGGGAGGAGTAAGCACTTCATTAGTGACTTCGATAGCCCTGTAGAAGTTACTCCACCGAGCCTTCTTTTCATGCTTGCGCTTCAAACGGTTCAGCCTGACTGGGTCCTGTTCATAAAGTTTTATATTATTTTTTTTTTAAATCAACAACTGCGAACATTCGAGAAAGGCTGACCGTGAAGTTTGCTTACATTTTAATGATTGTTTATGGATTTTAAAGTAATATTACTAGTTTACTAACGAAATCGATAAAGCTGGAACTAATCTAAAATGCTGAGTGACGTGTATGAGTAATGAGGTGTAATTAACTTTTGTCGCTTCGTATCGTTTCAGGCTCCTTGTTAATCGCGTAGTAATAACTTTACGTTAAATAATTATGTTCATTATTTACGTGTGTGAATGAGCGAATAGCAAAAATCCACAAAAACCAAGTGCATGCAAAACAGAAACTAACCTTCAAAAAATCAAAAGACAAATACATGTACGTCTTTTGAACTTCCGAATTCGTGATAACAAGTGCGTTTTTGGAGTTCTGAAATTCCCAGCCATAATCACGGAGTTTGTGATTAACCCGGTGTTTAGTAACAAGCGTGCTTCCTCTTACAATGGGCCTAGTATTGTACAGACGCCAGTATAACAACTATCAATTAGTTTTTATTCAATAGACTCTGTTACATTATCATAAACGAACGGAGATTGGTCTCAATTCCGAAATTGATAATCGATTTTAATCGAAAACCCTTAGTTGTTCTGTTGAATTTCTGTCGAATTGATATCAAAAATTGATCGTAATCTAAATTATTTTGTATTGAGACCATTTATTAATTTCGGACATTATCTTAATCCAAGGTAAAGCTAAAAAAAAAGTATATTGACCTTCTGGCGTTTGTACTTATAGACAGTTAGACTAGTAAATAGTTGATGAAAACAAGTAGGACTTACATTGCTGAGTTCCTCGAGGCGTCGCGCGTCATCCTCGGCCTGCTTGCGTTCCCTCTCTAACCGCTCCTGTTCACGAACACGCAGACGCTCATTCAACTGATCCCATTCCTCTTCTTCCGTAAGTTGACGCTGTTTGAAAATGTTAATAATTTTAGACCCCAGTATAACCGTGGCCCGAAGTAAGAATTAGAAAAGGAGACAAACTAATGTAATTGAAAAACTGTTTACTCACATAAATAACTGATAAAAGCTCTTCTAGATGCGGACGTCGCAACGTCCGCGCACGCTACTAAATAGTAAGAGTCCAGTTATGACTTGAAAATAGTAGAGCTTTTTTCAGTTATACGTGAGTAAACCGATGTTTCAATTAATAAAAAAAAAGAGTGTTAAAAATTAAAGTGAGAACTAATGAAAGGAGGAAAGGATACACAATGTGCGAACTTCCACGAAAATTCTGCCTATCTTTTGTGCCGAATATAGTTTAATATTATTTTATAGTTACAAATAATAGAACTCACCTCTTTCTTGCTATCTTTATCTTTGTCTTCTCCTTCTTTCTCCTCATTAACCCCTTCCTTCTCTTCTTTCTTTTCCGGCTCCTCACTCGCTTGTGGTGGGTTTTCTTGCACATCCATTGGTTCTATAAAGAAAAATAACATTACAGTATTCCAATTTACTAATTACTTTAAACATAAATGTTAATGTGATGTACTATCAACATAAATGTAACATGTAATTTAAAAGTAAATGTTAACTAATGCTTACCAGCCTCTGGTTGTTTTGCTGGCACTATGCTCCTGAAACAAGAAAAGGAGAATAAATTAATAAAACAAAGTCTTTTAATAAACCTGTTATTTTCCCTAAATAAAATATGTAGGCCAGTGACAAATTTATATTGGGAAACAATATAGTTAACCTTTTTGTGTAAGATTAATAGATTTTACTCGATAGTCCTTCAATCAATGTTCAGTTACACAATTGAGATCATATTATTTAATTAAATTAAATCTTTAATAAAAATATTTCAATTTCTATGAGTTTAGGTGACAAGTAATGCATATTTTGACAAACACATTGTCTTGTCTGTAGATTTACATACATATACCGCCAGAAAATATCAATGCATGAAATGATGAATGTGTAACGCATACACTCTTCTAAGTAACAGTAACAAACTAGTCACGGGTGTCTGAAGGCTTTTTAATTATATTGAGTACACATGTCATTATCATAATAAAAATATAACAGACCAAAGTAAATAGAGCTTGCATATTGAGGGTTCCTTATAAACTTTTAACATACAATTCTTTGTCTTATTAGAACATTGTGTACTACATAACATCATATCATCACGCCTTTTATCTCCGAAGGGGTAGGCAAAGGTGCACATAACGGCACTTAATGCCACTGTACAATGTAAAACTCACTTTGAGTCCCATGTAATAGGGGGTGAGCCTATTGCCATATAGGTACCGGGCATATTTCCAGACTCCGTGCTACTATTGCGAATTTTTGACTTTGTCCGGCCCCGGGAATCGAACCCGAGACCCCTTGACCACAGTCGCAGTTGCGACCACTCGGCCAACGAGTCACAATGTGTATTATAAAAAATTAAAGTAATTTTAATACTAACACACTTGAAATCAACTTGCAAACAACCACACAGACAGTAAGTATCCTTATGCACAGATCCCCATTGACCTAAAAAGAGTATCTTTAAATAGACCACTGTAGTGGATGTTTCATTATGAATAATTGAGTAGAAATTGATGTTTTATCAAACAACCACATCGCACGCGACCTTGGTACAATCTATTTTATAAATGTATGAACTAAAAATATGTAAATTATCATAAAGTTTTAATGTTCATATATTTGAATTATACATTTTTGAAAGTTTGCTAATTAAGCTTCACTTAATTCACTGACTCTTGTACCTACCTATACATAACCACTGATATGATTCAATTAGATATCAAAAAAGTATCCTCCATAAACCAAGTTTTTAAGCTTATTTTTGTTTTTCAACTTACTCGTTTTCAGGTTCAGGTTCTGCTTCCTTTTCAGCCGGTGCTGCGACGGGTGCAGGAACAGGAGCTGGGACGGGGGCTGGCGCGGGAGCCGGCGCTGGTGCTGCCGCTGGAGCGGGCGCCGCGACTGGTGCTGGCGCTGCGACTGGTTCGGGGGCCTTCACGGGTGACGGGGCAGGCGCCGGCTCGGGCGCCGCCACCGGCTGAGGAGCCGGTGTAGGGGTTGGTGCTGCCTCCTTAGCCGGGGCGTCATTGTCAGAGTCCTCTTGACTTGGAGAATATGGCTCCCCTGGCTTTGGTTCCTCTGGTATAGGCTCAGGTGGCTCTTCACGTACCGGAGGCTAGTATAATTAAATAATGTCTATTATATTTACATAGATGATGCATGTTTTCCTTTATAACACAATGTGTATCTGGTATAATTAGGCCAAAAAATAAATTCCCCATAATCATGGTCTGTGTAACCACAATAAAGTTATAACTACTATACTAATTTTTATTTGGTTTTCTCTAGTGGATCACTTAATACTTTCGAAAGGTTTATTTTAAGAAACTAAGCAATTTATTAATATTTTAATGTGGAAGAAAACTACAAGCATATAAAGGTACTTACAGGTACTTTAGCAGGTGTGGCAGCGAGTCGTGATGATGAGGAGCGTCGAGTGGTCCTAGGAGCAGGTACAGCTCGTCTCGGAGTCGCCGGCTCGTCACTGTCCTCTGTAGATGTGTCCAGTATAGTTGTATCCGCAAGAACTGTCAACAACACAAGGAATAATGATAGATCAAATTCATTCAGTAAAGAAGTTACAAAATAGTATTTCTTAAAAAAGAAACATAAATAGAACTTTTACATAAGTTTGACAGTGTAGTTTCTTGTTTATGGTGTAGTGGCATTTCTTTTTTGTATTGCTATGTCGACCATTGTAAATAATTATTATGTACAAGTGTGAATAAATAAAGTACCTACTAGCAATTATATTTTATTACATTTTATTTAACTACATACAAAACATCAAAAAGTTTAAATTTGAAAAGAAATATTTTAGTAACTTAACAATTCAGTTATTCTAAATATGAGCATATGTATGGCTTATAGATTTTCCCTCGGATCTCAACATAATTGACTAAGGGCTAATTTCACCACAGACAAATAATGTTTTTCTATTTTGTATATGTTATTTACTGTCAGGTAGCCAAATGTATATTTCACTAACTACTTGTCCTATGAATAAGACAATATAATTACGACAGTTAAGATTGATATGGCCGATTGTGAAGGAATAAGGCCCACTCTGAAGTTTCTGGTTTCATTGTCACAGAATCTTTGCAAGAAGACATAGTATAAAGAACACAGTAGGTTATCTAAGGCCGCCCGCCGAGTTATTAGCCTACTCTTGCGTTGATCCCCAGGGTTGTCACTTTTACTTTTAGTTAATATTTTCGAACAAGCAGCACTTGATCTAAATTTATGAAATGAAAAGCATATTATGATTGAATATTTTATCAATTTATAAATTTAGTAAAAATTAAAAGCTTATAAAAAGATTATTAACTTCTTAAAATAAACTTTAGCTCTATACATAGTATTCAGAAAGTAAATTTGGGAATACATTTATATGGAAAAATGCGACTCGGCTACGCTCTTAACAAATCAGATAAACTGTGAAATAAACAATACAATACCACATTTTTTTATAATATTTAGGTATAGTAGGTAATTACATTTCTGGTTGAGTAGGTATCTCATCATCAAGTACCTACAAATTATATTATGCTAGAAAAAGTGACTAGCTTACCTTTCCTGTTCAATAGGTACCTAATCTGAACAGAGACAGTTCTGGAATCGATTAATTATTAAGACACCCAAACACACAGCAATACGTTTTTCTACGATTATCAGACATTTTTTATTTCATTGAACAGTGCCGAAAAGCCGTGAAGCGCGCGCGAACCTCGTACAGTGTCAGCCCTGCCTGGCGCACTGAGAAACGGGTCGAGATTTTGTTAAAGTGTGCGTGCGTCGACGCATAGATACTATGGCGCACACATATAAGCCGCGCGCGGAGCATTTGTATGAAGATAACCTACTTTGTTCTTTATACTATGAAGAAGATCTGCTAAATTTAACCAGATTCACTAGCAAATCTTTTCTGGCAAGATTTGCCAGTTCGGACTGCATTTCGTATTCAACATTATATTTAAAACTCAAGTTTAATATTAATACTGCTACATACAAATCACCACAACACACAACACAAATGGATCAAAACAATGCAAACATTTGTCGTTTGTTGCCATATCAAATGACATATAATTCAACTGTAGTACAAATTTTGTTCATGCTTCGTGTATATACATATCACTGACAACTAGGAAAATATTTGGTTTTTCTACTAAAGGAATGAATGATTGAAGCATGGATTTCTGCAAACTAACACCTGATTCTAGTCAATATATGATATATTTATCTTGTTTGTATAATATTGTCATTCCTTAACTCAAATTTGTAAAATTGTTCTGAATAATAACTAGTCTTAGGTCAGTTTATCGGCGGTTATAACATGGTGAAATGTAGAATAAGGTAACCCAAGATTAAATGAAGCAAAGAATTTACTCCTGGTATCTGTTATTCTCAGATAACTATGACATTGGTGAAATCGGCCTTAAGAGAAATAATTTTATAATATTCTTGTCTATAATCTCAAATAAAAAAATATCATTAAAATGACCTACCTCTAAACAATTCACTCCATGATTCAAATAAAAATATCACAGCGCATTTCTCTCGTCAAATCAAAGAAACAGTTGTTATCAAAATAGCACAATATTGTGAAATTATGGAAAATATTTCTTTAGCTCTTATGTTGTTTATCAGCAAGGATATTTGATTAAGTAACTTGTAACACTTACAGTCACTGTGTAGTTGTTATTGCTGTTATCAGAACTTACTTTTACAACTGACCAATTTATCAAGCCCATAATTTACTTTTAGTATTAGCTATTTTATAGCTTTTCAATTTATAGTTCTGGCTAACAGATTGATTGACTGATATTTATGATACTATATATTCCGACTAAAAAATAACTGTTTATTTAGAAATGTTTAAAACTAATGCAATTTTATTTTAGTGACAATATTTTATACATCACATATTTAGGTAGTATATTTAAGAATTTAAACAATGGGCTGACAGGGGCAGGTACTGTACCACTAAAACTATGTAATCATTGGTTATAATAATGTAAACTAAAATTATGAAGGTGAATGACACAATCACAACCAATGTTTATACTCAGATTTTACTGATAACATCTCCTTTTTAATTTCTCTTTTGTTGTTAGCAGATTTTAATCAGGAACAGACTGAAACATTCTTTGACCTTCCTTTGCCCAATTCAATAACAACAGACGTTATCATAATTGCTGATTGAGGAAGAACAAAATACCATTTTACCAAGTTGTGGGCCAAACATTTTTCCCTCCATACAAATTGATCATAATGGCATCATTACAATTTTTGCTAGCATTATAGCGGCGTGACGTCATGTGAAACCAAGCGTTGTAAACTCATCTAACATTTTTTACTGGCCAAAAATGTACACGTGCCTAACTGAATAATATTGATTTTAGTGGAGATAGGGCCACGAAAGTTTACACCAAACTATTCTAAATGACGCCTTAAGCGTTCAGAGAGCAGTTTTTACCTTTTCCTGTCTTTGCTTCCAGTGCTTTCTTCAATCTTTCAACTAAAGCCGGCTTATTCCCTTTGGTGTCCAAACCGAGGGCGCCAAGCTCGGATCTAAGATCCACTACTTTCATCTTCGCCGGATCCATAATTAAGTTTTATTCAGTAGCCTTGTTCACAAATCACTCTGTTTCAATTCACATACAACAGCTTCCTTATCAAGTGTAATCAAACATTACTAGCAAAATTTTACAGTGAGAAAGCGCGAAGCCAAACCAAGATGGTCGCGCAACAACACGTAACGGATCCGGAAACGGAAAGTAACAATTTCACAAAAAACTATTTGTCTATGAAATAGATGAGAAAATCGACTAAAAATAATACTTCAGACGTTACTTTTATTGGCGATGCTAAGATTATCCGCGCGCCTCTAGCAGCGAAATTTAGAAGTTGTCTAAGAACGACACTTTGCTTTCGAGTTGAGGTTAATAAGTTTAAACATAATCAAATGGATCACGATTACATACAGAAACCTGTTTCTAATAAAAGCAGAAACACAAAATATTGTTGCGTTCCTGAATGTAATAAAAGCTTACGGAGATTCGGGAATAAGTTTTCATTTATTTCTAAAAGACAATAAATTTTTTCCCTGTATGGAAAGAGAAAAGTTAAATAGTTGTCGTGGTGGCCCGGAGGTTTAAGACGCCCACTTCTCATGCATGAGGGTGCGGGTTCGAAACCTACCAACGGCAAGTACCGATGTGACTTTTTCCGAGTTATACGTACTTTCTAAGATTATTTAGACACCACTGACAAACGGTGAAGGAAAAACATCGTGAGGAAACCTGAACTTATAATTTCTAATTATAAGTTTGAAATCGCCAACCCGCATTGAGCAAGCGTGGTGATTAATGCTCTAACCTTCCCCTTGTGAGAAGAGGCTTTGCTCAGCAGTGGGCATTTATAGGCTGTTGATGATGATGATGATGAAAGAGAAAAGATCAGCTGTAAGGCAATTAATCCTCTCAGATTTACTCAGCAGTGACATATATTTATTTACTTTTACGGGTATTCACTTAATTGAACTTTTAGATACATTGGTGACTTGTGTTAGTGAGTTGGCCTTAAATGCTCCTACAAACAAGAAAATATTTTCTATAAGAAACAGAGTTATTTTTTATATATATACTTGTTGGGGTGACGTTTGACCACTATCTCGCCTGCTGGTAAGCGATGATGCGGTCTACGATGGATCACGTCGTCCCATAAGCAACCTATTCACTCGGGCCTTTGAAGACTCCCAGGTTATCCCCTCCCAGTTATTTTGACCATGATAAAAATTAAACAAAAATGTCATTTAGAACCATTGGTGTTTTGTTTGGTATGTTCTAATTATTTTAACAATATGTGCCCCATGCTGAGTACTGAGGAGAGTACTCAAAGTTGTTATTCCTTAGCCTGATACCGAAATTATAAGTAGTAACTTACCTTCAAGTGTGGGAGAGCCATGCGTTGGCACGAAAGGGGCGGCTCGACCGACGTGAAACAACGCTTGCGTTGTGTTTCATCGTGTGAGTGAGGTTACCGGAGGCCTAATTAATCCCTAGTCTCCCGAATCTCCGAATCCTCCACAATCCTCAAATTCCCAATTCCCAAAAGGCCGGTAACGCACTTGTAATGCCTTTGTGTTTCGAGTGTCCATGGGAGGCGCCGATTGCTGACAATCAGGTTATCCGTCTGCTCGTTTACCGGTTTATAAAAAAACCTAAATCGTTCAAAAAATACAAAAATAATATTTTAGACTGTGCTGAGACTGTGATTGAAATATGTAAATCTTTAAAATGTGGAATATAGATGTACTCTCAATATATAAAAAAACAATACAGCTAAGTTTAATATTGGAATAACTCCTTCTAGCCTAACAACTTAAAGAAGTGCATCTTATGGTGCTCGAGCATCAGATAATCATATGGTAAATGAATCAGGAATCTTAAATAAATACGAGTTTAATGATGGAGTATTGGTAGATATAGGATTGAATTCGGGTGTAATGAAGTGAGTTAAGTACATAAACTGAATAATTAGTATGAAATTGAATAATTTTGCATTCTACTTAATTCATACATACAAAAAATCACATAAATCGGATTTTGTTTTTTTTTTCTTACTTTGGCAACCGAGTCTCCAACTATAAATCGGATTTATATTTCATAAAAAAAAATATGACGTAAAATATATACGAAAACTGTCAGTGTCGTTCTTAGACAGCTTCACAATTTTGACACTAGAGGCGCTCTTTGCATCGCCAGCCAATAGAGATTAAAGTCTAGAAAATAGCTAAAAGCGCGGGAATTACTAAACATTAAATTAGTTGCTTGGAAACAGTTTATTATTATGATTTAATAGTTTGTGCTTGTTGATATTATTTGTGAATCTCATAAAATTTAAGTTGATAATGGCACATAGGAAACAAGAGGAAAAAAGTAACATCCTTTCTTTTGCTTTTCATGCGAAACATTTACTTACTGTCTAACTTATTTAAGGTGCTGTGTAATTTTCAGTCTTACCCAACAACGATTTGGAGAAGAAAATTATAGAAGCTTTTGAAGTTTTTGATCATTCTGCTAAACAAGTTGTTGACGTCAGAGAAATCGGAACTATCTTACGATCTTTAGGTACCTAAAGTAATTATTTAAATCAACCCTATTCAGATAAGTCATCCCGTATCCTTAAGTTCCTGTTTACATTTAGAAACAAAAACTTTTTACGTAGGTACCTGTTGTTAAAGATTTTCAAGTTTTCATCATACATAACACAATCACAGTTTATTATTTTTTAATTTTAATAATCAAAATCATAACACATTTTTTTTTGCTTTTCAATTCAATCTAAAATAGCTCAATGTAAACTCAATGTAAAATAGTCAACAATAATGTCTCGCATTTCAGGATGTTGCCCTACTGAAGCTGAGGTGCAGGAAGTGATTTTGGCGACGGAAAATAAAGAAGCCACGGGAAATGTTCCGCTGGCCAACTTTCTGCCCTATTTGTGCAAGGCTATGATTGAACATAGGTTAAAAAAATATAATATATTCCATAAGTTTTATTTTGGATAACGCGTCTTGAGATCAAGAAGAGGCGTAGCAATGTACATATTTTGCCTACTGCATAACGTCCTTTTTTAGTAAGCAGTTCTTTAATAAACTGCTGATAATGCCATACATCGGTTATGGTTCCAGCAGAATCACTATTTAATTCACCCTAAAGAATCAAAACTGCTCAGCAATTCTGATAACCTTTTTCCTTGAAGCAGTTCATAACTATCAATGTTTTGTGTAGATTCTACCCGGCAAGTGCGGAAGTGTTACTGGCAGCTTTTCGTTACTTTGACTCGGAGGGCAGAGGCTATCTGACTAAGGAACGCTTCACAAAACTAATGCTGGAAGAAGGGGAACCCTTTACACAGGTCAGCAATAAAATAAATATTGTTCTTATTAGCTAAGCCCGCGACTTCGTCCGTGTTGAATAGTGATTCACAGCTCGTCCCTCGTAGTTAATAGCATGATAATTATGTAGCCTATATGTTGACCCGACCTGTTAGTAATATTCATGCAAAATTTGAAGTAAATCCATGCAGCACTTTTTGAGTTCATCCCGGACATACATATATACAGACAACAATTCTAAAATCCATATTTTTGGTTTCGGTATCGACTGTAGATCACGTAACAAGCATTCTTTAAAAAAATATTCGATGTAGTTTTTACTTTCCTACGATTTTATTATACTATGTAAGTATGTATATGTATACTTTTCATCACAGAGCAAATAGATTTCCGTTAGCGGCTTCGCCTGCATGTAATTTAGGATTTCTCCCAAATAATTAAGTGGCAGTCTGCTTTCAGTCTACAAAGGATCTTTTCTAATTGTTACTGAAATACCTTCCAATAGTTTTAATATATTCGATAATGTAGTAGCATTCAATGCAATTAGAGAACAGAAGTATGAAATTAGTTAGATTTGTTGCTGCTGATTTCAAACTTAGGTTTTATATTAATTATTCCTCATTATAAATGCTTTTAAATCGTATTGCTTTACCAGGAAGAGTTTGACGAGATGATGCAAACTGCGTTGGATCCTGTCACCGACACCATCACGTACGAATATTACATCAATCAGCTCATGGTAAGTACGAATTTCAGAATTTATTGTCAAAAGCAACGGCATTCGAGCAAAATAGATATCGAAAAGAAATTGTGTAGGTATCTGGCAACAACCATCAACTTATTTGCGCTATGCCAATAATTATTAATGAAATAATATTTAATATATGTACATGTGCTATAATTGCATAATAGGTGTTATTCAAAACGTCGAAGTTAAAAAAAAAACATTAGTTTCGTTTAAATATTTATTATACGACATTGGGTATCACGTTAAAATGGAAACAATTCTTCATAAATATAGTTTTTTAAAATGTATTCCCAAAAGTTCTTACAAAGCAATTATATGGTATCAGTGAAACTTCTATAGTAATTTGAGAGTAATTCATATTAAAAACTAGGTACGTCTTAATTAAAGTTACACGACTACACATTATCTTTAAAATTAAACACAATCTATTATGTAAATGACCATAAAATATTCTCATGCGTTTATTAAAGTGAATCTCTCACAATTCGCAAACTTAAAATGACTCTTTTGTAGAGTAGGTAACATATTACTATTAAACTATTAAGTAAATAGCTTAGGCAAAATCTTTATCAGGGCTCATGGCTATACCTATTGAAGTTAATTATCTAATTAAGAAATAAGGTATTCTAATTCTGTGTGAGTCGGCTCGCTCGTCGGGTACGAATGGTGCTGGGCGTGACATTAGCCAGTCGAGCAGACGTCCGCGTCGGGGTGGACCTCCCAGTCGCAGCTCCTTTCAACTCTCCAAGTTTATCATCCTCAACTTCCATTTTCTTAACTGGTTCGGAATTCCCATTCTTGGCACCCTTGGAATTTTCACCATTTCCTTCAGTTGAATCTTCAGGTTGTGAAACTTCTGTTTCATCAGCGTTTTCTACTGAGTCTTGTGTTTCTGATTCATTATTTGTTTCTGTATCCTGCTTCGGAGCATCATCAGAAACTTGCCCTTCTTGTTCATCATTATTTTCATCAGACACCCGTTCCTCCTGTACTTTATTGTCATCATTTTCATCTTGTTGGGCATCATTTTTCAGCTCAGCGTCAGTGTTGCTCGTGTTGTTTTCATTATCTTCCTCAGCTTTCCTGATTGTAGACAACAGATCTGTGATCTGGTTGTCCAAATCAGAGGGGATATTTATGTCATCAGCCGAGTTATCTTCGGTCTTAACTTCAGCCATGCTGACATCTGTATCATTCATATTGTCATTATTTTCACCATTTTGGTCACCAGTAGAATTTTGATTATCTTTGGAGCAGATTCTCACGCTAAGTGTGGAGCGTCCTGCAAAATATAAAATAAATTATTGGAAGATTTTTCTTATGTGTAGCTTTTCTAGTTTGTTTTTTATTTAAGTAAGTATTTTTTATTATCAAGCCTTAAATGACTATCTTACCCATGACTGTGCCGTCGGCAGCTACCATGGCGTCAAAGTCAGCTTTTTCAGAAAAGCCAACAAACAGCAAGTTGTGGATGGTCCTATGTTTCTTAATAGATTTTGGGTTGAACTTATTCAAGAACCCTTGCATCGTCCTTCTCTTTGGTAGCGATGGACGGCCCATTATCTGAAATGTTAAGTTGTATGTTAACATAATTCTAATAAAAACATAGCATGTATAATGCAACATCCAGTGTAGTAGCAATGTATAATCATGATCTACTATTAATCTAATCAATGTGTCCTATCTTCTATGTGGGTCGCGACACTACATTTTAAAAAGGTGGATGCAGACTCAGTTGCAGTTCTATTTTAAAATAATGTTATGATATATTTTATATTAAAATGTTTTACCTTCACATAATAAGGCAAGTTGTACGTTGTACGGTTTTCACCCTCTGCACTCTGCTCAACAGGTACTTTGGCATCAGAATCACTTTTGCTGACAGGTTCTGGAATATCTGACAGTTTAGTGCCAGTAAGCTTGGCTGCCTTCTCATTTGCTTTCATTATTATTGCTGCCTTCGTGCTTTGGTAAAGGGCGTCCACATTTATGAGCTTGATGATGTACTGAAAGAAAATAATCATTTATTTATCATGATGGAGTGTTTGTCACAGAAATCTTTCCTTAAAATAAAGAAAAATTCAAACACGCGTAACTTAGTTATGAACCTCAGTATATAAAACAAAGATGGGTGACATAAAAGTTTAACTTACCGGAGTAAACCGTTTCAATAGCCGAGGTAGCACCCTCCTTACTTGGTGCACTTGTACACTCATGTTCAAAAAGTCTTTGTACTCTTGTCCTTCATCCTTCTCAGTATGATTAGCTTTTTCAGCAAGATCTATCTGATTGTCAGGGTTTTCTGACTTCTCAGCTTTATCGGACTTCTCAGGTTTGTCTGACTTTTCAGGTTCGTCTGACTTCTCAGATTGGTCTGACTTCTCAGGTATGTCTGACTTCTCAGGTTCATCCGACTTCTCAGGTTCGTCCGACTTCTCAGCTTTGTCTGCTTTCTCAGGATTGTCTGCATTCTCAAGTTTGTCGGACTGCTCAGTTTTGTCAGACTCCTCGGGCTTGTCTGACTTTTCAGTATCGTCTGACTGTTCAGGTTTATCTGTGTCATCAGGTTTTTGAGACTGGATGCCATTTTCTTTATTCTCAGGATTCTCAGAGTTCTCAGCATTACCAGCTTCAGGTGTTTCTTCATTCACCATGTTTTCGAGCTGAAAATAATAAAAATTGTTTTATTACTGATTTTCAAAATAAAATTAATAAAATTGATATCGAAGTAAGTGTTTAATACTCACTTTAGAAAACATTTCATTCAATTTGGATTCAATTAGAGCAGTCATATTGATTTTGAAAAATTCTCCTGGATCATCTGCAAAATAAAATATATGTATTAATCAGTCTGTAAGTAAAATATTGTTAATGTAAGTAATTAATATGATGTGTAAATTCAAAATTATCTGAACTCTTCTTACATTTAATTTTTAGAAAAAAAGAAAATGAAAAAGCTATACATAGAAAACAAAACTTTAAGATTTTGCAAATTGTTCATTACATAAAAAGATTTGATATAGCTAAAATAAAAAAATGGCTTGATAACGATTTGAGGTGAATATAATATAAGGATAATATAATTTTATATAATAACAAAGATTAAAATGAGTAATAACTACCTGCTTCAATAAACTTAGATTTCGGTTTTTGTTCAGTCCCTTGCCCTACGGCCCCTCCTGCTTCTATAGCTAGATTTAGGATCTCAAGATCAGTTTCTTCTGGGAACTCCTCTCGATAAATCGCAAGTATGTCAATTAAACTGCCAACTACTTTTCCTAACATGACGTTACGAATACGTTCCCGCACGGCTTGTTTCATAACACGCTGCATTTGAAGAGTGCGTAGCAAGACAGCGTGTTCAGGTTTCCGATCGATCATTGCCCTTACGTTTTTCATGATCGCACCCAAAGCCAGTTCCAAGCGCCCGCTCACCTGCTGCGACGGCACGCTATTAGGAAGCAACATGTTCGTCATGTCCCCTGAGGGTGCCCCGGTCGCAGCTGCTACCAAACTTTTACGTTCAGCGATGCTGCGAGACGCTAGCTTATTGGGAGCAGCAGGCGCTTTGGACTTTGTTACTTTAGTTGGAACAAAATTCTTTTTTTGCTGTGTCACTTTTTGGTTCGCGATCTTTTGGCCTATAGATTGCTTTATCTTTATATCCATAAGAGGTGCTGGCTGGCCGTAAGGGTACTTCGGACCTTGGTTTGGAGGACCAGGATTGGACCTTTGGTTGCGGACATTTGCAGGTCCAGGATTATTGTTTGGGTTGAATTGGGGTTTCTTTTTTGGATTTAGTTTTTTAGGGGGAACGTCGTATTGCCACTGATGTTCAGGTTGGCGTTTTCTGCCAAACTGATTGCGTTTGGGTCCGGAGTCATACATGTGGTTATAATCGCGATTGGAACCATGCTGATCGGGTTCATCATATCGCATTTGATCGTATGAATGTCTCTGAAATTTAATTATAAATAATGAAGATAAATATTTAAACAATATGCTGAAGTTAAGTCAGATGTGGCCATTCATTCTGATTACCTAATATTTATGTTAAAATACCAATAAACTCTAAGTAAATTAATCAATTAATCAGGTGAATGGTAATAAATACTTCAGCATATTTATTTGTGAACTTGTCCAATGATGATAAACCATTAGAATTATGTTCACTCGAAGAAACTATTCCAGACTGTGATAAACTCCAAGAGCTAAAAATAGTCACAGAGCAAGGTATTGAACACAGCAAGATTTAAGTTTTTAAATTCCATACACACTGTCACCGAAGGTTTGTCGAAACAGTCTCCTGACCAAAAAAATAATGTTGAGGAAATATTGACCACAACATCATCATCAAATTCCAACTTTTTCAACAATACTTTACACAGTGTCATGGTAGAATTTAAAAACATCTTGGCTGTGGTCGGTGCCTCATCTTTTTCTCAGTAAATATTTTCAGGTTTGGAATCTACCACACTGGCAAAAATATAGTAGTATATAATTAATTCCACAACATAAACAAATAAATATAAAATTGTTTGGTTCTCCTTTAAGTAGGAACACAAATAAAATACAACATTTTTGTTCACTACAAAAGCCTTGAGAAAACTTTGCTTCATGTTATGACAATATGACTTAGAACATGATTGTTGACTACACAGCAAGTTTGATAACAATATTTGGTACCAAACTAGTTGGTAGGTCAACAACTTTAATTGTAGGTCTCACATACACTCAGTTTTAGGCACTGCAAGTTGGGGTGTAGTAATATGAATATTCTAAAACAACTATTTAATACAACTTTCTATGATACTTTATAAACTGATTACCAAAAGCTAATAAATACTGAAACAACTGGCATGCCTGCAAATTAGAGGTGAGAGAAGGGAAAAGTAACTATAGACATACCGAAGACTTGAACTGTTGCTCCATTACCAGCAACTGTTGTTGTTGTTCAATCATTTCACGTTTGCGTTTCAGGAGCTCAAGCTCCAAATCAATGTCCTGATAAAATAATATTGTATTTTAGTATGAGGATATGATGAGGAAGTCTGATCTATCTCTTTACATGGTATTAAACTATATGAAACACAAATTGTGTCTTACTTAATACATGCTCTCATAAACCATTGGATAAGAAAATGGAAATCATGAAATAAGCAACTAACTATATTCAATTGTACTCTTTCATTTAGATAAGTATCAGATAGTTTAAAACATGATCGAATACATGCATGTGGTGATTTTATAAGTATAAGTTAACAGTACTAAATTGAAGTTTAATACTTATTTCCATGTAATCTAAAAAGTTTGAGAAATGACATTATTGTGTTCATTTAGTTTAGAGTATTATCAACCATTTAATTAAAATTGTGTTTATATATATATAATAATCTCTTCATTTAAAACGTAGCTTCGGAGAAATTGATTAAACTGTCAAACACCAAGCGGTCACCGGTGACCGCGATCTATTGTTCTTTAATTGTGTCTATAAAACCGGTACTCGACGAGTTAAATATATTTAAATTTTATAAGTATTGTATTTAATCTACGTAGACATTGAAGGCTACAATATTTTTACGTGACGTATTCGATAGTTACATGCCATACATTTTATTAAGAAGTTAAACGATAAACAAGGTATTAAAGTAGGTCTCCTTTGCCTCTATACCATTATTATGCATTTTGATTAAGCGTTAGGTTATACGTGGTAATTAATTTTATGATTTACCTGCAAATGTTCCGTCATTAGAGGCCCGTGATTGCTGTTCATATTGTTACCACGACGTCCTAAACTGCGCCGCATTTTGAGGTTTAGATATTATATTATCTTCAGCTTTTAATTAACAACTAGAAACTCGTAAGAAGGAATGTTGAAAATGTTTCGACCGAACTGAATGACTGAAAGTTGACAAGCCGAAAGTCGCCGCGTCCACCATTCATGTACTGTTATTTGTGTGTTGCCAAGTTAGTTAACACATTTTGCCTACAAATATTATTACAAAAGATTATAAAAGTTTAGTAAAGCGCTTTGGATGTGTAAAATCTAAAATACAAACATTAGATAATTGCTTATGCGAAGCTATACATTGCTATATTTTAAATATTACATAAAGTATAATTAATTACCCCAAAACTTAAAACGTAAAGGTTAACTTTTTACCTGAATAAAACCAAATTTTGTTAATATGGCAACATTGTAAACATAATCGATTTAGTAAAATCATTGCAATATTTAAAAAACATATTTAGTCTATACTTGAGAAATTATTTCATCAAGTCGAATCGACTAAATATTTTAAACCATTTTGAACCCATGGTCACTAGTTCATTTACTTTTTTTTTATTATTTTAAATAATATACGGAGCAATAAACTGTCAGTAGCTAATGTTTTATTACTGTACGTCTAAACAAAACCTGCTGTGAAAAATTTACTTTCCTCTATATACCTCTAGTCCTTGAATCCCATATATCCATACCTTATTTCCTACAAAACCCATCCTATCCTAACTACATTCCTTTCTCAGGTGGCGCATAAAGATGTGTACCAACTTGCAGATTTTTGTGAAGAAGAGAGAAAAAGGCTAGAGGACGCTCAACCAAAAAAAAGACGAGCCTCCTCATTATTGCGATCTGCTGCAGCTACTTAAATTAATATTAATGCTGTTATGTTTTAAATTTTGGTTAGTAATATAATCTGAAACTTATCTAGTATAATAGCAATTCAGCCCTTTTTATTTTTTTAGGTTTTTAATTAAAGGTACACCAAAACTGACTCTTGTTTTTCGAAGTCGGTTAAAAATAAATACGTAGGTACTACATGTAGACATTACGTCCCCAATTCCCCATCCGGTCCTACTAATAGTCCCTAATGTCATTATGGTGCGTCCACATTTAGCGATTGATTAGCCTCACGCGAGCAGAGCATATACGCAAATTTGGGGGATGAATTGATGTTTGCAGTCAATCGGTTGCTAGATTTATTTAACCTTTTGAATGCACCGATATGAGACACAATAGAAAATATTGTCTCGCGTGGATCCACGTCTTAGACACACGAAAGGTTAAATGAAAAACGGTTTCTTTCCCAAACTTGGTGTTTTTCTGTCAAACGGACGAAAGTCAGACGGACAGACGAGGGTCTGATCCTAGGTCTTTGGCTTTAGCCTAAAATTATAACATGACCTTAATATTTGAAATTATACATTCTTTTTACATAATTATACTAAAGTAAACATTTTTTTCAGGTGGAAGATGAAGTTGCAGAAAACCAGGAACCACCGAAATAAAAGATATTATTATTTGGCAACCCAGAACACTCACTAAATACTCAATGTAGAAAAAAAAAACTAAAATAAAAACTCAATTTATTATCTACTTTTTTATTTGACTTTATTATAAGTAACCAATTTACATAATCAATATAAAATTGACTTTTAAGGACTAAGGTCCGAAGAATGTTTCTATATATTTCTAGATTTTACAAATCTACTTAAATTAATGCTTAAGTAACTATTCATCCTCGGATCCACTGCACTCATCTAGTACAATACCCTCGGACATAAGCGCAAGGATATCTTGGTCGTCCAATTCATCATTATCGCTTTCAACCTTGCTTTCATTTTTATTATTAACTTTGATTGTTTTTGCTTGAGTAGGAATTGGTTTCTTTATGGTCGTATTAGGGGTTGGTTTCTTTGCTATGTTATTGGCATTAGAGTTTGGTTTCTTTATTTCTTTACTTTCAACAGGCTTAGCTACATTCTTGACTGGCATTGCTTTCGTTACAATCTTATTTGCTACAACCTTTTTTTCAGCAGGCTTGTTGGCCACTGCAGGTTTATTAGCTACCTTGGCACTGTTTACTGATGGTTTATTTCCGACTGCTACCTTCGTAACAGGTTTTTCCGCTGGCTTCTCATTATCTGCTTTATTGACAGTTGGTTTTTGATTAACTACTTTATTAGTAGTAGGTTTCTCGTTAGCTGCTTTATTAGCTGTTGGTTTGTCACCATCAGCTTTATTAGCTACTGGCTTACTCGCAACAGGATTTGCATCTGTTTTATTAGCATTTGTCTCAACTTTGGTTACATTCTCATCCTTATTTACTTTTTCCTTTGAAGGATCACTTTCAACATTTTCTGCAGGTTTCTCTTTATTAGTTTTTACTTCTGATTTGTCATCTTTTTCGTTTATTTCTGCATTTTCATCGCTAGCATTATTATCATCTTCATCATAGAAACTCGTAACTAGGTTTGGCGGGCACTTGGTAAACTTATAGATTGGATTGACTATCACTTTCACTTCACCTGTAATTAAGAAACATGCATTAAATTTCTAAAAATAAACATAAAGCCTAAAGTAAAAAAAAGTTAAGAAAACAGGGACTCAAATTATAAACAAAAAAAATATTCCTGTCCCGATTTTATTAATATACAATAGTATTTTTTGTCTGTTGTACAAGAACATGAAAATGAAAGTATTGTAATATATTATAAGCACTTCTGCATTGACCAAAATAATTATTTATTACTACGGCAGTTAAAAACTTGCTTTTGATTACACGAGACTAATGTCCATCCATGAGACTATTTATAAAAAGTAAATATAATTTGGAAGTTATTGGAAAAAGCCTATGTCACCAGTAGACGTATTAGTGACTCCTAATAATTATGATGATAATTATAGTATATTTTTACGAACCACATCTAACATCCTTTTCGCTACATATTTTGTCGAAGTCGCTGATAGACTTCACTTGCGCCGCAAACATGTTCACCGTCTTCTCAATACGTTTGAACGCGATAAAATTATATCGCTTTAGGAAATCGCCTAGTTGGTGCTTTTCCGGTTTTCCAGAGAATTGGACCTGAAAAATTACCATTATTAAGTATTTCAGCAAAGTGAATTGTTCAGTTGTCATTTTTTTTACAATTTGTCAATTTTGCGTAATTAAAACTTTAAAAAGTTATTTATTTTATTTTATTTATTTATTTATTTATTTATTACAGTTACAACGGTTGAGAACAAAAACCAATTAAAGTAACTGGAAGTATGTTATGTGATGACGATGCCACTAGTCGAGTTCCTCGTCAAATAATTACGTGACCAAGCCGAAAACATAATAATTGACGATGCAATACTATTAAATAATTAAAAGATAAAAATATAAATACCTTAACATAAAGTGGATTATGAACATTCAACAATCTCTTTGTGACATTCAAGCCCAGAACCTGAAAAGTAAGATTTCATTATTAAAAGAGAACTTTATTTTGAATGAGGACCGAAGCACACAAAAGTGCTTTTCAAAGAGTACGAGTTTATACCGGTTTTAAAATAATCGAAACGAAACCAAAAACTCTGATTGGTTGGTTCCACTGAGCAGGCTTAGCAAAACCCATACTAAGCCCTCAGGGTGGCCAGATTCAGTAATTTCTTAGAAAACGAGCGGACTGATCACGCTCACTGTCTGCTCGTTTTCTAAAAGACTGAATGAATTGAATCAGGTGATCCTGATGGTAAGCAATCAGCGCCGTCCATGGACACCCACAAAGTGGAGTTACAAGTACATACGTTACCGGTCTTCAGAGATTTTGGATTCTTTAATCTTGAACTAAAAGGTGTCTAAGAATAGCAGAAGTATTGCTTACGTTTCTTAGATGATCACCGGCTGCATTCCTTAGTTTGTCGACTACAAGAGCCTCGGCCTCGTCCATCGGATTGTCGGGAAGTTCCTGCCATACCTGTAACGTTGGAATGTTCATTGGTTATTATATATTTTAGAAATAGGTAAAATAGAATGAAGGCTCAGGTAGTCCTTCCGATGGGCCTTTGGTAACGCTAACTCACACGGCCAAAGATATCGCAAATGTTTTCACAAGTTTTCCGTAAGGCTGTGGTATCACTCCGGCCCATTCGTGCGGAAATATGGCTCTCCCGCGGGTAGATTTGTCAATCTTACTATTTTACAATGAAGTTTTTTTATTTTATGATATATTATTATTTTATATATATTTATTTATTATATTGCCCTCATTAGATTTTTTTCTGTGTCTGGATGACATACAAACATATAAATTCACATACACATCACACTCAGACCCGGAACAACAATCTGTGGTTCACACAAAGAGTTGCTCCGTGCGGGAATAGGACACACGACAGCGCGCAGTAGCCGGTTGACCAACCACTGCGCCAACCGTGCAGTCCTAAATTTGAAGTTATAAAAATATTAAAGAATATGGTGTACATAGCTTATCGTCTATGATAATAAATATTTGAAGACATTACCTTTATCATAATGTCCCTGAGTTCTGTTTCCACCATTTTGGTCATGCGGTCGTTCAGCTCGTAGATGCCGCCCTGTAGCGGAGGCTCAACGGGGATAGGCAGAGGTGCAGGTTTCTTCTCTTCTTCTTTCTTCATTTCCACCGCTGAAGAAAGTAGTTTTTTATAATTTAAACAATTGGGATGGTTTACACTCAAAAATAAATGAAGCGACTAATGAAAATAACAAAGTATGACTTTTGATTCATTGTTATAACAATTATGTCAATTAATATTGTATATTCAATTTGACCCGTTACAAAATACTGAATACTCACGTTTTTTGACAGACTGCTGAACAGCTGGACTTTCCGCAACAGTTTTGACAGGCCCTGACGCAATAAAGAGAAACATTACTAAGTCATTTACATAGTGCCATAATAATATTAAAGTATATTTTGAAATAATTCATACCTTTTGTGACTTTAGGCTCATTCGCGATTGGTTTTTGTTCAAGCTTCACCAACTGATCTGGTTTTCGCCTTAAGATGGTTTGAAGAGGTCTCTGTTTCTTTGGACTTAACACTGGCCTTTTCTCTATAAGAAATTAAACACAAAATATTTTATTACTAAATATATTTCTTAGTTACATAGCAATTTGTATCTTACTTTGTGGAAGTAAAGTTCAATAAGGTGCGTAATATTAGCAAATCAATTAGAGTTTCTTGGAATGTAAACTAGTAATAGATCATTTAAAACTTGAAATCATTTAGTACGTGCGTGTGACATTTTAAAACAATAACACATTTTAAATATTTTAAGGCAACAGGATAGGATTAACAAGAAAAGAAGATCATAACATCTGTAAGAATAGGTTCTACAATTTTAATATTTCGCCAATCTCCGCCTTGTGTAGTCTTCTCACGTTGTACCTACAAACTAAACATATATAGTCGATCAAAATATAGGTAACACCTATAACATTCCGGCAACTGCTATAGAAATAGGAAAAACCTCCAGATTTTCAAAATAGGAAAAGCCAACGTGGACAATAGGACTCCACACTGCTACAAAATTTGTTCCAAAATTGCCAAGAAAATATTTACAGCTGAAATTCTGCTATTCATATCACGCCAAACGGGTACCTTAGAGTTCGATTATCCACCGCAGTTCTTTCTGCCGAAAACTTTGCCAATGTCCTAAGAGATCACGAACAATTAACATGAACAATCAATAAACATTCACAATTTTCCTCCGAGTAAGACACAACATTACATAAATGAATCATCATCAAAATCAGGCAAAAACAACGTCCACTGCAGAACAAAATATTCTTTTAGGTAAAAAATATCTTTTAAGTTGCCGTAATTGCACGATTGCACGCCTAGTATTCGCAGTTAAGTCTTCAAAAATTTAAAGGACATTGGTACCCATCCCTCGATGGTTGCTTGCAATATTAGGACACAACATGCTCGTGCCGGAACAAAACCACTTCATCAGATCTCATGACGTTCCTAGATTTAGCAATCTCAATATCACCAGAAACATGAAAAACTAACTGGACTATATCTTACAGCAAACTAGTTTACTAATTTTGAACAATATTTGCAAAAATCTTAATATTAAGTCCAAGTAGAATAAATTCACCTTCCAAAGAGAGTATTTCCACCTTTCCGTTACTCCAAAATCCACTAGATAGAGAAAAAATCATAGAATATTTATGACCATACAAAAAGATCCTGAATTTTTTCCAACTTAATTAATGAACAGAAGCGAGAATTACGATTACGATCCGATTTGGCAGCAGCGGGACTAGGTACAAAAAGCATGTTTGACTGTTTTTAGGCAAACTTACCTAACTGAAGTAATACTGTCTCCAGTAATGACTTTTTGCGGTTGACAACACATAAGCAAGGGCTCATACAAATACCTGAGTATGTACTAAAGATGTCAATCTTCTTGAATTGTTCCAACTTCAAAACTGCGTGCATTTCTTGTTTCTTCAAAGGATACATTTCAACAAAACTATATTTAATTTGCATTGTCATTTAGAAGCACTGCATAACCTGTAGACCAAATACTAGTTTCTGACCTTTCAGTAGGATAACATAAAAACTAATGCTGAAAAAAATTAAGATAAAAATTTTGTCTTACCGTGCACATTTGGAGAACGAGGACATATTCCTCAAAAGCAGGTTGCGTTCTGAAATTGTGGCGGGCTGCGATGCGCTTACATGATCCACAATCATGCGAAATTTCTCTAAAAATAATAATCAACAACATTAAACAAATGAAATTTACCGCATAATAAATAAAAAAATCTGCAAAAATGACTTTTACATTTCAATATTGACTTACTTCTTTCTTAAACTCTCCTCTGGCGAATTGCCAAGCAGGTGGACAATGTGTTTTACATAAATCAGTGTTATTATCTAACGCGTATCTCCCACCTACCGTCTGCAGGTTTAATCATAAGAATTATTTATCAAACCAGAAATGATAGGGATCGTCAATACTACTAAATATTTTCCACTTACTCGTGGACGTTTCCACATCTACTGTAATACGGCAGGTTCTATCACAAACACGGATTAGCAATTATGCAGACCCTACTTTCCTCGCTTTCAAATTCCCCAACACCTTGGAATTTTTATCAACATATGCTATTAACACGCAACATCAAACCAAAATGGCTATCAGCATTTGATGGTTAAAAACAAACATTCGATTTAGTTCAATACATTTATTAAAAAGAACCTGTTTTACATACCTTAATGTTAAGAAACTTTTGTCGGTACATATTCAAAACAACAAAATAAACATTAAACCCTAAAAAACTTAATCTAAGCAAATGACATCATCACCAGAATCTGAATCTAAATCCATATTAGCTACGTCGTAACTGTCAGACATCTCTGCCTTGTATTTTTTTATCATCTCCTCTAGCGCTGCCTCGGTATGCTCCGACTTAAAGTATATAGAGTGCGTCACGTTGCACTGGTCCACGTAGTCTAACTGATACTTCATGTTCGACAGAGTTTCTAATGATTCTAAATCTATGTCTACCTCAAACATTGCTTTTTTCCATTCAGACGTAGCCCTAATAGGTTTCCAAAGATTGAAATTGATTCCCTTCACGCCCTGATTACTCTGTTTGATCCTCTCCGCTACAATTCCAGGGACGATGTGATTCTCGTTGGGCACGACAGCAGTCATTCTGAAATACCGAGTGTATTCGTCCTGGCCACCCTGTACAATGATAGTCTGTCTGTTTACCTTGCCTAAATGCTGACTCAACAACCACTTTTTAGTTTCCGGATTCTGTGGAATTACACCGAAACTGTTCGGAGGGAAAAAACCGTATTTAATAAAGTCTGTCCTAGAACTACCATCCTGCTGATGGTAGCGGAACATTTGATAAATTAGAACCTCTTTTATTTTACGTGCCTGCGTTAGAGTCAGCGTTTTGCAACCTTTGAGAGTTATTTTAACAAGTGACGGGTCGTACGAGAGAGACGGCATCGGAGAATTCTGTATGGCGTCCGAGATCTGAGAAGTGGTAATGGCGGATTGCTGTTTGAGGCCTGCATCGAACACGTTCTTATCGACGGCGACCGCCTTCAGAAACACGTTTACTTTCTGCAGTTCGTAGCTCAGCATCATTTTATGCTTCTCAAGCGCACGCGCGGAGGCGGGAGGCATGTCGACGTACAGCCTGGTGCCTTTCTGCGTGACGATCTTCTTGACGTACTTCCAGCAGTGGATGTTGACGCCCTCGAGCTTCTTGTTCTGCAGCTTGAGTTTGTCGAGCGGCTCGATGTTGCGACTGCGCGAGTGGCCGGGCAGCCACACGGCGGCGCGCTGGTACCACAGCTCCTCCTTGGTGTACGCTAACACATGGAATGGCTCGAACTGGCCGAAGTCCAAGTTAATAAGCCAGTCTCGGGTGATGTCGTCTTTGGTCAGTATCTCGTAGCGATATGTATTCTGTAAACCTTTGAGAGTAAAATCTGGTGCCCACCCCTGAGAGATTTCTGTTTCCTTTATCATTTGAGAGATGAGGAACTCTTTCAGGAGGTTCGCCTGGTGAGCTGAAATTTGATCAAAATCGTCTTTGCACAAATACAGCTTGTGCAGGTCGTCGTCCGAGCTGGGAACTAGTTCCTGATACTGCAGCGACTCGGGAGCAGCAGCGAACATTGCAGTACCCGTGTCGCCGGGTTTGTAGGGATGCATGAATGGTGCCGGCACCATCATGGGCACCACGCCCGGGGGCAACACTGGCGCCATTCCCGACTGCATGCTTAGCATTGGCATGGTCACCAATTCAGGTGGCAACATGTCCACATTCCAACCTGGAAATTTTCAAATATTGATAACTATGGAACAACGATTACATCACTTGTCAAACTTTATATAATATTTATATTTAATGTACATAATAAACAATGACTGGAACTTACTGGATTGGCTTAATTTGGGTCTTGCATCGGGCTCTGAAAAGATGGAAGAGACGTGTGAAGACTTACTGGCTCATGATCACGGGTGAGTCCACTGGGAAGGTGTGTCATGTGTCGCGTCTTACCTGTCTTTAAGTTGGGGCTCGCAGAGCGGCGAGCGGTCTTGGCAGGAACCTCCGTCGACTCTGTGGAAATATTAACCACGTTAGACATTACATTTGAGTATCCACTTTACTAACATTTCAAATAGTTTTCAATTTTATTAATACAAAATAATAATAATTTTAGGAACTTTACTTTGTGTTCGATCTTTGTGATATGAGATATTTTGATACAGAAGGACCGTCTATTTACTCGGTTATCGAATAACCGCGTATAAAAAGTAACCAATATCAGTGCACAACAATGAGCTTACCTGGCGCCTGTCTCTTGATGACTCTGTAGTGACTAGGGAGCGATGACATTACGTCCTGCAATATCTTCTCTTCGTCCTTGTACGTGTACTTGGCTTGGAACTTGATGATGATCTCGATAAAGGCGACATCGCTGTCTCCGAACATGTCGAACACGATGCGTGCGACGGCGAGCTGTAGTTCCTCCATAACTCGCGCCCTGTGCTCCTCCTTGGCCGGCCGGTAGTGCTCATGTCTGTCCAGTAGTTTCTTGCATATCTCCTCTATGGCTTTGTCGCGTTTTATCCTGATAGCAGGGTTGACGGTAAACCGGCGGTCTTGTTCACGTTCAGGTTGCTTCGAGTATTCCTCCCGAGGACGGAACTCCGGACGGCGCATTTCATCCGGACGTGTATCGTGACGAGGTCTATCGTCTCGTGGCCTATCCTCACGCGGTCTATCATCCCGCTGTCTATCATCCCTTGATCTATCGTCCCGCGATCTGTCATCCCGTAGTCTGTCGTCCCGTTGTCTATCGTCCCGCGGCCTATCATCTCGCGGTCTATCATCCCGCGGTCTATCATCCCGCGGTCTATCATCCCGTGGTCTCTCCTCACGTTCCCTGTGCCGCTGAAGATCTTCCTCGCGGTACCTATGTCGGTCCTCATATCGCTGCGATCTATCGTCGCGTTCTCTCTCGCTGTGGTAGCTCCTCGCTTCGTCTTCCACATAATCGTCCCTTTTCTTGGAACCCAACCGACGTAATTCCTCCGCTTTCTTTTTGAACTGTAAAGCTCTTTTGTAGATGTCTTCAAAATCTTTATCGATGTTCGGATTAACGGCATCATCTTTCCTACTGTCTCGGCGGGGTGATGGCTCTCTACGGCGATCGTATTCATCAGATTGTATGCGTTCCTCGTGCTCCCGTGGTCTACGAACTTGTTCATAGTCTTCCCTTTGAGGATGAGGTTTGCGTTCAACTGAAGGCTCTCGCCGACGGTAAGTATCACGGCGGTCTGCTTCGTAATCATCACGTGGAGAGAATTTCGGTTCCCTTTGAACGAAGCGCTCATTGTGGCTGGAGTGCGGCACTGGTTCTCTCACCGGCACTTCCTTGGTGGGTCGAACTTTATCTTCGATAAATGGTCTTCGCTCAGTATTGTCGGGACGTCTGTCGCGTGGATCTTCGTCTTTTCCGAATGGTCGCTGCCATACTGGAACATGTTTGGGACCCTCGTTCTGCTCTCTCTCAGGGAACGTTCGAGTGGTTCTAGTGAAGGACTCAGCCTCGCGTCCTTTCTGTCCCGGCCAGGATGGGGGTGGTGGCGCGTCGCGTATCTCGGGACTGCGACGTTTCTCGAGAGCCCAGGAGCGGCGCGGTGAGTGAGAAGAGCGAGGGGAGGGGGAGTGCCTCTTGTAGCGGTCTCGCAGCGGAGATCTTTCTCGTCGGACTGGTGAGCGAGACTTCCTTTGCGAAGTGATTCCGTGTTTTGGATCTACCACCGCGTCGGGTATGCGATCTCTACCCATCTGCATCCTTGTGATGTCACGTCTGTCGTCATCTGGTTTCTTTAAAGCGATAGGTTCGTCTCTTTGCCACGGTGAGATGCGCTGGCCCTGTCTCACCCCCTGCATTGGATACTGAATACTCTCGCGGACGTCTGAACGGTAACCACCTGAGTACATAGCTTGGTTTGATGCCTGGAAATTGAAATTTAGTTTGCAAACACGAATTTGAAACATAAATGATTACTTAAATATAATAAATAACATAAAACTACATATTAGAGCGGGAGAACACCAGAAACGAATAAATAGTCATTTCGGCATACATGTCTCCTCTCTATATTTGCGAGTAATCCCTGTTTATTTCGTACTTTAGAAAGTAGTTTATCTAATAGATTAGATAATTTATTTTAGTACTAGTGTTTTCATTATAAAATCCTGAGAAAAATCAAAAAGGACGAGGTTTTTAACTCGTCACAACATTTTATTTCGTTCTGTGTTCTGTTCAGATTCACAGCTTTACTACTGCCGTGTTAATTGTGTGGTATTGCTAGACCACTAGACATAGACTCTCGTATCTGTAGTCAATCATTAAAACAACTTTACTGTCATACTGGCTTGCTTTATAAGCCTTTAAGCTTTATCAATTTGTAAGCCAGGTTTTCCGACTGAACATAAAAAATACATAAACTCATGGTCTGTCCCCCGTGGGTGTATACTTTTTGATAAAGTAGGTAATCCAGGATAATTTTTCTTCTTGTGATTTTATCAAAAAGTTCAAATTATTTGTTTATATTTATTTTCAAATCAATTGAAATCCAGTTGTCCACAATTCAACTTCTTTTCAATTTAATGAACATCACTGACACAAAAACAAGTTATGACAGTACAATGTTGGAATATGAACCTTCTTTGCATCAAAGACTCTATTAATAATCTCCAAGCTTGTTCAGGTTTATTAGTGAGCGCTGTTCACTCCGCTCTTACAATACAATACGGTGCAGTAGAGCAAAGTCGGTGTTTAATTTGTCAAATGTTTTCTACTCTGTCACTACAAAGACACAAGACCTTTAAAAAAGGTCTTAATATTTCGGTGATATTAATATCACCACATAAACTGTAAAACTGTCACCAACTTTAAAAATGGCTGCCCCAAACACGGCTGATAAAGTTTACTGATTCTGCGATTTCCTTTCAAGTGTTTTTTAGTTAAAGAAATGACTGACAAATTGCTGCATATTTAGCGATAATAAAACCTGTATAAATTCTCAGCTTCTTGTACAGTTCAGTTGGAGTAATTTATACTTTATGTGGTAATTTCAGCTTTGACGAAATTAACACGGTATCTAACGTGATCTTGTACAATTACTCTTTATGTGCTGCTTTGTGGAAACAGCTATCCTCATTGTTATCATCAGCAACCTCATACCGTTTTGTCATCTTATGCTCTTAAAAAGCTCGCCAATGGTTGCCATCTGCAGCTCTTCATATCCACCCACTATCAATCACTTTTACGCCATTAGATATGTTCCAGAAGTCAAAATCAAAACTTCATTCACTCTCCGAATGATTTGCAGGATGTTTTGAACAGTACAGTTTGAACAGTATGATATATTTGTATAAATCCAGTAGTCCTGAACTCCCTTCAGTAACTTCTGTCGTCTCATCATAATCACAGAAGAATAGAGAATGCACCTGTTTTACGGGTAATTATACTTGTTGGGCTACCATGATTGGTAACAATAATTTAGTTATTGTCAAAATTATACTCCAGAGTAGTTATGAACTCCGCAAATCAGTAAGTCTGACACATCCTCTTACGTTATCCAGGTCGGGAGGGCTCATTCAGTGACCACCACACCCGTTTAAAAACTAAAAGTACGTATGAACAAATTTTCGCTTGAATTGTATTTTTTTTTATATTTGATGGGTCGACGTTTGACCACTATTTCGCCTGGTGGCAAGCGATCATGCGGTCTACTATGGAGCAAGTAGTCCCAAAAGCAACCTACTCACTCGGGCCTTGAAAACACCCAGGTATATCCTACAGGAAATACAGAATCTGGCAAAGAATTCCGCTCCTTAGCAGTACGCACATGTATTTTATTTCGGTAAAAACATTGGCCTTCTTGTTAAATAAATATGATCGACGCTAGTTAGGATTAGCCAGTTTTTTGTCGGCAGTTACTAGTTTATTTTTTGGTTTAAGTTATGTCATTTTTGATAGTTTTATAACTAATCAACCGAGTCTTGGGGACTGTAGGAGTGTAGGTAGCTTTTGTTTATTAAACGCAAAAACGCAAATAGGCGGACTTAAAGCTCGATGCATTCTCTCACAGTCTACTCCTGGTTGGTACAGACCCAGGCCCATGGTATGTGCAATAACATACAAATCATGATTTTTTCTCTCTTTCGTTAATCCCATTGTAAATTTTATAATATTGAAACTATAGTATTTGCAAATTATTTTGGTTTTATGCAGCTTTTATAAGTAGGTGTACAGAATTGGTTATCTTCTTGAAGTTTTCTCGAAGCAAAATATTATAAATAGTACTGATTCATTTCATTAGTAGATTAGTTCATTGTGTTACGGGTCACGAGGTAGTTTTTCTTTTAAACATTTCTGGCCCCACTTGAATTTTTGGTCGGCATATATATTCCATAGATTTAAGCAGATGGCGCTGCAATCGACTTTAAGGGAGTTTACTTTCAAGCTTGGTGTCTGTGTGATGATGTTGATTTTTCCATATAATCCATGATAATACCTTCAGTGTATAGATTCTAAGAATCAAGATAGACATAATGTCACGCCTCTAAATCCGGGAGGGGTAGACAAAGGTGCACATAATTATGTATAATGTAACACTCACTTTTTACAAGTTATGTTTTTGAGTTAGTGAGTATAAAAGAACCACTCACGTCCTTTTTCGTAGTATTATTTTCAGCACATAGAAGTAAATTCACAATATTTTATCCATTTCAGTGGTTTATCTAGAAGTTGTTTTTCTGCTAGAAAAATTAAGAAGCCCCGTTGTTTCTTTTACATAAATTAACGGTGTATATACTTGTAAAAATTAGTCATCATAATTATGTTGTGGTAATATTGTTTCATTCATTCATGCGGTTTGACTCATTTCATTTTAAGTTTTCAGTGCAAGCTTATTTCTTCTTCTTGCATTTGGTCTATAGATATAAGTGTCTTACTTTCTGTGACTGATATAGACATACTTTAGAAATAGATAACAAATAAATTACCAATTTAACAGACTTAATTCAACAAATTTTTGTCTCATTCATAAACTCCTAAAAATAAAACAAAAAGAAAAAAAACACGACACACAATTAACTTGCAGATGTTAAGGAAACGCGTATGTGTAACAAACATACATAATAATATATTTTACAACAATTGTGTTTCACTGAAAGGCGCATTAATTACTTATAATGGGAACCTCCTGGCACACTATAACATAATGTTCTCCTAAAATTATCAAAAATCGCTAACAATAATCATATTTGAGCACTGAAATCTTCTGAAATTCGTGTATTTATAACAATGCGTTATAATGTTACAGGAGGGTATATAAACGGTACTTACGTGACTGTTGGGCTCGTACGCAGGCCGGACTTGTTTCAACTTGTCCTGTCCGAACTTATCTAGCTTGTCCGAGTGGTGACGGTCCGGCGAGTACCTATGTTTTATTTAATATTTCTATTCATTCCACTTATTTCTTCAGAAAGCTTTTTATAATAAAGGTAGATTCTGTGCTTTGGTGTGTACACCAACAATATAAACTAACTAATTAATAAAAACTGTAAACTATTATTTGTATGCATAAAAGAGGTTGATCGTAGTACCTACATATTATCACTAATAAAGATTTCATTTCATAATTTTGAATAATCTATCACAAACTAATATCCATGTCATTTGGAATGCTACTGTGACTTTGGTATTTAAATTTACTAAAGTTGTAATAAAATCATATTAAAACATCGATTGATTTATCCTAATCGATATAGTCTACAAGACATACGATTCTGTTAACTTCAAATATGTACCAAAAATTACAGTATTGGAAAGATGCCCAAATTGAGTATATTTTATTGAAATTTAACGTTGAAGAAAATAGCATTAGTTTCCAATGAACTAATTCTGAGGATATTTACACCCACTTCATAATGTTTATGAAGAATTCCTTGTAAGAACTTGGGAGTTAAAACTAACCTGTTCATTCTCTGCGGAGAGTCCCGTCTTCCAGGAGATGGTCTGCGGCCAGGTGAAGTTCTTCTAGGCGGAGAAACCAGCCGCCTCATTGGAGACGGTCTCTTGTGGGGGGACTCGCGCCTTCCTAGGTGATGGGGGTGCGGAGCGGTGTGATGTGGCGGTACGTGACGATCTGATAGTAACCAAAATGTTACTTTATTTCATTGATATACATATTGAGAGAGCCATATTTCGGTACTCGGCCAGAGTGATACCACGGCCTCACAGAAAAACGGGGTGAAACAACCACAGTATTATTTACGCAGTCTTGTAAGTTCACCAAAGTCCCCCGCTCCCTCCATCCCAAGCCACTAAAAGGCCGGCAACGCATTTGTAACTTCTGGTATTGCGGAGTGGGAGTGTTCATGGACGACCCAGATTCCTTACAATCAGTGGATCCGTTTGCTCGTTTGCCGCCCTATACTATAAATAAGTAAAAACGCAAACATACCAGGCGACGATCTTTTTCCAGTAGGTGAAAATTTCCTCGCATGGGGAGAAACTCTTCTACCGGTGGGTGATATTCTCCTAGCAGATGGGGATGGTCTTCTTTCCACCGACCTTCCACGATGGGGGATAGCTTCTCGCCTTGGGGAGAATCCATGCCTCTTTTCATACTCCTAGAGATTAGAATAAATATGTATCACAAAAAATTGGCACAAGAAACGCACTACAATAATATTTTGATTGCAACAATGACAATGATAACTATTTCAAGTCATAGGAAATGTGTGATATAAAGTATTTTAGTGCTGTCCTGTCCTGTCTATCGTCATTATGAAAGAAAGAAAAAACATTTATTACGCCACGACACACACGTAGACAAGAATACAGGTACATGGTGCGACGCAGCACAAAAGGTTTATCATTTGTCATCATCAGAATAAGAGGGCATCCATAAATTTATATGCGTGACGTTAATATCAACATAGATTCCTAATCATAATTTCTTACGTTAATTTTCTTCCTAGTAAACATGAATAAAACTAAATGATGGCAATCTTGTTATGGTTTGGATAATATATTAGGTTTTTAATATATCAAGCCGGAATATCTGGAAGTCATTGGGGGAGGCCTATGTTCAGCAGTGGACGTCCTGTGGCTGATATGATGATGATGATGATGACTTGGTTTTTTTTTGAAAGGGGTAATTCAATGACGTGCCTTGAGTGAGGCGGGAGGAGTCATTGCATGTCAGACTCTTACTGACTAAAAACCACCCCGTTCCTATTCCTGCTCCTAACCGGAACCCCAGTAACCCGCTAGGTGGTCCGCAGCTACTTGAAATATATTAGGTATGTTGTTAAAAGTACCTGTGACTGCCAAGGTGACGATGACGGCGCGGTTGTGGGGTATTGCTGCCCACTTGAACCTGTCTGTGCTCCAGGGTTACTGATATTGTACGGCGTCGGTCCTTGGAAGTTATCCTTCATAATCGTTACCTAAAATATACATTTATTACTCTAAGGAAGAAACTATAGCTTACGAGGAGGGAGGGAGTGTCAGTCTCTTACTGACTAAAAATCACCCCGTTCCCGGTTTTTTATATATATATGGACATAATATTATGTAGGTACATATGTAAGTAGGCTGATTGTTTGATGTCTTTAAACTAGCCTATTAGTTAGACAAATAAAAAACATACCGATTTTTCTTGCTGGTACGGCTGACTAGGCGGGTACCGACTATGCATGGGCGCCCGGGTAACTGTACTAGTATCCACCGTCTCAATGCTCCTTAGGGCGTGACGTTGCTCACGTGGCTGTAAATTCGACCCTAACATAAGTACAAATAGGACTGTTTTTCTCCTTTACAGATGTCGCTACTTATAAGTTTTGAATTACCAAACTCTGTCATCGTTTGATTTAAAATAGTTAACATTTATAAATGTCTAAACTTGTTTAAATGATTTTACAAATCATTGAAAAAGACATTTTTCATAAAAATATTTCAATTTTATACTCTGGATTGGTTATCAAAATTATATAATAAGTGAGTTCTTATAAGAAATAAGTTTCTTTTATAAAGATTTATAAAATACTTCCACTTTGTGTACGCATATGACTTATCACCCTCGAGTTTGTGAAAGGCTCCTCAGATTCAACTTATGAACAAAGAATGTCTTAAGAACATTTAAAATTTTTTGTAAAGGAAATTAAACTCAATTATTATTAACATAACATTTGAACAGCCTTCCAAAATTGAGAGTTCCAGGCAGTAAGCTACAAGATATCGAAATCTTAGTACCATCCTGTGCCATGCTTTATAGAGCCTTACTTTATGAACAAAAAACATCTTAAATCAATTAATATACTTATTAAGATCACAGAAAAATACAGAATAGACGTTTTTTTTATTAAATAAAGTAAGATTCCTCGTCGGTTTTACTTTTACCGCACGTCATTGCTCAAAGACAATACTGAAGGAAACCACAGGTAACTTTTTCCCTAGAAAAGGGGAACAAGGATCTGTGGCTGTCAGCTGATCGCACGGCGGGTGTTAAACATAGCCCACACCGCCAGACAACGAGTGAGCGAGCGGATGAGACGGGCGCGAACAGTTTCATCGTTTATGATTAGCTGCAACACGTCCACTGCTAAACAAAGCCTTCCTTTTAAGAAGGGTTTGACAAAATCCCAAGCAGCTTGGGGATCGCAATTATTGGGGCCACCGAAAGTTAACAAAACGTTGCTGCCAGCCCTCGGTAGCTTGTCGCAGTTTAAGGACATACCCGGGTCCGCGGGTATACAAAACCGCACTGAAAATCAAACGACATGCGCCCATCTCGCTCACGCGTTAGCAGGCGTTGTAGCCTACGCTTAAAACCCTAACAAATATTACGAGGGTTTCTGTGCAAAGCCATAACAGCAAAGCGGTTGTATCCCCCGGTGTCCAAACAAAGTAAACCCATTACTTTGACCAGTTTACCAATGGTCTATTACAATATTGTGAGTAAACAAGATCACGTATTAGGTCTTTACTGAAAAATGCCGTTTTTAACTGCAATTTCGTGTGTAAAGATCTATTATCATGATAAATATTGTTGAAACGAACGCACCTCCAAAACTAAATGCTTTAGTCCAGGCGTGATGATGTTGAAGGAGACTGGAATTGACGTGGATCCTTCCTTTCTTGACAGTTTTAGAGACAAAGGTATGGGGGAAAGGAAATGCATTTTTAACCGATGTGGCAGAAGCAAAAAATATTTTGGGAACAGAGCTAAGTTTCCTAATTTAGGAAAAGGAGGGATCTTTCAACTGTTTCGGTATCGTGTAAGGTAGACTAAAAGTGCAACAGTTTGACATAGGAACTCTCGTACTGATTTCAATTTTCGTCGCAAGCTTTCTTCGCGATATCAGTTTCTGCTAATAACACTCTATTGTTCTGTCTTTGTTACTTGGCGTCAATAATGGAGCAGTAGTGGTTTATATTCTTCTATTTAGCTTGAATGTTAATCCTCGGCATAGCATTAAAATGTAACAATTAGTATTTTATAATGCAGATGATAAACGGAGACGTGTGCATTTATGTAGCTAATAGCTTTCGTAATCGTATTGGCACTGTTAGTGTTTTGATCAAAATTGTTGTACGCCTGATGAACTTCATGAAACATAATTTCTATATCATCTAGTGTAATCATAAGTATTTTTAATCAAATTATATTAATGTTTTATAATACGTAGAGTAGACGTAAAGTGAAGATTCGTCATATTATAACAATTAAAAATAAAAAAAAAACCTAACTCTAATCTATCCTAAAGAGGTAATCTTAACAACTTGTGTTTATTCCGTTGACATGGATGGCAGGCCATTTAGTTGTGCCCATATATTACAGTGGGCATTCGACCCAGGATTGTTGTTCTCACCCGCCTTTTTCGTCGGTCGTGTCCTATTCTTACTTTTAAACGTATCGACAGGTATACTGTTGCCAGGTTTATTGTTTTTTCCAGGTCTATTGTTATTGCCAGATTTGTTATTTTGTCCAGGCTTATTACTGCCAGGTCTAATATAAGTGCCAGGTTTAATGTAATTATTAGATTTGTTTTGTTGGCCTTTATGTTTGTTAGATCCCCCAAATTTACCTGATCCGTTGTTATTGCTTGGACCTCTATAATTACGAGGTTTATTGTCATTCCAACGACTTCTTTCTAGGTCCATATTATTATAAGCTCTTTCATAGGCTTTGTTTTTGTTACCACCTCCAAAGTTGTGCATTTGCGAAGAAGATGGAGCATTAAATTGATCCATTACTGACATTGAGTTAAACGGAATATTCGACGGCCCGAGACCCATTTCTTCCATTGGTGCCGGGACCATTTGGGGTATTGGTGCCGGAACCATTTGGGGTATTGGTCCCGTTACTACTCCTCCCATTAATCCCGGATACCAATGATCTAATGGTGATGAATACCATTGTTCCATTAGCTCTGGAGTTATGTAGCTGGATCCCTGATGACCAAAACGTTTTGGTTCTTTCTGTCCTGTAACAAATTTCGACTTAATTCTGATTTTAATTCTTCTGCGCGTCATGTAGATAATGCAGTTATTTTCAAGAAGAGCTGGTACTGAGTTTTGGTCTACAGCAAACGTTACAGAAATTCCATTCGAGTTGTCAGGTTTCATATGAGTAATCCACCAGTTAGAAAAATCTATTCTTGGATTTTCTTCTTTAAGGATCTTAATAATGGAGTTTTCATCGAGTGTTGGATCTGGAATATAAGCTACTCCGACCGCAGGCCGATTTTCTTTCATGTTAATGAGCTTAAGAGAAGCCCCCTCCCATAGATGCAAATCAGGCAAATGCGCCTCAAGCCATTTTACTGATTGCTCATTTGTAAAAGCAAGTTTTAAGGCTCCATATTTAGCAGTACAACCAGAGATGCTTGGCATCTCCCCTTTTTCTTCCTCCACAAGTTCCAAAACTTTGTCCTGAAGTTTGTCTAGTTGCTCCTCAGACAAAGTTGTCTCTGTGTCAGTAATACGAATGCATATATATATTCCAGTCTTCGTGTCTGCTTTATTAATTATCTTTTGAAACTTTTCTGCTCTAGCCTGCTTTTCAGGGTCTAGTTTTCGTAGAGCTTTCTGTTGATCCTGTATCTTTTTCTCTCTTTTAGCAGTAGCATACTCAGGGATATTCTTATATCGCTTTTCGCATAGTGCTCTAGCTTCCATGAAGGTCTTTCCTCGCTTCATCCACCAATAAAGGCGTCTCCTACAAGTAGATGATATTTTAGAAAGATCCCTCAATCTCGCTTCTTCCCTCTTTTTAGCTTTCTTATTTATTTTCGTTTCAGAAGATTCTGTTTCAATATTGTTACCAGTAGACTCAGTGTCGTCTTTTAAGTCGTTTACGGGTGTCGGTTCGTCTTTTACGGAATTAGAGGTTGATTCATTAGAGGAGGGGTTCAAGGGTTGAGGTTCGTTAGTATTACTAGGTAATTCGGGAAGTGGCGTCTCAGTTTCTACTTTTCTGAACCAGCGGTAACGGGAATTCGCCTACCAACAATGGACACATGATGTTATATTTCATGTTTTACATATAGGTGACGCATTTCAAATTGTATTTCTTACATCATCGTTTAACAAATGTAATCATGTTTTTTTCTTCAAGAAATAATAGAAAGCGTCACCTTTGGCAGTTAACATAAAAATAACAAATTAATATTGAACCTATTAAATTGTAAAATGAAATACATGGATAGTCACAAAGATCTAATACCTGTGACTTAGACCGTGCGCTGCGTTAGTCGTGCATACGGCGCGGGGCGGGCGGGCGGCGTGCGACGGGCGACCCGCTGCATGCAGCGCTGATCTATGGGATTATATGAAACAGCACGACACGCGGGCGCCCGCACCGCGCCGTGCGCACACCTAACGCAGCGCACAGCCTTAATGACTAGGAAAATAAGTCCTGAGACTTCAGGTCGTTTTGAGCATCTGCAAGATACCTCTAATACAAATTAAATTTAAACTTTTCACTAGTCTCCTGTCTTAGTGTCGTCACTTAAAACCTATACTTGTCTCTGCAGTCAGGATTCAGATCTGACTTTTCTAAATTAATGTCATAGGTATTCTCTATGACAGCCCATTGGGCGTAACATGTCTGAACGAGCGTGAACAACATGTTCCAGCCACTCAAAGTCAGGAGTCTGTTTCATGGATAATTACTAAAATATATAAGAAAAACGCAAGTCACACGTGCGACTGCTGGGTTCGATTCCCGGGTCGGGCAAACTCCTAATAGGAGTTTAAAAAAATTCTCATTAGCAGCATGTAGTCTGGAATTATGCTCGGTATATGGCAATAGGCTCACCCCCTATTACACGGGACTCATAACATAAACAGTGAAAAGTGGGTGTTACACTGTACAAAAGTATTAAGTGCCGTAACATGCACCTTTGCCTACCCCTTCGGGGATAAAATGCATGATGTTATGTTTATAAAAAATGACAAAGGATAAAACGACTAAAAAATATGTTAGTTAAGCGTTTACATAGGTAAATGCATGATGGCAATTTGGCTAAGTCACAAGTGATTAAAGCCGTGGAACAGACCCTTAGTTCAACAAGTTACATATTTAATTGTGATCTTATAGTTAAAACAAATACTTGTAACATATGATGACTTCAATATTTTTTATCCTCTTAACAATTTGGATGTGACAAGCAAATGGTATGAGAAGTTATAAATCTTAGCTTTATCTAAGACTATTAGTACCTAATTTATTCTACTTTTTTTAAGTCCTCTTAATGAGGTGTGTATTGTGGTAGGTACATACCGCAACTTCAGATATATTGGACTTGGGCTGATATCCTCCATAGGTTTGTTCCGTGTGGGTTCTAGTTTGATTAAAACCTGGCCTCATATCAGGCCTAGAATGTACTGGATTTTGTTGGGGCTGAAAGAATATTATACATATTACACTTGCTTGAAAAACTTTAGATATTTATTTATTGACGTAAGAACATCAAAAAACTGTACCTGTTGTGCATAAGGGATATTAGCTTGAGGAGAATTAAATCCTCCAAACGTATTTTGCGGCACTTGTGATGCCATTGATGGACCAGCATTCCATTGATTGGAGTTATTCCCTGTCGCCCATGGTGAGGGACGATTCATGTCCATTTGGCCAGAATGTCCACCTTGTCCATGAGTGGGCCTGGCCACATGAGGTGCTGAGCTATGCATGCCACTCCCATGAGGACCTTGGCTAGTGAAGTTGTTACTTTGACCCATATAGTCATTTCTTGGAGCAGCAGAGTAATCATTTCTAGGATGGTCTTGATAACTCATGTGGGTGTCAAAAGCCCCCTGTGTTGGTGTGTTTGTCTGTAAAGAATGAAATAATTTATTGAGTCGTACAATACTAATGCTTGCAGGGATCAGTAGAGAGTAATACTTATGAACACTTCTAACTAAAACAAATACATTCAGTCAAAAAAGTATCAGAAATGGATGATTTGTTTATGGTTCCAAATTAAAATTTTTGTTTCTTGTAGTTGTTAGATTGGCACAACTGTTTTCGATTTAGGCGCAGAGTTTGAGTTGCAATCTGTTATTTATATTAAATACAGTGTGAGTTTAGTCATAATGGACAAAAATATTGAATAGAGTTTGTCTTAAATTTTGCATTGCCAATGGAATTTCGTATTCGGAGTCACTGAAAATGTTATAGAAGGCTTACGGTGAATCGAGTTTATCAAAACTCGTGCTTATGAGTAGTTCAAAGCGTTCAAAACCGGTTGAGATGTGATGGAAGCTTTGCCTCGCTCTGGTAGGCCATCAACGTTTGCAACTAAAGTTACCATCGCAAAAGTGAAGGAAATAGTGACTTAAAATCCCTATTCAACTCTGAGAGAGATAGCCGCCGAACTTTCTGTATATCACGAGTCGATCCGTACCATATTAATTAATCATTTGGATATGAAACATGTTGCTGCTCGGATAGTCCCAAAAGATCTGAAATTTTATTTTCTCCAAAAAGTCAATCGCATGAAAGTCGCTGAGGACATACTAGAACAAGTCAGTTCGGACCCAACATTCATGAAACGCATTGTTACTGGTGACGAGACGTGGGTTTACGAGTTTGACATGCCAACTAGTCAACAAGCTTCGGAGTGGCGCCTTCCAACTGAACCGAAACCGAAAAACGTGGCACTCGTTTTCTATCGATAGAAGACATAAATGAGAATTCGCGGCGAGAATTCAGTTCTTTTTCGAGAACTCAATTCCGGAAGCAGCGTTTAAAAATGTTTTGATATTCGTTGGCGCAAATGTATAGTTAGAAACTATTAGTTTCTAAAGGAGCATACTTTGAAGGTGATAAAATAAATTTGGTTGAATAACAGACATTTTGTGTATTTTTGATCTTTTCCCGGTACTTTCTTGACAGAATAGTATTTAAAATATTCTTATGATTATAATGTATTTATTGTAATGCTACTACTTCTACTACTAAACAGTACAATGTGTTATACAGAAAATGAAATAACTCCATCTATCCATCATAAGCTAGCATGATTATAAAATGCTATGTTACAGAAGTACGTTTTATCTTTATCATACTTACAGCAGGTTTTCCCACTGGCATAGCTTTCAAAATGTAGTTGCCGGGCATCCGATACCCATCAAGACATTTCATTACTTTGTAGCCCTCAGCATTATCTGTGAGACCTATTCTCACTTTTTTGGTACCGACTGCGGCGCTGTCATTCACAAGATTATCAAGGATGAAGTCGTTAATATTGCACTCTTGCTTTATTAACATCTTCACATCCTGATATTTTGTCTACAATATAATGATCAAATTAATAAAAAGAGTAAATGCAAACAAAACAAACAGTTTCAAGTTATCAATGCACCAATACATACTTTGGGTGGAAACCCAAGAATTGTTATCATCATCTTTATTGTTTTATTTACTATATTATATTAAGAATTCACACTTAAGTACAAATTAAACAATTAGAAAGACAGATTTTAAATGAAAACTTATGACATCATTTAGCGAAGCGACATTCACAACTCATCTTCGTCTAAAATCGCCATTCGCCATGTTTTTTTGCCTTACTATTTACCACAGAACAGAACAAAACAGAGAGCCTTTGACTGAATGAAATGAATGAATGAGAATATCTCTCATGTCTCACTCTCAGTAACTATTTAGTCTATGGAATGATTGATCATTGATCAACGGATACCGGAATACCGGACTGATTGGCGGGATTGACGATTGGAAAGTTGGCGTTGACTGAAGGGGCATAACATCACGCCTTTTATCCCCAAAGGGATAGGCAGAGGTGCACATTATACCACTGTACAATGTAACACCTACTTTTCACTATTTATGTTATGACTGCCTCGTTGGTCGAGTGGTCGCAAGTGCGACTGCCGGGCATGGGGTCTCGGGTTCGAGTCCCATGTAATAGGGGGTGAGCCTATTGCCATATACCGGGTACAATTCCAGACTCCGTGCTACTACTGAGAATATTTAAAAACCCAGTAATACTTTGCCCGACCCGGGAATCGAACCCGAGACCCATTGCCTGGCAGTCGCGCTTAAGACCACTCGGCCAACGACGCAGTCTTGGCTTAATTTGAAATAGATAGACTGTACACTCCAGCACCATCGCCATAGACAAAACCCTAACCGACTTCCATTTTGGACGCTATTTCCAAGTTTCATTTCATTCATTCTTCTTACAGTCAATGACTGTCAAAGATGTCAATATTGTCAATTTGACAAATTTGGTCTTTCGGTTTCGGTTCGGTTCGTCGGTGCTTACCGTGCTTTCTTTTCTTGATTGCATTGATCTTGATTTACAATTTACTGTATCTGCAATAATCTGCATGTTTACAACACATAGGATTTAAACACAGTTACTCATCAGCATGTTGCTGACCATATATAATTTGCCGTCATCGGTAATTCATCCAAACTATCATTGTATTTAAAATGTAATTTTCTTTTGAATTTTTTGTTTGATTTCATTGTATTTTTCAATAAACAGACGCGGTATACAGACGTGAAAGCATTGATACAGAGTAATTGTGGCCTGAGTGAGGTGATCTTGGATAATTTGGTAAATGACGTAAATAACACGAAGAAAGTGACCGTCGGTTTGCCTGAAGAAGAAGATGCTGCCATACTTGCGAGAAAGCTTAACGGCATGCTTGTAGAAGGAAGGATTTTGTATGTTGAAGCTCTTAAGAAGAAGCAGGTTGGTGATTTATTCAAATGATTACATAAATATTGAATATCAACTTCCCATAAAGTGTAACAGTTCCCTGCTGGAATATGGACCTCGTCTACGTAAAAAGGGTCCAAAATTACGCGTAGCAGGCGCGTCTTCAGGATTGAAGATCACTGTTCAATAGATACAGACAGGACACTGCCTACTAACTATGCATCAAGTTTTATAGGGGTGAAAAACTATTAATTGCATATAGTTTTAAAGCGAAAGTATGTTTAAAACGATTTTTATAAGACAAAAATAGATTATTCAATTTATATTTATTGTTGAATGGTAACCATAATAACAAAAAGAAATTGAGTTATAATTCAAGTTTGACAATCTTATAAAACACAGGCTAGCCAATATTTCTAACATGCAAATAAATACTGTTTTATAACTAAACATAAAACCCAAATAAAACAATGTTTACATATTTCATATTTACTGTTAATTTTATATTTGCATATACCTTGTCATATACAATAAAATGTTATTGAACAGTTGTACCTATGTCATGTTATGTTTCAAAATATTATTTTTCATATAGGCAAACATGAGTCAACAGAAATTACCGACGCCAGCTTATGAAGGAGGTCCACAAACAATGCAGCAAAGACAAGTAAGATATTTTCTATTGCTGTTATGTATTGAATATGTAAAACGACAAATGCAAACATGAATAATTGTTAGTTACATAAATTCTCTGTTTGTCTATATCTTATAATACTATACGGGTGGTTTGTTACTCAACCATAATCTTGTAGGGGTTATTTATAGAACAGATCAATTCCATTTGTCCATAGGCGGAAATCAACAGTTATTAAAATATTTAAGTGTTAATTTCAAAATGATGCCTACAGTAATTCTAAAACTGAAAAAAACAAAATAGAACAAAATGGCCAGTAGTTCCTGAGATTAGCACATTCAAACAAACAAAAATCTCTTCAGCTTTATATAATAAAATAAGATTCACATAAACTAAGTTATGATATAATTTACATACCTATGCATTGCGCAGTGGTCAAACCTGTTGCTACACCATATCTAAAATTCCAGTAATAATAATACAAATGTGAGCTCAGGTGCAATACTAATACTTTATGTACTTTCCTAAGCTGATTCCAAAAGAAAATTATAATAATAAGATTTAATATATCATCAGCAACCAACTGCGCTGATGCAAACACCAATAGCGCGGCCTTCACTCCATCAGCAGCAACCTATGCTTCAGCAGCCGTATTACCAGCAGAACAAGTACCATCAGCAACCCACTCCGTCAGGGTTCAACAACATGCCGCTGCAACCACCTCCCATGCCCTTTGCTGGGCTCTTCAGGGTACAGGTAAGACATATTTGTTTATACTAAAATTTTCCGATAACTTGCAGCAAATTCCGTTTTCATCAACCTCTGTTCAATTTTAAGGAACCAAGCCATAATAGGTCACTATTTACGTAATTTTGGTTTTTAAAAACCTATAAGTGTGGTAACAGTACAGATAATAATAGGGTTTAGTTCCGGCGCTTCTTCACGCTAAGTAACTCGTAGTTATTAGCGATTTAGGAGTGGTTGACGAAAACGGCCATAAATGTAAAATATGTGTTTTTTCTCCACAGACAGTGGTAGTGTCTTGATGTCTTTCCAATTAAGATTCTTGCTGTAGTAGTCTAAACTACACATTGCTAGTGGGCGCATATTGTTATAAGTGGGATTTTTTAAATTTTACCGCAGTTTCGCTTATTTCAGTGTGAGTACTGTAAGTGAGCAAGTGTTTCTATGGTGACATTGAATTACGTGTGTTCTGTAGAGGAGCCCTACGAGATTTTTTTTTAATTTTCTTCCTCAAAGTTATCGAAGTAGCACCGTACAGAGTACATAATTAATATTATAATTATGATTTCAAGAAGATATTTGAAATCATAGAAATTTCTATCAACAGACAGCAAAACGTTTCTTCTAGTAATTTTTTCATCCTGATTATTGCAGAAGTACAAGTTCCACTTGCATTCTGCTTTAATCAAAAACTGTACTCTTCTATAATGTAAGTTTCGTTTCAAGATCATTCAGACCAAGATGTAATATCATAGTTCTTGTTATGGTCATTGACAGAGTCAGATAAAGGGCACAAAATTAGCAATATTATGTGCAAACAGCTGCTCTGACAATCGTGTACATTTACTCTATACTGAATGCTCCTATAGGGGATCTTTTGTAACTTCATCAACATTCTTCCACAGAATCCAACTGTCACCTATGGCTATCCACAACAAATGCAGTACCAACCATCACAGCAACCTATGGTGGGGCAGAATCTAGTGGGGTTTGATAAAAGGGGAGCTCCTCTTGGATTCGGCAGCCAAGATAACAATCCCAAAGCCAGTTTAAATCAAAATGATTGGAATATGGCGGGGGATTCCTCTGGTGGGAATCAAATGTCCCAACAGCACAAACCTAGGTTGCAACGATGGGAGGCTACTGATGATCGAAGCAGTCTTTCTCGCCGTGAGAGTGCGCCTTGTGACTCCAACCGAAACCAATCTTCGCGCTTCGGGCGGGAATCGTCTTCCCGTGACACGGGCCGTAACTCGTCTTCTCGCGACATCGGCCGTGATTCGTCTCGGCGCAGCTATGGTCGGGATATTCCCTCGCGCGATCGTGACCGGAACTTTGATCGCAATCGTCGGCGGGTTACACCTAGTAACCTGGGACCCGAACGTGGTCGGAATGTATCAAACCAATTTGGGCAGGATCGAGGTCGGGGTGCAACCAATGACTTCGGGCACGATCGTGGTCGGGACGCACCAAACGACTTCGGTCGCGATCATGGTCGAGATGCAACAAGTGATTTCAGACGCGACCGTGACCGGGATACAACTAGCAATTACGGGCGAGATCGAGGTCGGGATGACCCTCACAACTATAGACGTGATCGAGATGCACGTAATAGCCAAGGACGCGATACTGGCAGGGATGCACCGGGACGTGACCGCGGCCGAAACGCACCGCCGCGCCGTGCATCCCGTGATCATGACAAAGACTCATCTCATAGAAGACCTGACCAGCCACGTGTTCCTATGAAACGCCAGTTTTCGCCTTCTGGCACTCGAGCATCTCATAATACAAACCAGGTGCCTCAGCGACAACAGCGAGGTGGTCCTAAATCAAACCAACCTCGGGATAGGCCATCACAACCACTACAATCCGAGAGTAATTATGTACCACCTTTAAAACAACCCAAAAATGGCGATGGGCCGCTAAAAGTAAATGCTCCACAGAGAATGAGCGTTCCGCAGAGAATGGGCGCTCCGCAGAGACTGAACGCTCCGCAAAGACCGAGCGCTCCACAGAGACCAGGCGGTCCACAAAGACCGAACGCTCCACAGAGACCGGGCGCTCCACAGAGACCAGGCGCTCCGCAGAGACCGGGTGCTCCGCAGAGACCGAGCGCACCACAGAGACCAGGTGCTCCGCAGAGACCAAGCGCTCAACAGAGACCAGGTGCTCCGCAGAGACCAAGCGCTCCACAGAGACAAGGTGCTCCGCAGAGACCGAGCGGTCCGCAGAAGTCCATTGCCCCACAGCAAGCAACTGGCCCACAGTCAACATTCCGCCCTCCACCACCTCCGCATCAGGCAGGCAAAGTAAATAAAAAGAAAGATGCTAAAGAACGAGTCTTAATCCGTTCAGCTACGTGGCGCAACCAACTCGCCTCTGCTGTTGGAAAAGAAGTTTTGAGTGCGGATCGCGACTTGAAAGGTATTACTCGCGAAAAACTTTTGACGGAGGTAAAGCGTGCTATACGTATTCGTGTGCAGAAAATGTTTGGTGAAAATCATAAAATAACTTTACCTGAAATGTTAAAGTTATATAGGGAAAAATATACCGTTGACACTGATACAGAATTCTTCAATGAAGTTTTGGAACATGTATTGAAGAGTGGAGTCTATCCAGACGATGACGGCTTGTTAAAAGGTAACTTCAATATGTATATTTTTGAGCATTTGCAAATATTTTTGTCTGCATGTTGGCGTTTATTTACAGTAGGTATTTTCTCACTTTATCAATAGAGAAAATATTGAAAGTTTAACATTATTACGTCTCTATTTTGTTGTATAAAGTAATACAACATTATGGATATCTTGGGAGAAGAGTTATTCGATTTTTATAGCTGTTTTATTGGTAGTTTCAAATGACGGTTACAGTACATTTAGTAGGCTTTTACTTTACACAATTCTGTGAAAATTGTCTTAATGCCAGAAGAATTAGGGAGATGTGATGGCGACTTACCCAAAGAATCTTAAAGAGTCGGCGGACCGAGGCAAGCGTACTTAGAAACCAAAAAGTTGGTTATGTTCGTTGTCACCTCTTTTTTGAAGTATAGAATACTTTACTTCAAATGTTCATAAGTTTTTGGAAACATCTTACACAACTTTACATGAGACTCTTCATTACTACTGAGAAGTATGTGTTATATTAAAAATGGACATATTTTTATCTTTGTATAAATAAGTGGGTGACCATATATTTCACATCTTTAACGTAAAAATACATGAAGAGTTTCCGAAGACACGGAGATAGCGTAGAGACGTACCTACTACTACGCTTAGTGTGTGTATTGTGTGTACAGTAATTGTAGGAGATCAGTACATGTCACTTCTTTATATTTTGGTTTTCCATTTGCTCTTTGTTTATATTGACGAATTTTCTGATCTCAAGCTATTATCAATTAACTGTTAATAGCTCAGCTAATCAGCCCCGTAAGACACTATATGACACTGTATCCAACTGACGGTCCTTTAGTGGAAAACCCTCAATTGTACGTTTTTGCGTATCGGAGGGTATTAAGACCAGAGGTCCAATTTCCCGTTACCTCCAAAAGGCCAATGTGTTGCAAGTGTCTATAGGCAAGGCTGATTGTTTACCATCCAGTTTGCTCCTAGCAAACTAGCTGACGGATGGTAACAAACCCATGAAAATAACTGTATTGTAGTGTCAATCAAATAGTCAAAAGGTAAAAATCTGCAGTAGCAGATGCTAATATTTTGGCCATAAAATAGATTTAAAGTATTGCAACATGTCAACTAGTGCGGCCTACAAGGGTATAACATCTTTAAAACTTGTTATAAGCAATCTCGATGACTCATCTATGTATAGTACCTACATAATCTATGGGAGATGAATTCAGGGTAACCACTACCTCAACATCTATACACATATAGACAAGAACTGACTGAAATGGCCTTAGCAGTCACAGGATTACGTTATGTGCAGTCATAGGACTCAACAGCTGTTTCTTTTTTTTAAATCATAGCTCCTCTTGAGCTTTCTCTTGTGGAAAACCAAAGTTTTACATACACGTACCCTTCCAACTTCAAAACTAACATACACTTGCCAAAGTCTTCGTGGAGTTTTTGAGATTTCTTGTTTTTTACACATAGAGAGTCCAGAAAATGCTGTATACTTCAGAGAGTACATAAAACTGTAGGTTCCGGTTGTCGCCCAAACTTCTGCGATCTTTATCATAGTTCAGAAACCCGAAAGTTTGAAAACACATCTAGCCAATATTGGCTCACGTGAATAGAAGTCACATGGTGGGGTATACCGAGCTTCAGCTAAACCTGGTGAAGACTTTGTAGCGTCTCCAATCTAGCTGTAAATAAAGGCGTAACGGAAGACTTATTCTCACGTGAAGTTGCAATGGGTTCGTCCATGGGACATGGGACCCAACATAACTGGCGATAAGTGGGTGTTATATTTAACGTACACCTTTTCCCAACCCTTCGGGTCATAAAAATGGTTATGTTTTCTGTCGCTACTAAGACGACAACCTTGCAATGGTTGGTCGGATCTGTTGACAGACCTTCAGGCTTCTGAATGATAACTCGTGGTTGTTGCTATGGTAACCGAGATCAACAGTATTTCGCGCTCTTTAGAATCACATTGCCGGTCTTTGATACATTTCTGTATAATGCACGCTATACAACTTACGATTTAACCACGCAGTTTTAACTGTACAGTTGAACGTATTGAAAGATGTGTAGAGCAAACACTGGTAACTACAGTTTTACTTAAAGATGTGAAGGCTGTATGGATCTACGTTTAAGTCGCAGATTTTAATCGTAAATCGTGCATAAGAAATATATCGCCAAACGTTTTTGTCTAAGCGACCAGTATTGTCTTTGTTGAAAGTAATGAAGAGGCGGAATGTCCTAGTATTAATCGACAGATTATACTTATAAAGTTATAATCTGTGTTCAAATGTTCTAATCATCAACATCGCAGCAAAAGGAGCAGGAAATGAATAAATACAGCAATGAAAGCCCTGTTTTTGTTCATTTCATAAATTTTATTATTTATTATTGGCTAACAATTTAAATATTTTGTTGATACTTGAATAATCTTATGATCGACTTCCAAAATTAAAAGTTTAAAAGATTATTTTGAAAAACAGAAAAGTCCACTTCAGCTTTTATGCTTAGTTGTGTCAAGAAGAATAGTTATGTATTCAAATTGCATTTCTTTTTAAATGACATCACAAAATTGTTATATTTCAGACATTCCAGTACAAAATATGGGTCAGAATTTGATACCTAAGGAGGAACCCGGCGAAGGCACAATACCTCAGTATCCGGATGGAGGTCAGTATACAAGATTATACATATGTATAAGATTTCATCATCATCAGCTTCTAAATGTCCACTGCTGAGCAAAGCCTCTTCTCACATGGAGAAGGTTAGAGCATTAAACACCACGCTTGCTCAATACGGGTTGGCGATTTAAAACTTATAATTAGAAATTATAAAGTCCAGGTTTCCTCACGATGTTTTCCTTCACCGTTGGTCGGTGGTATCTAAATAATCTTAGAAAGTACAAATAACTCTGAAAAAGTCACATTGGTACTTGCCGTTGGTAGGTTTCGAACCTGCATTCTCGTGCATGAGAAGAAGGCGTCTTCAACCTCCGGGCCACAACGACACTACGGTTAAAGTTTATACAATTCATAAATCCTATATCTGTTTTAGATAGCTATGCTTAGATCTTTAAAACTTCGCAACGGATTTTGATACAGTTTTTTTAAGAGATAGACTTACAGCCTGAATTCTGAAAGGCTATCAATCAATATTATCAATCAATTTAAGTCGCGCTTAAGTATAGTTCTGTCTCTACAAATTCTTTCAAAAATGACAGAGACAGCACGATATTTAGAGTACAACTTAAAATTGAGTAACCTTTCAGTATTTAACCTTTTCGCCGCCAACAACTTCTATAGAAGTTCAGGATTTTCGTGCCGTCCACGCCACTACTTCTATAGAAGTTCATTGTATCTACCTACTATAAAAAATACATTTACGATACATAAAACATTTGTTTCTTTGTAATTTTGTAATATGGACACGACGAACTATTTTTTCTCATGCAAAACAGACTATTTTCTGTTTTAAAAAGGTAAAACATAAAAGGTTTCAAATAATTTTATATCCCGCACGCCAACGACTTCATATCAAGTAGGCCAGTGATGTGACGCGTAAGGAGCATTCATTAGAATCTTTATTTACTATAATATTTGTTTTCTTTTCCATCCAATAGTTTTTTGAATTCTATGAATAAAAAGAAATTCCGGTCAGTAAATAACGTATTACAATGCGTTTCAAAATTAATGTACATCTACCTATCAAATCATTTCATTAAAATTAATTATTATGTACTGAGGGTTTTCGATATTGCTAGACCCATCTCTACGTAATGGCAAGATGTCGAGTGACACTAGCGCCGTCAACTTCAATAGAAGTAAACCTGTGACGTCGTAAGCGCTTAGGCGTCAAGGTCATTGTGTCATAGTTCCGGGCGACGCGTGCACGCACATTTTTCTTTCCCAGTGCAGTGCAAAATGACCGAATATGATTCGGATGAGTTGTTGCGGCTGTTACAAGGTGTGGAACCTGATTCCGACTTTCATTTCCAAAACTACACATATGTTGCCACTTTTAATCACTACAAACAATGTTCCTGATCGTGACCTGACGTTAGATTTTAAATGTAAACTAAAACCAAAAGCAAACCAAACTCGATAGAAAGAAAGAAAAGCATAGACAACTATTCCTTACGAAATGTATCGTGCTTTGAGCGCCAATGACTTGATATGAAGTAAACAGACTACGTTATGAAATGAATAGTGAAGTGGCTAATGTTACGAATTATTATTATTATCTCTAGCAACTCTATGCATGTATCTTCATCTCTGATAACGGATACCCATTTTTCTTAGTATAAATGTTCATAAAATAAAACAAATTACCATTATAACTTAACAGTTTGTATTTTTAATTGTAAATTTGAGTACCAATTTAAATTTACACATATTTTTTTTCATTATCGACATGATGTTACCGCCATCCCTACTTTCGTACTATACATTTATTATACATTTATACGTTGGCGTACGGCGACACATCGTGTTTAGTATAGCTGGGCGGCGAAAAGGTTAAGCGTTAGAGTGATAATTATATAACATAACATGACGCCTTTTATCCCCGAAGGGTAAGGCAGACGTGTAAATTATGCTACTGTACAATGTAACACCCACTATTTACTATTTGTGTTATGAGTCCCATGTAATAGGGGATGAGCGTATTGCCATATACCGAGCATAATTCCAGACTCCGTGCTACTACTGTGAATTTTTTAAAAACCCAGTAGTACTTTGCTCGACCCGGGAATCGAACCCGAGGCCCCTTGCCCGGCAGTCGCAATTACGACTACTCGGCCAACGAGGCCGTGAAATCTAATTAAATAGATCGGACTAACTTACCTGTGACGTCCGATCTTCAATTGTGTAGGTAGCGTCATCCTCGCTAATTATACTAGTAGTAGGCACTAATCTGGGCACGCTGTCACAATATTTAAAGATGAACATTCATAAAAAAATATTTATACTCTATGGTCATCTCACTGGCAACATCATTTACTTCAAAGCATACCTGCAAATGCAACACAACTCGACCAGGGGTAAAAATAAACATGTTTATTATCCGGGAAGGGTTGGGACCTAGCGAGGATGACGCTACCTACACAATTGAGGATCGGACGTCACAGGTAAGTTAGTCCGATCTATTTAATTGTATAGGTAGCGTCATCCTCGCTAATTATACTAGTAGACGTTCAAAGAAGGAGTTGTGTTGACAAACAACACTGTTTAATCATTGAACATTGTTGCACTTAAACAAGACATATGAAATTGTCAATAACATCAATATCTCATGAGTACTATATAGTACTAGTAAAAACTTAAGCAATAATCTTTGTTTATTATTTCCCCAAGATGTAAGCCACTAAACCATTATTAGATATAATAGCTACTTATGGTTATGGTATTGTTTTCAATCATTTTTATCAAATAAAAATACTTCTAAAATAAAATACATTTAAAAATAGTATTAAAAATAAACAGGAGCCCAAAGCACGGGTTATCTTAGTTTGGGTTCCTGACTTTCATTATTGCATTGTCAGGTAAACTGCATTAAACCCTATGTAGAACCAAAGTGAAGTGAAGTGAAGAAACAAGCTTATGTCAATATTATAAGATTGATATTAAGATCTACATCATTATGTATTGTAATGGAAAAATAATTAAATTTCCTTATTTATTAATTTCATTATTTAGTAAGCATAGCAACAATATTATTATCTTGAAATTCTGGTGTCCACTACACCTACTATGTACGTTTTGAACTATAACGTTAAAATTCAGTCAGAAAATTTAACGTCTTTCAATAGGTTGTTTTCTTGAAAATTATCAGTTTTTTTTTTTTAACTTTTCCATTCAGTAGATCTACATTATGATCATGAATCATAGATAGTGATATACAGAGCTAATAAGCTCATGCAATATTAGGATTGTTGGTGGAAAATGCATTGACTGACCAGGCAGTCATCTTACTTAAATATATGACTTTGATACTGATACATCTGTGAGGCTTTAGAAGAGGTTGAGAGTCCACTGTCATAGTACTAGACATGCATTCACTTGAAATTGTAGAATATGATTGATCCCAGAACAATGATTTAAAAATTGTTCTTAAAAATAAAAAATAGTAGGTAGGTACTATTAAATATGGTTCAGGCTCATTGGGATTATCATTTATAGTCCATCTGTTTAGGTAATTAACTAAAGGTAAACAAAGAAAACCACGTGACACAGAGATACTTAACCTACTATTACTTCAAATATTTCTCGTGTTTTAATTTTAACTAAATTCACTTTAAAATCGTTCATTTGTCATACACACACATACAAGTACAAATGCCTAAATCGTACAAGAGCCTAGCCTATGGGTCTATTTCATTATCATGTTTAAATAGAAACTATTCTGAATCTGATGTACGGATTTCTTTCTTGTACGGATATGTGTCTTTGGGCCAAGTTTCTTCAATATATTTGAACACATTAATTACAAACGATGTATACCTAAACTTAAATAACTTAATAACAAAAACAAAACAAAGAAACAAGATAAATTCAACAAAATAGGAACGCGAGCGCAAACGACGAGAGAGCTGTCAATGGCGCCTGATTAACCGACTAAACGTAAAACACGCTACTTTCATTGTCGCGCTACATCTTAGTTGTACTCTTTAATTTGACAACATTATTTTGCTTCGTTCTTAAAGAAGGGTTTTGGATACCTGGGATTTTAGGCTCTTTATGGTGTCTATTGTAATGAAATATTATATTATTTAATAAATGTTATTAAATTATTAAATAATATATCCTCAAGCAGATATATATAATATTTACTAAGAAATAAGTGAAAAGGAACAGAAACATAACATTTAATAGAGAAAACTGTCGTAAAAAGGGAAACAATTTTATTTTCTTATGAAGTATTTTGAATCATGGAAATGTCAACTATAAATAACTCTTTTTATGGTTTGTTTACAAATAGTTAACTACCTAAACAGACGGAGTATAGGTACATTCATGTTATCTATAGTGATAGAGATAGAGTGTGAATTACATGTGCTAATTAATTGATAGTTTTAAACTAAAGTTTTAAGCTAAGATTATCATTGGAGTACAGGTACATAATAATATTGATTTATTTAGATTTTCATGTACACAATACAATAAAGTAATGGTACATGGTGAACTTGATTCCAAATGGCATATTCTGCCAGCAACCCTCAGGGTTTTAAATAATAATTGCAATAATACACAATTATGTACCTATTTTAGAATGAAACTGGAACCGCACACCACATATTAAAGTTTCTTTTTCTTTTTGGCCTTAAATAATTTGTATAAACTTCTAAAAAATCTTGTAGGTAATTTCTTAATCATTTCACACAAGAGGACCAAGAGGACTAATGAAGTACCTATCTAATTCAATAAACTGTATGATAGGTAAATTTGGAAGTAAAAATATAATAATCACAACGGATACATATGCTGAAAAAGTCAAAGTAAATTAGTATTGCTATTTTGTTTTACTTTACAATGAGATGCTAGCATTATTCCCATAGAATGCAGTACCTATTCCTTTTCTTAGGAATTCATTCCTGATTATATGGTGGCAATTACATTGTATATGTTGTGTAAAGTGGGTGAACTCCTGGAAGGAAACAACCAGAGATAACACTAGAACATAATGAGGTTCAGAAACTTGAGTTGAACCGTAGGTATCAATAATGGATCCTAATAACCTTTGCATGTACCCCCCCCCCCTTTATCTCTTTATGACTTTTAAGATTCCGAAAAGAAGGAGGGCATGGCAAAAGAATCTTCCTGCACTTACTGAATAGTGAAAGCAACAGTAAGGATATCAGGGTCAGGAAGCCATGATACATATGTATATTTCAGCCTCTTATACTTGTTTGCCTATAGATCTTTTGCGTGATACACCAAGTGGTTTTGGAGGCAAACTTTAATTTAAACTCGTGCGTATAGAACATCTGAGTTTATTTAAGTATTTCTTTACCGGCCTTATTTTCTTTTACGGTGTAAACATTTATTCTAGATTAACTTAAATAACAAGTGTTCAAGTTCTTTTTGGTAAAACAAAACATATTTGACATCTGATGTTTTAATGTCAACATGTCAATCAAACATAAATATTGTTTACAGTGAATATTTTGTTGTGCGTATTCGCTTAATAGTTATAATATTAGCCTTACAATTTCAATTATTAACCTAATTTTAATATGGAGCCAGCCAAATTCCATAGCTGGGCGAGCAAACAATGTTAACTTTAAAGTTGAACGGAATCAAAAATCTGCAACTTTTTGTTTAGGTCATACAATTTTCATTATACTTGTAATAAAATCCACCTTTTTAAGTAGTACTTATATAGAGTTGTCTAGAGTATGAAATTAATCCTAAATACTGAAAGAATCACCCTTTTCAGTATAAATAATAATTATTACTATACCAAGTTTACAAGAATACTTCTATAAAGTTCTGTATTAGTAATATAGTCTAGACATTTCTTATGTTTTGGAAAAGTAAGGAATATCATCAACATAATTTCGTGTAAGCAATACTATACAATGTATAAGGTTCCTCTTTGGGAAGACAAATAAGAACCGCAAATGTTTGTCATTCACCATTTACCTTCACTGATATTAATAAAATGCATTCTTAAGTTAATCATGCATCTGAAGACACTTCAACATATGAGGAGTTTTAGAAATGGTTCTAGATCCATTGTTTATATTAACCCTTTGAGTACCGTCATTATAGACACAATCAAAGAACAATAGGCCGCGGTCACCAGTGTCCTCGCAGTGTTTGACAGTTTAATAGTAAAATAATTATGGTTCTGGAATGTGAAGATAAACTGGCAAGTAATCACTTAGTCAGTTATCTACATATATGGTACTACAGCACCTTAGCTTTAACAATTTTCCTTCAGAAGTAAAATTATTTTGCTTTTACACCTATGTGGGTATTTTGTGGTATATTTGTCTGAACAGGAATATCAGTGATGGTAATTTATACCTATTAATCCAACTAAGTATGGTTGGGAAACTTAAAGCAGAACTCTATTGTTCAGAAAGGTAATGTGATCTACCTGTACTAGCGATGATCCGGACCTCAGTGCTGTGGGTTGAATTAGTAATTCTGTAGAGGATGCATCGGTCTTGTTGATTTTGCTTGTAATCATGTGTAGTTCGCTTTAGTTGGGTTTTTGCTCACACACACATACACTTGTTGTTTGTACATCACACAGTATTTGTTGATGTGGTTGGCATGAAATTGGTAGTCTAAAAGGTTTTCTTGGATGTTCTCCAATTCAAGTTTAGACTCTCTGATAGCTTTACTTGCAATAAACTTGTCTTGAAGCATTTAATTTAGATAGAATAAGAAGTATTTAATAATGTATATATAGCTAGAACACCTATTTATGTTCTGATCTTCTCCACATCTTCATTCAGGGGCACATGTTATTAATTTACATAACAGTCTGGCTGTATCCTTAAAAACCTTAATAGGTTTGTTAATTAATTTGCGAACAGTAACTGCTCCTAGGATCATTTGATATTCACAATCCTATCGTCTCACTCAATCCCATCTTTACTTATTTAGTGGAGCCTCCTCCCCTCCTCATTTATTTGAGACATTGGTAGGAATTAGGTTATAATAATTATGAAAAGGGAAAATAAGTGTGATCATTTGATAAGAATGGCTTTGTCAAACATGCATCACTATGGAATAGCTGGCTTAGGAAATGTCCCATTTCCGATAAACATAGGTAGCAATCGCTCCGTAGTATATTTACTGACTGGAGTGAGACCATAGGAGTAGTTTCCAACTCATGTTAATCGGCTTCGGTGCTATGCCATGGTGAGCGGCTTCAACTGGAATGGCTTCATGTTCTTCTGAGGCAAAGCGAACTGATTTTAAGTTTCAAACTGCAAGGTAGTTTAAATGATCCACGGCTAACCTCTCGTAAAAGCTCTAGGATTGCAGTTGGAAATGTTTGACTAAATGTGACTTAAACCAACGGCTAACCTCTCGTGAAAGCTCTTGTGGTTTGCTTCAAAGTCAAGTAACCAACGGCTGACCTCTCGTGTAAGCTCTTGTGGTTCGTTCCAAAGTCAAGTAAACCAACGGCTAACCTCTCGTGAAAGCTCTTGTGGTTAATTCTATAGTAGAGTTACCAACGGCCAAACTCTCGTGAAGGCTCTTGTGGTTCGATCTACAGTAAACATGTAACCAACGGCCAACCTCTCGTGAAGGCTCTGTGGTTCGATCTATAGTAAACATATAACCAACGGCCAACCTCTCGTGAAGGCTCTTGTGGTTCAATCTATAGTAAACGTGTAACCAACGGCCAACCTCTCGTGAAGGCTCTTGTGGTTCGATCTATAGTAAACGTGTAACCAACGGCCAACCTCTCGTGAAGGCTCTTGTGGTTCGATCTAGGTATATAGTAAACGTGTAACCAATAGCTCACCTCTCCTGAGGGCTCTTATGGTACGTTTTAAGTGTGTATGTTGCGTACACAATCAGTCTCAAGGCTATCCGCTTGTGGAAGCTATTGGAAAACGCCCCACAATGTGGTGTAAGTACCTACAAGAAAAAACTTACCCGACTGACGACAACGAATGCGTCCTCTCGCCGGTTTTGCCCAACTATCCAATTCCTGCATACACTCCATCATTTTTCCTATCTGCTTACGACGTTTTCGACCCATTTAGTAGGAAAATCACCAATTTAAATTGAAAAATTTTCCAGTACGACGTGACAGGTCGTGCACAAAGAAGTACAATGATGTTGCCAGTGAGATGACCATAGAGTATAAATATTTTTTTATGAATGTTCATCTTTAAATATTGTGACAGCGTGCCCAGATTAGTGCCTACTACTAGTATAATTAGCGAGGATGACGCTACCTATACAATTATATCTTTTTGTTGTATTTACAGTTTAAAAGAACATTTTATAAACTAAAATATATTTTCTTCTTTTTCAGATAAGCGGTTGAACAAATGTGAGTTGATATACATAGTTACTATATATATATTTTATGCACATTCTGGTTGTCTGAACCTTAGACCATTTGAAACAAATGAAGTCAAACTTGTGTTACACGAAATTCCCTCGTTTTGATTTCAATGAAAAATTATCTGTCTAACTGTCATGAGTCATACTAAATTACATACATATCTAAAAAATTGCGGGGTTACCCACTAAGCTCTCTCTGATATCCGTCATTAATAGCCAATAAAATTATCTTCAATTCGTTCTTATGATCAATTATAACTTAAACATAAACACAAAAGGAATCTTCAAATTCGAACTAGTACTTCTAGACGACTTTATAATTTTAGTATCCTTACTTCCTCACTAATATTATAAATCGGAAAGTGAGTTTGTTTGTTTGTTCCTCTTTCACGCCGTAACTATTAAACCGATTGCTTTGAATTTTTGCAGATGTAAAGTTAGAAGTCTGGATTAAATAATAGGGTACTTTTTATCCCGGAAAAAATTGATATTGTCGAGGGAAAACGAAATTATTGGTATAGATGGCGCTGTGTGTATTGGTATATGTCATATAGGCTCCTTTTTATCCTTTTGTGACGCGAGCGAAGCCGCGGGTAAACGCTAGTAAATAATATATTATTTTTTACAGCTGTAAAGAGAACAAATGCGATCATGTTTGAGGACGAAAATCTACTCGTGTCTCAGCTAGATCTTGCTATGCAGAAAGCGCTCGGTGAGGAGGTTGAAGCCGTCGGCGCAGCGGTAAGATTACCTTTACATTAGAATTCTAGATAAAATGTTGCGAGTTAGAATATTTTTTGCTAGATCAAAATTCTTTGCCGGCAAATAAAGTACTTTGATGTCCTGCAGCTGAAATTATTAATTGAATTACTTTTGTCACTTCTATAGAACTCCTGTTAGAAACTTGATTGACCCATAGATTTTGAAATAACTCATAAACTTATATTATAGTTCAATTATTCTTTCTCTTGATGTGTCCTTCCTAATTTTCCAGCGTAGTACATTTTAGTAGCGTGCTTTATACTTGTTGACACATTAAACACCATGGGGGTCACTGGTGACAGACGTTAGCAGAGGATTTGTCTTCAAAAGTTTTCTATTGGCAGTCAAAACCTTATATTATGTTGATATCATTTAGGTGGCGGAGGAGCTCCAATTGGAACCGGAACCTGAGTTCAAGGACGCTCACAATCGCCTCAAGGCTTCACTCGTCGATGACTTCAACAAGGTATGTTTATTGTATGAAATATACAAAGTAACACTACTTTGTAAATTTCAACAAACAAACACACGGATTGGAACACACATTCCAACATTTAAATTGTGATTAATGTAATGAATTTAATTCCTCAGGTTCTCAAAGTGAACATTTCCAAACGCATATTGAACGTTGGTACGATAATGGTGAGGATATTCAGCATTCCGAAAATTGTAAGCAGGACCAAGTTGATACCAGTTTTGTCCCAATATGGTATAACCAGCCTTAGGAAGTCTGAATTTAAGAAACCTCCAATCTACTATGGTACCTGCGAATCATATGAGGCTCACGATAAATTATGTGCTATGGAACCAATTATTGTTGGTAAGTTACTGCTTTTAATTTTATTTAATTTGGCATAAAATGTCAAATTTTATTATTGTAGGTAGTTATTTGTGTTATAGTAAGTTTAATGTAAAACAAAATGACCTTATCTATACTTATAAACAAAAATGATATTCCGTTCGATAGTTTCGCTAAAACTCGAGTACGGTTGAAACGAAATGGCTAATTTTGGTCTTGAAATATTCGAGAAAGTTCAGAGGAAGTTTAAAAGGCAAGAAAACAATGTTTAAGGCAATACGAAGTTTTCCGAGTTAGCTAGTTTAATAAAAGCATTACATCAACATTTTTATTGTTCACACCCTTCCAGCCCTTATTATAATCAACCTTAAGTTAATTAATTGTACCTAGATATTTGCTAAATACAAAATGTGATAGTTTCTCTCCAATAACCAAATCCACCAATAGGTCAACTATCAATTTATTACAGATTATAATCATCCTAATCTTTTACAGATGGGTGCACAATAAGAATTAAGCCTTTCCATCTGACTGGGAAAATGAAATGGTCGTCGGACTCTTCAGGTAAAAACACATCTCAAGACGTGACTGAATCCACTGATGAATACTATGATTTAGATGAAGATATGGGAGACGAGCTACATGTAGATGGTAACAATAGCCAGGAGGAAGATGATGATGAAATAAATGAAGAAAACGCTGGCTCATTCGAACAAGAAGCTAGCAATGAAATAAAAGATGGAGTTGAAGAAAAAGAAACGACTGAACGTACAGTTAGTCAGAACAGTATTACACCAAGCACTGACACCAAAATAGAAACTAGTGCTGATGAAAACACACAAGAAACTTTGGTCACTTTAGTAGAAGACAGTAATGGACCATTGGAAGTAGAAAGAGAAAACAAAATTGACAGTGTTGATAAACAAATTGAGAAAGATGAGAATAATGATGGTATTACAAGAGAGACCTATGATGAGAATGAAGATTATGATGAAAATGATGGGAATTATGATGAAAATGAAGGGAATTATGGTGAAAATGAAGGTGATTATGATGGAGAAGGAGGTGAGGATGATAGAGTTGAAGAGGGAGGCGATGAAGGTGGAAACGAAGAAGGATATAATGAGGTTGGAAATGATGAAATGCAAGAAGGAGGAGGAGATTTAATTGGAGAAGAAGAAGAGGAACAAAATTATGAGGATATTGATATGGACAATGTTGATGAAAATGATTTAGAAGATTGGTAATTTACTATCGCTATTTATCGCATAGTATATGTATTAAACTAAGATTGTAAAGATTTGTAAATTCTAAATTGGGTAAAGTGTAAAGGTGTTCGATTTTTTTTCTGTGTACTTAGCAACAAAGCATACCGGACTTGTATAAATCTGGAATTTTACCCGGTGTTGTCAATAGACTGCTATCTAAAGCGAGGCAAGACTCAAGATTATAGGTTTAAAAGATAGAAAAATAATGTGCACTATTATTTTTTGTAGATTAAAAAAAGTAACGATAGTATAGTCTATCTGTAGGGACTTTAATGTTTAAATCCACTATTTAATTTAGGCATAACGTGGTTTATGTTTAGATCCACTATTTAATTTAGGCGTAACGTGATTTTTTGTAATAAAAGAACTATTTCTTAACATTTTTGGGCATCATTTTAATACCTCCTTGAACATTTAAATAGTATAATCTGCTTTCAAATTTAACTGACTTGTGTACTGATACTGATATCTGTCTAAAGGGCTGCGAGTGATCCTTCCCCCACTGCGTATTTCAAAAAAGGAAATTACTTTTATCAGGTATATCTGCCCGCCTGTGACTAAATCAGCCATTCAATTCAATGTTATATTATTTCATTTCTAATTATCCTTTTTATTAGTGTACGAACATTCCCAAAAATTTATGATGAAAAGAACGCATCCAAAGAATATTTGAGTGTTGCTGTCAATGCCAATCCAGTATGTGTCAGCTGTCAGGAGACGTAAACATAAAACAACCTATTTGTTGGGAAACATTCGGGATGGGATTGCATTTATTCGTTTCGTATTATAGAAAAATTGAAGATTTAATAATTTTATCTTGGCAGTGGTGAAAGACATACGTGTTTGTGTGTGTGTTTTTTTTTTTCAAATTAAATATTTTTTTCAAATCTGAGTTGAAACCATCCTAGTGTTGTGATACACTAAAAAACTATTGGTAACGTGGGCAAAATATTCCCTAATACTCTTTTTCTTTAATTATATATTTTTTTCGGTGCATCTGCACTTTTTAATATGGATACTAAAAAACCTCCCGACCCTCCAGATAATATGTTTGAGTACACCCCTCTAATGACTATCACCGTCCCCAGCACCGATGATGCTGACAATAGTTTAAATAGGAAAAGACCTGCACATTCTCCACCAGTTACTATAAATAACCCACCCAAAGTGGCAAAAGTTAACGGTAGACAGTGCTATACACCCAGTGACGCTCCTCCGTATATTGTTCATGTTTCTTTGAGAGATTCTCAAACCTCAGGCACAACCCTACACCCTGTGAAATTTGGCATGTTCTTGATGAAGAACAACATAAAAAATGTACGGATGGATGGTGTCAAAAGATTAGGACGAAACAAAATTTCAGTGGAATTTAAGTCACACCAAGATGCTAACAGCTTTTTAATTAATGGAGTCGTAGCCCAACAAAATTACATAACATCCATTCCACTGTTTAACATCACACGTATGGGTATTGTGAGAGATGTCCCTGTGGACTGGACTGAGGAGGAAATTGTCGAAAATATCAGGGTCCCTTCTGGATGTGGCAATGTTATCAAGGCAAGGAGAATGAATCGGAAAGTGGTTTCTTCTGATGGTTCAGAGTGGAAACCTACACAAACGGTGGTTCTCACATTTGATGGGCAAATTTTGCCAAAACGAGTTTACTGTTTTTACACTGCTCTTACAGTAGAAAGGTACACATATCCCACAATACAATGTTTTAACTGCTGCCGCTTTGGGCACACACGTACCTTATGCCGCTCAAAGCCTCGTTGCTTCAGATGTGGCCAGGACCATCCTGGTGATGGATGCCTGGTTTCAGAGGAGATTGCAACCTGTGTAAACTGTCATGGTAATCACTTTGCCAGTAGCAATGTATGCCCTGAGCTAGGCCGTCAGAAGAGCATAAAGGCTCTCATGGCGGAAAAATCGATTTCGTATGCAGAAGCGAGTCAGGTCTTTCCCACCATCAAGAGGTCATATGCAGAGGTTTCAAAATCTTTTAATCAACCTAAACCCAAACTGCCTCAACAGAACTATAATACTTCCCAAACTCCCAAATCTTTACGTAAAACTGTCTTTTTAAAACCTAAATCTCATGCCCCGCTGTCTCCTAGTTACGATAAGCAAGCTCATCGAGCCCTTATCAACAATTATTCCTTTTCCCCATCACAAAATGGTTGCGCCTATCCTTTGGAGGGTGAAAACAACCATAATCCTAGAAATATTTTAAACATTATCACTAATATGCTTATGGCAGTATTAGAAAATCCTTCACATAACATACCTGACCACGTTGCCGACAAACTGACCAACATCCTACAATATCTTGGTAACATTCCATCCCCTAACATTCCTTCAATGGAACGCGAGGAGTATTCTTCCGAAGAAAACTGACCTAGTCCATTTAATAAATAGATACAAACCTCTGGTATGTGGCATTGCTGAGACGTGGCTTAGACCGGATTCTAATTTCCGGGTGCCGGGTTTTAACAGTGTCAGGTATGATAGACCAGATGGTTATGGAGGCTGTGCTTTGTTTATTAATAGCAAAGTACAGTACTCTATTATATCTTTACCCTTTGTTAGTGATGACATTAATGCTGTTGCTGTTAAGGCTAAGGATATAAACATTTTTGCTTTTTATATTGCACGCCCACACATTAGTCATTTACAGTCAATTAAACATTTTCTAAATACTGTTAGTGGCCCATTACTAGTAATGGGTGATTTTAATTGTCATCATTATAGATGGGGTTCAGACATGTGTGACAGTATAGGCACAGAATTATTAGAGATCATAGACGAGCTTAATCTATGTATCATTAATGATGGCAGTGCTACACGTAGGTCTGCATTCGGTCAAAGGAACAGCTGTGTCGACTTGACCTTTTGTTCTCCCAACATAGCTAGCATGACGGACTGGAGGCGCTTGGATATGTCCTATGGTAGTGACCACTATCCCATCATAGTCACAAACCACTCCAATCCCACGCTTGATAAATCCCTTCCTCCATTGTTAAAATATCGCTTAGAATCAGCAGACTGGGATCTTTATTCCAGACTACTGGATTTCCGTATCTCTTCCCTTCCACCTATTCATGCTGAGAACGCATCAGAGTGTTTCTCTAGCTTCTCGGAAATAATATCTACCACTGCTGCAGATTGCTTCCCGACTAAAATTCCACCGAAAGGTAAAATTGCCCTCCCGCCGTGGTGGGATAGTGATTGCACTGCCGTAATTAAGGCCAGGAATGAAGCTGAAAAGACGTATAACCGTGACATGAGCCTGGGCAATCTCATATCTTTCAAACAAGCATTGGCAAGGTCAAGGAAATTATTAAAAAAAAAGAAAAAGCAAGGCTGGCGGAATTTTTGTAATGCTTTGAGTCCATCGACTCCAGTAACAACTGTCTGGCGAAAAGTCAAGAGTTTCAGAAACTGCACAAGACCACCTTCTGTTTCCATGCTATCAGAAGATCTGTACCATAGTTTTTTCTCAAACGTTGCTCCCTCATATGTCCCTGAAGAGGAAGAGTGCGAAATAGGGGACTTGTTATGTTCTTGTGATCCTCTTGACGTAACATTCTCTATGGAAGAACTTGAAACAGTTCTGAACCACGTCAAGGACTCTGCTCCCGGTATAGATGGTTTCCCGTACTCATTTATAACGAAAAGCGGGGCTAAAACACGGTGGTACTACCTTACCTTGGCCAATTTTTGTTTCACTTCCGGTTACATTCCCACAGCATGGAAGGTTCAGGTTATTATGCCTATATTAAAACCTGGCAAAGACTCTAGAGATCACTTGTCTTATAGACCGATTGCATTGTCGTCCATACTCCTCAAAATCTTTGAACATTTAATAAAGAACCGTCTAGAGTGGTTGGTAGAGAGCCGGGAGATGCTTCCGGCGACTCAGTTCGGTTTCAGAAAAGGTTTAGGCACTGTTGATAGTGTGGGTACCCTCACTTCAGCGATCCGGCTGGCTCTTTGCAGGGATGAGTCGTTGGTGGCAGTCTTCCTGGATATCTCTTCAGCATATGATTCTGTACTTCTACCCCTTCTCAGGCGGAAAATGCAAAAGCTGAAAATTCCGAGTGGGATTATACGAATTATTTGCTGCCTTCTTACCAATCGCACCCTTCAATTAAGAACTCCTGAGGAGAGCCCTGCACGGCGAATTGCCTGGAGGGGCTTACCTCAGGGATCAGTTCTCAGTCCTATCCTATACAACATATATACCTTTGATCTCCCTTCCTGCCTAAACTTTGATTGTAAATCTCTCCAGTATGCTGACGATATTGCACTGATGGTCACTAGTCATTCTATAGTCGATGCCACTTTCTCTGTGAATGTCTCTTTGGCTTCATTAAACCAATGGCTACTTGATCATGGACTATCTTTGAGTGCTCCAAAGAGCTCTGCTGTTGTGTTTACACGTAGACGTCGTACCCCAGATCTAAATATAAGTATTAACGGTCAGATTATTCCCATTAAGGCGAAGGCCAAATTTCTAGGAGTTACCCTCGATTCCAAGATGTCAGGTGTGGATCACATTGATTCGGTAACTAAAAAAATTGAACGCACCGTATGTATCCTCCAAGCTTTAGCCGGGGTATGGTGGGGTGCACACCCATACACTTTAAAGTTAGTCTATAACGCTTTGGTTAGGAGTGTGTTGGATTACTGCTGTTTCCTGATTATACCTTGTAACAAGGGAGCACTGCGAAAGCTAGATTATATCCAAGCCAAATGCCTTAGGACTATTATTGGAGCAATGAAATCATCACCCGTAAATGCCCTACAAGTGGAATGTGCTGAACCACCTCTTGATCTTCGTCGGCAGTACCTCGCAGATCGTTTCATATCAAAAGTCCTCTCCCGATCATCCCATCCTCTACTTCCCATTTTGGATCAAATTCTCCTCTCCTATGATTCCTCTCCATACTGGCTCCACAAACCTATACCCCCAGTGATTGTCAGATACAGAGAGCTTAAAAATCTTTCGGCCTCTGTCAGTCAATTCCCAATTCTCCCTGTATTCTCTTCTGCATACGAAGCCATCCATTTTAAACCGAAACTTGTTCTGGGGTTAGGTCTTTCAAAATCTTCGGCAAACATTGTTGGAAACTTTGAGCGGGCACTGGAAGTGTATTGGAAGGGCTGGAATGTGTTCTACACTGATGCGTCAAAGTTGACTCAAGAGGGTTGTACAGGGGTGGCAACATATTTTCAGAACTCCAGAATAACTATGCTTTTTAAGTGTCCGCCAGAGGCTTCAGTTTTCACGGGAGAATGCGTTGCAATCTTGGAAGCTGTGAAATTTATTAGAAGTCATAATATTAAAAATTCTGTAATTTTTTCAGATTCCCGTAGTAGTATTCAATCTTTAGGTCAAAATCAGTTACACACCAAAATCCATAGCCAGCTAGTTGTAGATATTAAACACCTCCTTTGGTGTTGTCATAATGAAGGGCTTAATATCGAAATAGTTTGGATCCCTGGCCACTCTGGCATACGCGGAAATGAATGTGCTGATGCGTTGGCTAAGTTTGCTACGTCAGGTGATGTGGAACGCCATCATTTTGTTATACCCGGCTATGATATCCGAGCCGACACAAAGCGAAAGCTCTATGACACGTGGTCTTCAATATGGAAAAGTACCTCACAGCGTAAAGGAGCTTACTACGCTTCCGTCCAACCTAGCATCCAGAGGAAACCTTGGTTTTTTAAATTTCGTAAAATCCCAAAACAAGCAGTCACGTCCTTGTGTAGACTTAGACTCGGCCACTGCAGTAGTCCAGTTTTTTTGTACAAGATTCACATTCGTGACAACTCTGTATGCGAATGTGGTCTTGATGAGGGTACCCTCGAACATATATTTTTTTCTTGCTCCATAAACTCCCAATATCTAGACCTCTATAGAGAACTCCCTAATATTAAAATTCCCCTCCCAATTAATTTTCGCTCACTATTAACCAATTTTTATCCTAAACTCATTAACCTTTTGGCAAAATTCATTATTAAAAATAATATTAAAATCTAATATATAATGAGAGTACCTAATATAATATAGTGTGCTTAAATTTAAATGTCAATGCCATTTTTTGTCCCTTTTCTATTTATATATATAATCTGTAATGCCCACACCTACCGTAACACATGACGCTGGCAGAATAGTCAACTACTAAATAGTGGAGACTCAATTGCCATAGAAGAAAAAAAAAAAAAAAAAAAAACCTATTTGTTGTCATTTTGTTATCTCTTTCGTTTCAAGTTGTAAAATCGTAACATAATGAAATGTGAATATCAGCGTTACAAATTGTTAATTTAACCAAGTGTACTCCTTATAACAAACAGATATGTTAAATATGAAATAATTGTGTAATCACCTGTAAAATTCGCCGGCGGATCCTCCACTTCCAGAACTTAATTTTCAAGTTAAACTTCCGAAAAGCAGCAGCTCAAACTTTTATTTTTAAACACAATGACTAAAATAGAAACTTACGTATTTTTCGACATCGAAACTACAGGATTACCACACGAGGAGAGAAATAAAACCAAGATTACTGAATTATGTTTCATAGCAGTTTTGCGAGAGCACATCAAACGAGGTCCATTTGCTATCATACCGCCAGTGAGTAAACTAAGTTTACTTATCAATCCACAGAAAAGGATAAGCCCTATATCAGAAAAAATTACTGGCCTGTCTAATGATTTGTTGAAGAATGCTCCAATTTTCCAAGAAAATGTGCATACAATCGTTTCATATCTATCCTCACTTCCTAGGCCTATATGCCTGGTTGCTCACAATGGCGACCGGTTTGATTACAAAATTCTCTTGGCAGAATTCTTAGATGCCAATGCTACCCTGCCGCAAGATATTCTGTGTGTTGATTCCTTGACTGGATTTCGACAGATATTAAAAAATAATATAGTTCCTTCTACTGTTAGAAAAGATGACGTAACAACGAAAAGTAGCTCTACAAAAGATGACTCACTGTTAGAAGAGGATTCTTTAGCTAGAGATAACAATTCTTTGATAAGTGAGGATTCATTGATAAGCGAAGACTGGCCCGATCTAGATGTAAGTGTAGATGACTGGAAGGAGATTGATTCTCTGTGTTCCTCTTTCTCTGAAATACCTTTAGATGGTAACAAGTCAAGTAGCAATTCTGATGAGCCTAAGGTGCAACCAAAGAATGTAGAAAAAGGGAATGAGAAAATAAGTTATGCATTAACTGAACTTTATAAAAGGATAGTGAAGAAGGAAGTGTACAATGCCCATAGAGCTGAAGATGATTGTTTTATGCTCGTGGAGTGTGTGGTTGCTACCAAGGAGTTCTTACCATGGGCTGATAAGTTCTGTAAAAGTATTCATGACATTTCTCCTTTGGACCGCTATAAATATGACTGCAAGACATCCTCCCCTTGCTAAATTATTTTATATAGGATTTTTTATACAATTTTATAATCATTACTTTATTTTATAGATTTATATAATTATAAATGGGCATGAACTGACTGACAGTACACATCAAGGCTGCCTTGTGAAGCTGCTTGGTCAGTCAGTATACAGCTAACACCTATTGCACATATGTTTTTAATGATTGTTTCAAACACAACATGTTATATTTTATTTTGTGACTATTTTATTATTATTATTGATTTAATCTATCATGTTACTAAAGGTATTGTTACCTATATGATTATATTCTTTAAACTGTCTAACACCGAGCAGTCACCGGTGACCGCAACCTATTGTTCTTGAATTGTGTCTATAATGATGGTACTAAACGAGTTAATTGTATTAGTTTTTGGAAGATATACATATTTTATGGCTTATAAGTCTGTAAGAAACTGTAGTTTCTTCCTGCTTTTACACAAGTAATTTGGGGTTTTAGGAAAGTACACAGACATTATGCCCATGCATAATGTCTTCTACTTTCCATTATGAATGTTTATTACTGTACTCCTTACAGTGTTTAGTTTGTTGCAAACTTTTATATTATTTATACCTATTATATAGATAAAACAAATTATGTATACTTCTATGAATCATGTTATTTTTTAGAAGATTATTTACTTTAAGATTCATATTATGTTACTTACTACAACATTTTTATTTTTTATGTTTGCTTGTAATTGATTTAAAACGAATAAAAATATACTACATAATATCATTACATCACTTTTATTCTCAAGTGCTTCATCTAGTCTTATAACAATTCGAAAATTCTTTCTAACCCCGAAAAGTGGGATCGAATTTGAGACTAATACTTACCCTGAGTAGTATACAAAAGTCAGTTGAAAGAAAGCGTGGCTATTAAAATACCTTGAATGTAGAGATAGCCTTTGCCGAGTTCTTCTGATATAAAATCTGTGAGTGTGCTGCGATCAATTTTTCTCTAAAACTAAATGTTAATACATAATGTAAATATTGCTTGGTACTTGGTACTCGCAGTTTAGGCACCTTAGTAATTTAGGAACTTACTTCATTAGTGAAGCAATATTTTCTAAGAAAAGAACAAATATGTAAACACTTTTCTGAAAACCGCATCACAATGGGTTCAGCCAATCAAGAGATTATTGCGCACATAAAGCCTTACATACATACATACATAGAGGTAGAACTGAGAACCTCCTTTCTTTTTTGAATTCGGTTCCAATTTCTGTTTCCGCTTCCATCATAGATATACATATCAGTGGCTTCCATTTATACAAAACAGTGATACAAAACCATTTTTTTCATCTGTGGTCATTAGCCATTGGATCAGTGTCGGTCACTTACTCATTCAGTTAATTAATCAATCAATTCATTCGGTCATTTCGCAAACGTCATACAATATTGTTTATTTCAAAGGAGGTTACATTTGCGAGTTTTTCATAAAATATCGGATGAAATAAATAAGACATATTGTAGGTACCCAAGTCAAAGAGTATAATAAGTATACAATGTCTATATTAGCAGTGAGAGGTATACCAGCAAGGGTAAGAAAATAATACTTAATTACTTCTGCTGAAATCAGTACTAACAATCGATGGAATTCTAAATAAATTTTTGTTAGGTTTTAGTACTTAAACTGGTATATAATTTTTACAGTGGTCTCTTATGAATGTTGTGAAGATACTGGCTAAAACGATAGCTGGTAATTTTGAAGCATTAAACTTTGAAACTGGGAAAGGTGGCAGGAAGGTATGCTACCTAAGATTGTCGGAGAAATTGGACCCAGTTCGCGTTGTGGAGAAGATTAATTCTACAATATTTCCAAAGCAGTTTCGGCCGTTTGCATACATCCCTGATCATGTTCCTGATGTAAGTTTTTAAAATTAATATTTGACAATTAACTACAATTTTATTCTGTAAAGTACCTTAATGTTAACTAACAGTAAGGAAAGGTAAATAAAAAGCTCTTATTTAGCGACTTTAATTACACGTTTTTGTCATAATAAGGGAAAATAAACAGGAAACTTAATGTTTCTCTATTTTATCTTTGTTTCCATAGGAGCAATTAATGTAAATATTACTATCTCAATTCAAATTTCCAAGCATATAGGTATATATTTTCAATTGCTGATGTAAAACATGCCATAATGTTTAAGAGAAATTCAATCTTTTGTTCAAACTTATTGAACCTATTACAGATTCCGCTGGCAGTGAAACCTAGGAAGATACCGAACAAGTTACGGCGGGCACTTTTGATTGCTACTGAAACTGAGCCAGAGAAGGTAATATTTACAAATAACATCACTAACTAATGTTATGTGTCTGAAGAGTTGGTTTGAACGCACTAATCTCCAAAACTAATGGTGTGAATGAAACTTTTCTTGTTTAAAAAAAACATAGCCCTCTACACTAGGATTCTTTCCTGTATTGTGGTTGCGTTTACAAACATATAAGTTCACATACTTGGTATTTTGTCATGTGAGTGACGTTACCCCCCTCTTCCTTCCCTAATCTCCCTAACAATCCTTAACCCATAGATCCCCAAGCGGTCACCGGTGACCGCTCTCCCCTAATATTACATTACATTATAGACCTTATTTCCAATGTTTAGAGACTACTTTTGTATGACCAAATTTAGGGGATGGATTTCAACGGGTTAAATTCCTAATCCCCCTAATAGGCCGATAATGCACTTGTCAACAATTCTCTACTTGTCAACAATTCTCTGGTGCGATTGTTTACCATCAGAAAGAAAGAAAGAGGTGATATGTCTGTTCATTTACCTGATCATCCCATACATACAGTGTTTTATTTCCAGGTGATTGCTATGACGAGTAATGAGATTATGACGGAGCTGCAGAGCAAGTACCCTGGTCTGAACAATGTCAGCAAGAAGACCAACCATAAACTCATGGAGGAGCTGACTAAGGTACTATTGCATTGTTATTCATTCACTAATACAAATATGTCCGCTCATTTTACACTTCTGTTGTTCTGTAGGTAAAATTTTCTTAATTTTATCTTATACTTTATTATTTCTTTATTTGTTTGAATGTGCTATTCCCTAGAACGACTGGTCCCTTTTGAATATTCCATTTTGTGTTGGATAGTATATTAGTATATTTGAAGAGGATGAGGAAGGTTATAGACTATTCCTAACACATCACACTACGATCAATAGCCGCCTAGCAAAGCGAGTAAAATAACTAATATTATAATTAATATTTTGCAGCTTTACAAAAAAATTAAAATACACACTCACCCCCTATTACATGGAACTCATAACACCAATAGTGAAAAGTGGGTGTTACATTGTACAGTGGCATAATGTGCACAGAGGTGCACATTATGCCACTTTTATCACCCTTTTATCACACCTTTTATCACCGAAGGCAGAGGCCTTCGGTGATAAAAGGCGTGATGTTATGTTATGTTATGTAAAATAGATCACAGGAAGAAATTCCAATAGGAATAGGTGGTACCTTTGTACTTTAATTTTATGTATGTGTTGTCCTTTATGTTGTTTGTGTGTACATAAATAAATAAATAATAATAATAAATAAATAATAGACACTAACATTTACTTTTTGTATTTACAGAAAGTGTTAGAAAGAGTCCAAGGCGTAGGAGAAAGGCATGCAGACATGCTAGAGTCATGTTACAAGTTGAGCCGGTGCTACCGTCGCACACACCCACATTTCGGTGACTTCCAACTTGTACTGGGCACGCTACACACACTGCAGGACGCCGCCGGGATCCCACGTACACAGCTCAGTGAAAAGGAACTTTCTGAATTACCTTCACATTCTTACAGTGAGTTTGTTTTCTTATTTATGGAATGGAATAAGCCGGTAAACGAGCAGACAGATCACCTGATGGTAAACTATCGGCGCCACCCATGGACACCTGAAACACCAGAGGTGTTACAAATGTGTTAATGGCCTTTTGGGGATTAGGAAGATTGAGGAGGGGGTAATTGGGCAATGTAAATGTGAAATAAGGTACTTTAACATTAGTCATATTCAATCCTTATATGTATGTTATAAAAATAGCTAATCTCGCGCTTTACTTATTTAACTAGATTAAATATAATAAACTAAATACATAGCCAAATAAATAAATGCTAAACTAATATTATAAAGAGGACATACATAATTTTTTTTGTTTGAAATTGAATAGGCTCTGAAACTACATACCGGACTGATTTTAAATGTAGTTGGTTAATGATGAACATAGACTATATTCAATAAGAAGAAACCCAATTTAAAAATCCTAATTCTGCCAAAAGTCGTTATTCTACGCAGACGACAATTTTGTTCAAAGTGATGAATACATACTCGCACACGCTTACTTGTCTCTGTGACGGTCACTCCTGAACTGAATGAGCATCTTATTCAACCGAAAATGTTGAATATCTCAGAAACTAGCCACTTTCGGAGTTTCGGACCAGAGTCCTCAGGGCTATTTTTGTAGAACATTATTGGTATTATCACCTCCTGAGAGGCATACGTCGAGTTACAAGTCACCCTGTGTGTATCACATTTTTTGATTGTGTGGAAACAATTTGTTTTTAAGTAAAAATGTATTTTTTTTTCAGTGATTGACAACTTGCCGTTTGATAAAGTGCAGCAAGCCTGCAATAAGTATTCAGACAGAATTATAAAGAAGGTAAGTATTATTACATTACCGTTCTATGATAACAGACATTTATCTTTAAAGTATTTTCAAAAGTATATTGATCTATTTTTTGGGTAAGGTGAAAACCTGGTAGACCAATCACCTGACGGTAAGCAATAATCGCCAGCACACCTATCGTGGGACTTCCACCCAATACCGTCTTTACCATAAGGGGCACTCGGGCTCGTGCCCAACCTTAGTTGGCATCGAAGGACCGACAATTTATGCGATAGACACGGCAACCGGTTGCAAATCTTTGTGTGCTTTACAAATTGTTGTTCCGGGTCTGAGTGTCAAGTATATGTGAACTCGTATGTTTGAAAATGCACCCACGACATAGGAGAAAATCCTATAAAAGTTAAAATAAATAAAATTTTCCAAAAGGGCCCCAGCGTCTAAGACGGCCCTGCGTCCACCTCTCACTTACTGCTACTATATAGTTGAAAACTGAGCAATGGATTTTGATGCGGTTTTTTTAAATACTTTGACTTGTAGCCACTTTCGGACTAGGAACCTCAGGGCTAATTTTGTACGAAATTCGTTGTATTATCACCTCCTGAGAGGAATATGTCGAGTTACAAGTCACCCTGTATATGTCATTTTATTTATATGCAAGTATGTCATTTATTTATTTATTTCAGGTAACTGAACACGTGAAAAATCTCAAATCTGAGGTGACGAGCACCGACACAGAAGATGAAGTGGTCAGGAAGAGAGTTCGAGAGGAACTCAAGAAGATGACGCCATTCTTGTCCATGGTATGTCGTACCCATTTGATGGATGTTGATGTTGCATATAACATTACTCCTTTTATTATATATTTAGGCGGAGGTGCACATTACGACACTTGATGCCAATGTACAATGTAACACCCACTTTTCACTATTTGTGTTATGAGTCCCATGTAATAGGGGGTGAACCTTTTGCCATATACCGGGCACAGTTCCAGACTCCGTGCTACCACAAGAATTTTTTAAAAACTCAGTAGTACTGTACCCGACCCGGGAATCGAACCCGAGACTCCTTGCCTGACAGTCGCACTCGCGACCACTCGGCCAACGAGGCAGTGCCATCTATGATGAATAATATGAAAATGAATGATGGATAGATTATTATGTGATTGCTATATTTAAAAAGCAGTTTTTGGTTATATTTATTTAAGTAATTATTTATTTGTTTTGTTTTGTATAGATCGTGAAGCAAGTTGTGAGCAAACACTTCATTCCACAAAAGACTGGCTACTATAAGTTACGGGTGAGTAATAATTTATTGCGATCTTTTACAATCGTGTAAACTCCTATGTTTATAATTTCAGTACTCAATAATGAACTACTGTTTGAATATGAATGCAATATTTATATTACTGCTCCTGTATCGTGGTTGAAACTACAAAATATACTAGAAATGGAACAAAAAATTGTGAATCAGACAACGAATTGTTCCGTGCGGGAACCAAACTCGCGAGACGTTGCCATTCCAGTTGCCCAATCACTGCACACATTACTATATTAGATTTTGTACTCCGACGAAAAGCATCAATTTTTTTATACTACCTAGCTTCTACCAGTGTTCGACTGCACGGTTGGTGCGGTGGCTGGGCAACCGGCTGCCGTGCAACGTGTCGCGGGTTCGATTCCCGCACGGAACAACACTTTGTGTGATCCACAAATTGTTGTTTCGGGCCTGGGTGTCATGTGTATGTTAGCTTGTATGTTTGTAAACGCGTTGTGGGTGCGTTTACAAACATACACACAGGAGAAAATCCAGTTGTGGGGCAAAGTTTTATTAAAAAAAAAATAAGTGTTTCGCCCACGCTCCCGTGGGATAAAAACTAGCCTATGTATAATTTCAGACCTTAATCGATCCCTGTTACAAATGTCATCCCCATCCCTTCAACCGTTTTGACGTAATGAGTAACAAACAAACAATGTAGTGGTGGCCCGGAGGTTTAAGACGCCCGCTTCTCATGCATGAGGGTGCGGGTTCGAAACATATCAACAACGGCACGTACCAATGTGACCTTTTCCGAGTTATACAGCGTGACCAGTGACCTCAGGGCTATTTTTGTAGGAAATTACTTGTATTATCACCTTCCGAGAGAAATACGTCGAGTTACAACCACCCTGTATGTACTAAAATTATTTATTACACCACTATCAAACGGTGAAGGAATACATCGGGAGGAAACCGGGACTTTATAATTTCTAATTATAAGTTTGAAATCGCCAACAAGCATTGAGCAAGCGTGATTAACGCTCAAACATTTTCCATGTAAGCAGAGGCTTTGCTCAGCAGTAAGCATTAATTATAGGCTGTTGATGTGAGTAACAAACACCGACCTGATAGAGTAACAATCAAACCAGAGTTACTTACACAAACACAACGTCACAGAATTTCGCATTTTTCAAAGACAAAATCATTTATTTCTATGGTACTTATGAACGTCAACAAAAAATTATTTAATACTAGCTTTTACCCGCGGTTTCGCTCGCGTCACAAAAGGATAAAAAGTAGCCTATGTGACATATACCCATATACACAGCGCCATCTATACCAATACTTTTGTTTTCCCTCGGTAATATCAAATTTTTCTGGGATAAAAAGGAATTAACCCTATTATTTAATCCGGACTTCTAACTTTACGTCTGCAAAAATTCAATGCAATCGACATCAACAAACTCACTTTCCGATTTATAATATTAGTAAGGATTAATACGGTTAGTACGGATAACATTTAATATATTACATTTTACAGATATACGGCGAGCCGTACCTCCCCGGTAAGGAGACGATGGCGCCGTTCTTGCGTTGGTTCCAAGCAGTGCGCACGATTCGTTCGGAGCGCATGTTCAACTTGCTGCTCTTCGGCGTGCCGCCCTCCAACTATGCCGCTATCATGGCCATGGATGGCACTGTTCTCAGTTAGTATTATATTAAGTAAATAACATATTTGCAGTAAGTTCAAGAAATAAAAATTTACAAGTGTGTTTTTGTATGTGTGTATTTTTTATTTTGGTCGTCCTGGAGATTGAAATTAACGTCATAGGGAACTGCTGGATGCAGATCAGTTCCAACCGATCTGTTTGAATAGTCAAAGTCAAAGTCAAAATCATTTATTTCAATTAGACCAGAAAGCACTTTTGAACGTCAACAATAAAATTAAAAGTGAAGCTATTTGCTCATTCCAAGATGTAGATTTCTATGGAGAAGACCAAGAAACTCCATATCATCGGGGAGGCCTATGTGAGGCAGTAGTCTTATGGTTGACTACTGCAGTAGTACTGCTGACAGTTGAGTCAACTGCATCAGTATGGTCTCCTCTATAAAAGAAGAATTTATAAAAGGGAGTTAGAGTTTAAAAGGATCATACTTGTCAGAGAAATCTGCTGACCTTTCGCTGTTAAAATATGTAGCCCCTTAGGTGACTCATACGACATACACGAGTAGAATAGGGGAAGTGACAAAATTAAGCTAAATGATGTTTAATACTATACTCATAAGCCTAAAGAGTGCCTTTAGGCTCTAGGCAGACGGATCGTAATCTAACCGCAAATTGCAATTTGGATGCAGTTGTCACGACTGCAATTGAACGTGCAAACCAAACGCGCAGTCCATTTGCAGTTCTATTCCAATCGTATCAACTACATTCGAACTGCAATTTGCGATTAGATTGTAGTTCAAATGCGGTCCGTCTGTCTAGAGCCTTAGAGATAATAACGGCTCTGACAACTTATTTATTTATTATTTTTTCACAGACGGTGCCAAGCTGGTAATACGGCCGTCAGACCTACCCATGTATAAGTCGCCGAATTCCATCCTTTCTGCCACTCAAGAGGCAGATACTCAGGAAGAAGATATGACAGAAGTTCAGACTGGCGAGTGGAATGACGATGAAACTTTGTAATCATTACAAGCCAAGTACACGTGCACCGAGAGCGGGAATAAGATTTTGTATTTCATAATGTGTATTTAGTTTATATATTTAAGTTAATAAATAACTTTAGACATACTATCTTGTGTTTGAAATATAATCGTTAAATCCATAACCCCAAAAGGCCGGCAACGAACTTGTAACTCCTCTGGTGTTGCGGGTGTCCATGGACGGCGTCGATTGCTTACCACCAGGTGAACATTTAGCTCGTTTGCCGTTCTATAGGAACAGTAATTTCATTGTTACAAAAATAATGCCATATTTGCTCCAAATAACCAGGACTTGATAACATTGTGAGAAGTGTATTAAAAAGTGCGTATTTTCCTTGCAAAGGTGGTAAAATTATAATTTTTGAATTATTTTTTTTATTTACGTTATAACATCACGCCGTTTATCCCCGAAGGGGTAGGCAGAGGTGCACATTATACCACTGTACAATGTAACACCCACTTTTCACTATTAATGTTATGAGTCCCATGTAATAGGGGGTGAGCCTATTGCCATATACCGGACACATTTCCAGACTCCGTGCTACTACTGAGCTTTTTTTTTAAAAACCCAGTATTCCTTTGCCCGTGCCGGGAATCGAACCCCAGACCCCTTGCCTGGCAGTCGCACTGCGACCACTCTGCCAACGAGGCAGTTTATTTACGTTATTTTAATTTTATGAGATCTGATTGGCGGACTAAGTAGCTGTTCATACAGGTGATTTGTAACTCGGCGTATCTATTCCCGTGGTTAGTACTTAGTAGTACGAAAGTGGTTAGTTTTTGAGATATTGAACATTTTCGTTTTTGGAGAAAAAAAACCTGTTCTATACAAAAACATTAAATAAAAAACTACTGGGTTGATTTAAGTGACTTTAGTTTGATTTACATCAATAAGCATTTTATTAATTCTAATACTTTCAGATATATCATTCCTTTTAAAGTAGCAAGTAAATTAGTATCAAATTTTGTTTTGCTTCACTAAATTAGGTTCATTGAAAACTGAATTTATTTAAAAAAATGATTTTACACTAAGCGTACAAACTATAAGAAAAACTTCCTTTGTTTATTAGCTACCCGAAAACATTGACTTATTTATAAAATTCTCAAAAATAAATTAATAACTTGATGATAAGTAGAGCGTAAAGGAAAATTGTCAATTTTTAAAACATACATAATTTTTGTTCAGTGGCCTTCCGCAAGTGTGACTGCCGGGCAAGGGGTCTCAGGTTCGATTCCCGGGTCGGGCAATATATTACTCGGTTTTTGAAAAAATGTCAGTAGTAGCACGGAGTCTGGAATTGTGCCCGCTATATGGCAATAGGCTCACCCCCTATTGCATAGGACTCATAACATAACATAAGATGAATAGTGAAAAGTGGGTGCTACATTGTACAGTGGCATTAAGTATCGTAATGTACACCTCTGCCTATCCCTTCGGGGATAAAAGGTGTGATGTTATGTTGACCTTCCCTATGTTGCACTTTTCTTTTCTCTGTGCGTTCACTCTTGAACTGAATGAGCGTCTTAATTCTTCAGCCGCTTCAATTATTTTTCCGCGAAGGATTTCGATAGACAGAATTGGCGTTGCATAAACAAGGACTTCACTTCACACGAGATCCTGTGTTAGGTCTGGACACGGTGCGGGCCATGGAATTTGACCCCCCTGCCAATTCAACGCTTTAGAACCAAGGTATCCAGCCATCGCCGCACAGTAATTCGATAGTGCGCTGGCCAACATTCGTGTTAGAATATCATTCGTCTCCTTGTTTCTAAATCTTTCCAGCAATGACCCTAGCTCATTCCTTTAAAATTTCTCATATTTATCACCTTGCTTTTCTTGAATTTTATTGCCTTTTTTGGGACTAATAATGGATATTGTGATAGTTTATAATACAATCCTGGTTGAATTGCTCCCAGCCGTCCATAATTCGCCTAAGAAAGCTTGGTTCTTATCATTGTAGCGCCTGAAGAAATAAGACGCTCATTCAGTTTTAGACTGACCGTCACGTCGCGGAGAACCTAACGGGTAACCGGGGCTCCGGCTCGACGTGCAGGCGAAGGAACGGGGTGGTTTTTAGTCAGTAAGAGTCTGACACTCCCTCCCACCTCACCCAGGCGGGAGAAGTCATTCGATGATTTTCCCCCCTTAAAAAAAAAAGACTGACCGTCACAGTGATAAATAAGTTGCGGGTATGTATTCATCATAGGGTACTTTAGGTAATATAAGGTCACTTTGAACAAAATTGAGTAAGTAATTATATTTTTCAAATTACTAATTATTAAGTTACTGATTTATTTTTGAGGATTTCATAAATAATTAGCTTCTGCCCGTGACTTCGTACGCGATCCCGTTTTCTCTCGTTCCCGTAGGATTTTCAGGTTTTTTTTTAATTCATAAGAGTACCTTCTACTGATTATAACAAATACAACAAAAAATAATTAGTAAAATCCGTCCACGCGTGATGCCGTGACTACGATACGAAACGGATTCATTTTTATATGTATATACATAGATTTAATGTTTTTGGGTAGCTAATAAACCAAGGAAGATTTTCTAATAGTTTGTACGCTGTGTAATATCATTTTTTTTTAATAAATCCAAATTTCTATTGACCAAATTAGTGTCTGAAAACAAAATTTAATACTAACATAGTCCCTTTTTTAAAAATAATACTATTTCTGAAAGTATTAGTATTAACAAATGTTTATTGATGTATTGACAATAAATTAAAACTAAAATCACTTAAATCAAACCAGTAGTTTTTTATTTGTGTGTGTAGTTAGATCGGGATATTTTCACCAAAACCGAAAATTTTGTGGGAGAGCCATGCTTCGGCACGAATGGGCCGGCTCGACCGGAGTGATACCACGGCCTCACAGAAAACCGACGTGAAGCAATGCTTGCGTTGTGTTTCGTCGTGTGAGTGAGGTTACCGGAGGCCCAATTACCCTCCCCTTCTCCAATCTCCCCAATCCCTGAATCCCCAACGATCCTCAAACTCCTAATCCCCAAAAGGCCGGTAACGCACTTTTAACGCCTCTGGTGTTCCAGGTGTCCATGGGCGACGCCGATTGCTTACCATCAGGTGATCCGTCTGCTCGATTACCGGCAAATGCCATAAAAAAATGTTGAATATCTCAGGAACTTCCAAACTCAGAAACTAACAAAATTAGTTTTGTAGGAAATTTGTTGTATTATCACCTCCCGAAAGGAATACGTCGTGTTACAAGTCACCCTGTATACACAAACAGTGGGTTATTATTGAGAGTAAAATAAAACAAAATACTTTACGAATAAATGTTTTATTTCAGATCTTTATAACAAAAAATATGTCAAAATAAATAAATGTTTTGCGAATATAAAAATGCATTGTGAATGCAACTGAGTGCAACATGTAGTATGTTTACATTACAACATATATATAATTATATATTAATTTTCACGTAAAAAGCTTTCCTAGCTAATCGCACAGAACTAAACACGGTACGTCTTGACCATAGATGAACCATAGACAAAACGCTCTAGCACATTGGAATGGACAATCGGTGGATAACAAAAATACTGTTTATTCATAAAACTATTTTGATTATAGGCGAATATAAAAATATGTATTTTAGTTAGGTTTAATTATACCCGTATAAGAGGATTAAGTCACCATAATTATACCTTAATTTTAATATTAAATATTTGTGACTTAGACATAAAATCTCACGTACACTAGCAAAAGGTACTTGATACAAAATTTAATGGAGGCAATAACTTTAAATATTTCAATGTACATTTTGCGATTGTAGGCCTTGTTTCTAATGACAATAAGGCATAATTTCGACGTTTTATGCGTAGACTGTGCGATTTAGCCATTCTTCGAGGGAGAATGTGGCGTATTCACCGCCTGAAGATCTCCCCTTGAACGTATCTGTGGAAAAATATTGTTTGTATTACAATTATGTATGATACTGGTGCTAACGTTACCAGTTAGTAAGCTTTAGTGCGGCGATGGACATTTTACAATGTATTTTCCGTATAAAAAACATAACTATTTTTATATTGTTTGGTAAAAATTTCTAAATCATGTCGATACTTGTAAAATATCCGAAAGAAGTGGAAACGTTGTACTGTTTGCGAATAGTTTCAATTGTTAATTTTATACAAATTTACTTTCTTGGTATTTTAAGCGGAAAAAATAAATATAACTTTTGTAATACTATCGCAAACAATATTTTTTTTATTGTAAGGCTGCGTGGGAAATATTTATTGCTTCGAAAATGGTATGTAAATATTGTGTGTACGATAAAAAGTTGCTAAGAACGGCGAATCATATACAATCAACATACATACATATTTGTGTACATTTCAAAACTTTAAAAGTCTAGGACGCATAATGAGTGGAAGATAACTTTCTTACTTTTTATTTTTTTTCACTAATTTTTATATAATTCATGGATTTATTTGTCAATTAATACCCTCCAGGTGGGATCAGCCATTCGATGATTTTCTTCCCTTAACTCTTTGAGTACCGTCATTATAGACAGACACAATTAAAGAACAATAGGTTGCGGTCACCGGTGACCGCGGGGTTTTTGACAGTTAAAAAAAGCCTAATGTACTAGCAACCTTTAAAGCCGTACACACCAAAGAAACAGTAATTTCTATATATTTCCCCATACAACCTATATCATGGTGTTTGACACAGTGGCAGGCAGACGGGTGACCGTATATATCCTGTAATTATTATATATTACGTTGTGCAGATGTCGGCGCCGACGCTCACTTGTTCCACTGCAGCTCGCGCTCGAGATTCTCTAGCGGCTCGTTGTTAGCTGCAGTTATTATTAATATATAATAACTTGGAATTGCAGTGTCACATACATTTCTATACACTTGGGAGCAAAAAACTGAGCCACTGGACCCTTTTTTAATTTTATCGAACCCTTTATAACTTTAAAAGAGTTATTCCTATTACAACAATCTTCTCTCATTTTTAAATTGCTTTTATACAACATTCATTACCAATTAATAAAATACTTGTATTAGAAAATATTTATCAAGAAATGAAAAACAATAAAAACGTTAGAGGCTCCGTTTCTTATTACCACAGTCTATACGTTGTCCCACATTAGGATTTTCTCCTGTGTCGTGGGTGCGTTTACAAACATAATTTCACACCCAGACCCGAAACAGTTTGTAGATCCAAGAGAGTTGGTCCGTGTGGGAATTGAACCCACTGTACAATTGTTTTAGACCTACCTCATAATAATAATCGACAATAAATCACAAAGGACTCATCAAACTACATTGACTTTCGATGACAATCACAGACATAAGCATTGTTATCACATATAGTTTAAATTCAACTGATAATATAATTAAATAGTTATATATAAAAATTTACCTATATATGATATATATTTACAATTTAACATTACCATACAAGTTATATCTCCTGTCTTATAAAAGCAAAGACTTCAAAAAAACATCACTCAAAACTGATATAAATATGTTAAGACGACGGGGAATCGAACCCTACACCTTGCATTAGGGGTTAACTGATTACCAAATACTATAGTATAATTGTATTAAATTCTTGAATTTTTATTCAGTCTATTTTTAATCAAAATATTTCTTTAAAACAATTTGTAAAATGTTCACTATAAAATTTCTTCAACTTATAACATAATATAATTATAATATAGTTTTCAACTTACCGATCATAGTCTTCAATCGCACGGAGCACATTATGAAATCGTCGAACTGAATGTATCCGTCTTGTGAGCTGTATCTACGGAACGAAAGTATGTTAATATAATATGTTAATACAATAGAATGTAATCACTAATATACGAACTAACTTCAGGCTTCACCAAGGCACATAATTACAAGAAGCATTCGTGACGTCGTGTGTCCCACAATGCTGCTAATGAATATGGGCCAGTACGCCATTACTCTTATAATAAACTAGCAAACCCGGCGAACTCCGTTTCGCCACCAAATGGCTTCGTTTTATGTAACATTTCGTTTGGTGATAAAAAGATGAAGAAAATTTTTTTTATATATTTTATAAACCTTACGGAGCCCGAGACCTTTCCAACGAATACAACCGTGGAAATCGGTTCGTGCGTTCTGGAGTTATAGCGTCAGGAAGGAAAACCCGACTTATTTTTATATAGTAGATTTAAATGACAAGATTTATCCAGTAAGGAAAGTATTTCCGTTACTCTACTGTCATTCATCTTTTCTATATGCCCATACCATCGTAGCAATTGCATTATATAGTCTCTGCCTACCCTCATAGGAGACAGGCGTGTATCCGAGACCCTGGGTAGTGGAATACACCTAAAAATGATACCAAATAACACCAATTTTTAGGTCCCTTGATGTTAAGGAACAAAGTGTGGGTGTAGCCAGTACGTAGAGTTACCTGTGCGCGAGTACGTTGAGTACGTGTGCGTTGACGGTGTACCCGGCGGAGTGCAGCGCGTCGCGCAGGTGCTGCGGGGGCAGCGCGCCGCGGCCCTCCGTGTCGTACAGACGGAACACCGCCTGCAGCCACACGCGAACGCATTCATAAATAATACTTAAAAAGGGCCACCATAGTGATAGTGGTAGGCGTAGCATGTCTCTTCTTCGTAGATCTTTATAAAAAAAATATTTGGCTATGAAAATTATGTACTTGTAATATGTACAAGGGCACGGACACGAGTCCGTGGAGAAATTCAATTTATTATTTATTTAAAAAAAAGGGCCACCATCGTAAAGTTTATATATTTATTCGTCTTAGAGTAACTCAAGATCTTATGTTTTTGAGTAAATACTTTTTTTTTAAATTTCAAGCGTTTAATTTAAGTAGGTAAGCAGTAACTTGTAACTTGACGTATTTCTTTTGGAAGGTGATAATATAAGTAATTTCCTACAAAAATAGCCGTGAGATCCCTGGTCCGAAAGTGGCTAGTTTGTGAGATATTTAACATTTTCGGTTTTCTACCTTTCTTGCTTGGCAATCACACTGGTAAGTGGCAATCACGAGGCAGCCTTGAGCCTGTAGATAAGCGATTACAAACGTGCGAACGTCATAAGTCATTTTTAACATATATCTCGCTCACACTCATGCGAGTTGGGGGCATTGTAATTTTTTTTATGGGATTAGCCGGTAAACGAACAGGCGGATCACCTGATGGTAAGCATCGTCATCGCCCATGGACACCTGGAACACCAGAGGCGTTACTAGTGCGTTACCGTTGCGGATAATTGGGCATCCGGTAACCTCACTCACACGACAAAACACAACACAACGTTGTTTCACGTCGGTTTTCTGTGAGGCCGTGGTATCACTCCGGTCGAGCCGGCCCATTCATGCCGAAGCATGGCTCTCCCACACATTCTTTGACGTGACTGTAATGGCCCAACCACATGACTGATCCGAAACTACAATTGCGTTCACTCACCCGCCAATTACGTAGATCAATCCACAAAGTCTTGAACTCATCAAAGCCGAGTCCACCTGAGCCGTCCTTGTCCAACATAGCGACCATACTGCGACATACGTCCTTTGAGAACCCTTGGCCCTTCAGCTCTGTAACGCGAAGAACAAGGTCAGATGGTACATAAAGATTGAGAAACTACCTGTTTGCTTATGTTACAGTGAATTTAGATCTTATGGAAAATGGTTTGGCAACTATAAAGTTGTAAATTCGTAAAAATCGATACTGTAATCCTATTTCCTATCCTATCTTATAAATATTATACAGGGTGACTTGTAACTCGACGTATTCCTCGTGGGAGGTGATAATACAACTGATTTCCTACAAAATTAGCTCTGAGGTCCCTGGTCCGAAAGTGGCTAGTTTCTGAGATATATAACAACTACAAAAACATAAATAATAAAAAAAATTAAGTGATTTTAGTTTTAATTTGTTGTCAATACACTAATAAACATTTAGTAATAATAATACTGGCAGAAATATCATTCGTTTTAAAATAGCAAGTAAATTTGTATCAAATTTGGTCGATAAAAACTGCATTTGCTTAAAAAATTGTATTACACTAACCGTGCAAACTATTAGAAAAACTTCCTTGGTTCATTAGTTACCCATAAACACTAAATAATTAATAATATTCCCAAAATCCTTACTATTATAAATGGGAAAGTGAGTTTGTTTGTTTGTTCCACTTTCACGCCGTAACTTCTAAACCGATTGCTTTGAATTTTTGCAGACGTAAAGTTAGAAGTCCGGAATAAATAATAGGGTACTTTTTAACCCGGAAAATTTTGATATTCCCGAGGGAAAACCAAAAGAATTGGTACAGATGGCGCTGTGTGTATTGGTATATGTCACATAGGCTACTTTTATCCTTGTGTGACGCGAGCGAAGCCGCGGGTAAAAGCTAGTTTGTATATAAATGTGTAAGTTTCTGAAATTGTGTGTATGTCTGTTACTCAATCACGTCAATACGGCTGAAGAGATCGAGATGGAACTTGGAACAGGGGTAGATTATGGTTTGGTATAACACATGCCACTTTTGATCCTACGGCAACGCGGGCGATGCCGCTGGCAGAAGTTAGTTAATATCTAAATGGAAAAGATTTTTTTGTCTAATAACTATCGTAAGACATACATATAAAGATAATGAATCTGTATGTTTAAATGATGATTTATGTCTTTTTAATACGCTTGCACGTTGCTCATGAATAAGGGTCCCATTATAACTTGAAACTAGTAGAGTTTTTTCAAATAAGTAGTTCACTTGTGTAAGCAGTTAATTTCAAATAATTTAGCATTTGTCTGTTTGATTGAAAATTTTGAAAAGAACAGTCCATTTATCGAGAAACGATTTAAACATTACATTATGGCTACGTCTGGACACGGCGAAAGTAGCTGGTTTCTTATAGTTATGATATTGGTAGTTTAAATTATGTAAATGTCATATTTTTATAAGAAATAACGAGCCTTTTCCATAAAAACCTGAATTCAATATAACATCAAAGAGCAAAAAACTTAGCAAATATTTTATGGAAATGGAGGTGACTTAATTACCTACGACGTCGTAATATCAACAATAATATGAAAACTACATTTAAAATGCCCATTTTCGTTGAAGTCCCAACGTAAAAAAAACATGCATAAAGCTAAAAAAATGTACAAATTTCCAAAAACGTGAATTTTTGAAAATTCCTACATTTCTTTCTCAGTGTTAGTGACAAAAAGCTTTATAGCATAGACAATGCGAAATATCGGTTACAGACAACACAATATTCAACATTTATCTATGAACGAAACAAAAATAACAGAAATCGGTGTCCATGGTAACCTGAAAAAAATATAAATTATAAAGAACAAAAAAAGGAAAATCTAAAAATAATGTATTTACATGAAAATATTGACAAAAACAGACATTTTAAATAGTGCCCTCCATTTCTATAAAACGTGTGACGTAAGTAAAGCGGTGCATGCAACAGCTTCTCTGCACACCTGGAAAAAATCTTAATAATTAGTAAAAATTTCATAAAACACTTAAAAACTAACCCTTTATAGACTAAAAAACCCCAAAAGTTAGCTTTTTTAATACCCCCATATTTGGCCCCTAACCGTCCTATGCATGTGCAAATTTGTATTACCAAAACCCCCATATCTCACTGATTTGTAAATCTTTTATCAGTTAGACTTCTCTCTCTTATAATTTTATTATTGTATGCAAGAAATATATCGCTACAAGACTTACTTCAAAAGCGTTCCAAAAAATCCCATTATCAACAAAATCATCTAATTAATCCCATTCTAAAGACAATTCAACTGAGTTAAACAGACACAACATTAAAATATACATAAAATGAAACCCCTGTTAAATAGTGACACTACTCCTTACCTATCTCACAGCACACATGACCCCTTTAATATCACAGTGACACACGAACCCTTAAATATCAGTGATAGATGACCCCTTAAATATCACGGTGATAGATGACCCCTTAAATATCACGGTGATAGATGACCCCTTAAATATCACAGTGGCACATGACCCCTTACATATCTAACAGCACTGATATACGACCCCTTAAACATCACACGGTGATATACGACCCCCTTTACACTTGATAACAAGTTAATACCTGTTTGCGGCTGTGGTTGAGTAAGATGCACCTGTTCTTGATTTTGGTTCTGTTGCTGCATTTGCTGCAGGTCGACTCCAATTTCCTTGCAGATGGGAGTGCAGAGGGCACAGAGTAGTTGTTCCAGACAGCTTGGCTCGTTCCCCCCTCCCCCTCCCCCCGGGGGGGAGTAGTGTACTCCCCCTCCGCCGCCGTCGTAAGCTCCACCTTGCTTCATCGCTAGCTCTGTAGGGATGTTAACCTATGTCTAAGTCTATCTATATTTTTAGATGGATGAGGTTACTCTGTATAGAGGTTGATAGTATTTTTGACTAATATTAAATTTTAGAAATGTATTTGTTATTAATTTTTTTTTCTTGGCGATATTTTAAATTTACGTAATTTTTGGGATACGAGGAAAATGAGCACACGGATCACCTGGTGGCGTCGGTGATGCCGACTTTTTTTTTAAGGCAAGTTATCAATATGAACTGAGGGGAAATTATAATATTATTTATATTATCACGTCTATACAAGTATACACATAAATAACCTCATTTTATTTATAATATTAATTACGATTGTCATTTTATTAACTTACTAATAACTTAACTAAAACGTAAGATTACTTGTATTATTATTTCATAATATACCATGGGATATTAGACAACATTCATAATATAATTATATACAAAATTATATAATCAAATAATAAAAATATTCATGAGCAGTGATACTACTTAAAAAGCAAATGCAATATTTTTTGTAAACAAAACAAAGTCTAAATAAAATAAATAACTACCAAAATAATTAAGTGCAGTAAATAAAAAAATAAATCTAAATTAAATAAAAATATGCTACAATAGAATAATTATCTGATATTTTATAATACTTACATATACTATACCTTGGCGCGGTTAGCGGAACGGAACGAAACGAAAGCTGCGTTTAACTTGACACAAAGCATTATCACATTGAGAAGCTCAAAAATGGGCATTTTAGGGATAATTTTATAATGAAAATGTACACATACACATTATATTATTAATATCAGAGTCGGATTAAACATAGAGAACTCTTTTTGGCGCCCCCGTCACTCAATTGGGATGATGACAGGGTACGAAAATTAAAAATCTAATTAGTCCGTAAGATAGGTAATGAAAAAATATTAGACAAGTATTTTTTTTATTTTGTCGTATAATAAAACAATACTAAGATAAAACGAATCAAAGTTTAGGATTGGGGGCTAAAACGTCATTTCTACGTATAAAATGTACACAGAAGTGAAGTCACGCGACATTTCAAATCAATATACCGTCGAAAGTATTCGTTTCTGTAAGAAAATAAAAAATACGTGTCTAATGATTTAGGCGTCTACCCTATTGACACGAGCCTCTCGCGGCATTATGGCGCCCCTCCCCTCTTGCTTAGATTGTCTTAGGGATAATACGGCTCTGATTTCTACCTATCATCTCTTACACCAAATTCATATTTCAATACAATAAAAAGTTAATCACAATATTTCATAATATGATTATTTACTTGTTCATGCAATGTAAAATAAAATTCGGCATTTGCATTGAAATATGAAATAATAATCTTTTGAAAATAAAATCATATTTGCGTAGTAGATGTACCTCTATATACGTCAAAAATGGAGACAAATATTTCGATTCATTTCTTGATTATATAATTAATATGATGTTTATGAGAATTAAATAAATTAGCTTCACTCTAAGCATTGCTACTCCTGATATGAATTTAAATTCTGCAGCCTCACTCTTGAATCCAAAATCCAATCGATCCACATTAATATTGTTAAATTTCATACTCTTGAATTGCAACACTGGCGCCCATTGCATCCGTATCGCGTGGATATTTTATAAACTAAATGGTTCGCTTGCGTTCGGAGATCTGGGTGCTTACTCTTTAAACCAACCTCAATGTCAATGCAATTTCAATCCAATAAAATCTCAATAAATATTCAATGTCAACACTAAATAACTCCAATCGTAGCTGTCAAAATAGCTTTCAGAGTACGGAATATAAAGCCAATCTCAGTAATATTGAGTTCATTCAATATCCACGCAATACGGATACAATGGGCGCTAGTGTTGCACCACGAGAGTACGAAAAACAATACCAATGTCGATCGATCGGTATTGGATTCAAGAGTAAACCCCCTGGTTCTTGGTCACTTTAAACGTAAAATAGACTCACTAAGCCCTCTGATTGGATATCGAGATTGGCTGTAAATTATATTTAGTATTTCAATGAGTAGCTTGTGTTAACTTGACTAATATTTATACCTATATATATTGTCTGAACTGTTAACATACTTTTATTTGTCGTAAGCAAAGGTGTAAAATTGTACCTAATTTCACTAGTTACGTTGTTAAGACAAAATTGCATTATTTATCAGAAAGCTACACAAAAAATGTCCTCTAAAATGATTTGTCAAGTTCATAATTTTCATTGCTTCCCTTTCTAAACCAAAAAAAGCAATATAGTTTCAAATCAAACTGTCAAACACCGCGCGGACACCGGTGACCGCAACCTATTGTTCTTTAATCGTGTCTATAATGACGGTACTCTACTCAAATGGTTCATTGAATACGGACGCCATACTTAGCTAGTTAGCGTTTAAAATAAAATAGCAGTGCCTAAGAAACTAAGGTTGTAGTTTAAAATGAATAATATTTTTGTAACTTTAAATTGGAAAAGAATGTTGAGATTTCGCGAACGAAGTGTTCTTAAAAATCCACCTTACTTTATGTGACTTACGCCCGAATACTGAAAGGCTAATCAATTTAAAGTTGAACTTAATTAAATATCGTGCCATCTCTGTCATTTTACTAAGAATTAGTTGAGACAGAAATATATTTAAGCACGACTTAAATTTGAATGACGTTTGAGGATTTATTTTATATTTCTATGATAACTGTAGGAATCATGCCAAGCATTTAGTGCCAGTTGGGATACAGGTAAAAACAACGTTTGTCTAAATGAGCTAATCTCCAGAACTACTGTTTAGATTTGGAAAATTCTTTTTGTGTTGGACAGTCCATTTATCGAGGTTATAAAACATCACGCTATGACCAATAAAAACTCAGCAGAGCGGGTGAAACCGCGCGGGAGTAGCAATATAAGTCAAAGTATTTATTTCAATCAATGCTTAGGGCTCGTTCACAAAACTGCAATGTGAATTCGCAACACAGAAAATTACGATGCGAATTGCTGCGATGCGATTTCGTGCGACAAGGCGTCTCCCAGGGTGACCTTTTTACCTTCCTTCTACGACCGTCAACCGTACTAAACGTATTTTAAATTAAAAACTACGTCATGACATGGATCGTATAAAGAAGTGTGCACTTCTGTTATTGCTTAGGAGATACAGGAAAAGAAACAAAGAAGATTTTGTGAAGATAAGATTTTGATGCGCGATGCGGATCAATTCACACATTTTTGCGATGCGACGTCGCCTTGCAGTTTTGTGTACGAGCACTTATTGAGGCACTTTTGAAACGTAAAATTGAATTGTCAGTAAAGCTATGTAAATAAATAAGAAATATCTTCGTACGTGTATATGTTTACCAAATATAATAAATAGTCCGACGTACCTTCCCGCATGGCGTAGTCGAGTATCTCCTTGAGTTCCTGCCAGTCCACCTCGCCGTCGGCGCCGGCCAGCTTCGTGAACAGCTCGCGGACTGGGTCTGCGGGCTCGGGGTTCGGGGCTATCTCCTTCACCTGGACAAGGAAAATAAATCTTTATATATATAATTCTTCTGTAAGTGTGTATGTCACTGAACTTCTCTCAAACGACTGGACCGATTTTGATGAAATTATTTGTGTGTGTTCAAGGGGTTCTGGGAATGGTTTAGATTCACAAATCAGCCTGGCAGATGGCGCTGCAGTCGGTTTCTAGGTTATTTTTCTATACCTATTATTACAGGACAACGTCTGTCGGGTCCGCTAGTATTTATATAATAACTATCGTGAGACATACTGAATTAACTAAAAATGACAGGTTACTCACGTATATATACTGAGAAGTGAGAAAAGCTCTACTAGTTTCGAGCAGCCTAATGCGCGACATCGCCGCGTCCGCGCACGCTACTCATGAGGAAGAGTCCCTCTGTGACTCGAAACTAGTAGAGCTTTTCTAAGTACATTTATGTGTGTAACTCGTAATTTTTAGTTACGAATTTTTTTTTATTTTATTATTTTTTTTCATGATCATGGATCTGGATGGATCTTTGAATGCAATTTAGAACAAGGATAATTAGAACAACACATAGGGTAATTTTATCCCACGGGAAAGACGCGGGCAAAGCTGCGAATAGAAGTCAGTGTCTTAAATAGTTACTAGCGACCCGCCCCAGTTTCGCACGGGTGCAACATATAAAACTTCCTTAAGAATCCCTATATCTACGAAAAAAAACGCATCAAAATTCGTCGCGTAGTTTTAAAGATCTAAGCATACATAGGGACAGACAGACTTTGTTGTATACTATGTAGTGATATAAAAAAAATAGACACTATAGATATATACAACATGTAACTTAAATAACGCACATCCTGAATAGTTTGTAAAGAATCGTTAACTGAATCAATTTATATAATTTTTAGTATAGGTAATTTTTTATCCCAAAAATAATTAAAACATTATTGTCATATTAACCCTGTATTGGTAAAACAAATCGAAATGGACCGTAAGTCAAAGCAATAAGACTTTTAAAATCACAGTTTTATTTGTATCCATACAAATTCTATCATTTAATACAAAATAAAGAAAAATAAACCTTGTGACAAGTAAGGATGGATATACATATTAAATTAAAAATTTTGTGTATGTATTATGATTATAACATAATATTCTAATTGGGGTGTTTGAGGGTGTGCGTTAATTACGTTACATGTTGTATATATAGATACGGTTGGAATCAATGTGACTCACCCGATCATCTACATCTCCCATACCGATGTCCTCGTCATTTTCTCTGTAAGCAACGAATTTTACTAAATTAGATACATAACCATTTTACTATATCTATGACGCGACAGGCAAATGTATTTCAGGTCTTCGAAAATTCTTAGTACAGTGCCTGGTGACACTTACGCCATGTTATTGGACTTCTCAGAGAAGACTCGAAGAAGAAATTCTCCTTCTTCATCAGGATCGAAGGTGGACGGAACTATCACGTAACTGCCTGGATCCAACTTGAACCTGGAAAAAAGAAAATGATACTTTGTAATTGTATCGTGTATTTTCTAATAATAAGTTGTTGCCATCATTTAGTTTTATTGTAGAAATTGTAGTAAAGGCACAGGAAAAGAGATATTGTAAAAAAACTGTTTTTGGTCACCACCAAAAAGAGAATCCATCGAAATCAAAAAAAGCACATCTAAATCTACGAAATTGTCGATTTTCAAAACTCCCGGAAAACATTCAAAGTCAAAGCAGTTATTTCAATTTTTTTTAAAAAGCGTTGCCCCACACGAGGATTTTCTCCTGTGTCGTGGGTGCGTTTACAAACATAGACATTCACACACACATGACACACAGACCCGGCAAAACAATCTGTGGATCACACAAAGAATTGTTCCGTGCGGGAATCGAACTCGCGACACGTTGTGCGGCTGCCAGTTACCCAGCCACCGCGCCAACCGTGCAGTTGCCAAATTATGGTTTAATTTGGTACTTTTGAAACGTCAACAAATACATTCCAGGTAAAACTACCAAATTACTATATTCATGTATTTCTTATGTAAATACTGTAATAAAACTCATGTTAATGCGAATAAAAGTATGTTTTATATCTTTACCTAGCGCTAACTTCTCGTAGATTGATGAAGGCCTGGCTGCGTCCGACGGACGCGTTGTACTTGAAGAAGTTGACGTCGAGTGGTTTGGGCACGTGCCCGTAGTCGGGCAGGCGATACACCGCGAACCCGATCGTCAGGCACTCCAGGCCCTGGTGCCGCTGGGAACGACGGTTCTTCTGCATCAGAGCCACGATGATCTGTGGGTGGAGATATTACTGTTAGCTTTACACATTTAGATCATATAATTTTATAATAGATTACATTTTTCGTTTTGTTTAGTAGTCCAAAGTGTACAACCAGACCATACATCTAACTTAACCCGTCGAGCGTCCGCGTTCCTTATGCATTTCCTTATCCTTATGCATGCAAGAAAACGCATTTATTTGGCCATTGGCACACGAAAACAAGGATCATTACAAAAGATATAAAACAAATACAGTCAAAATAAAAACAAAACTTTAATAATAGATTTTATAAAAGAGAAAGCAGCATGGAGCATTTTTTCTTATCATCCACCGGGTGCTGATAAGGACGCTCGAGGGGTTAAATAGCTTATTTTTAAGAAATAAGTATGCGCTTTGACGCAACAATATTACGACGTAATACACAAATCAATAATTAATAAAAACGTTTTGCTTTCGATATTTCGATAATATTATTGAATTTTAATAATATCATATCAACCACCGAAAGCCTCAAGCGAAGATATTTTACTTTTACTCAAGTACAGTTAGAAAGGGATGCAAATACATTTAACGGATATATGCATCTCTTTCTAACTGTGCTTAAGCAAAGACCTCCAGTTAAGTATCGTTTTATAATACCTTATCTTACTAATCCTTACTAATATTATAAATCGGAAAGTGAGTTTGTTTGTTTGTTCCACTTTCACGCCGTAACTACTAGACCGATTGCTTTGAAATTTTGCAGACGTGAAGTTAGAATTCTGGATTAAATAATAGGGTACTTTTTATCCTGGAAAAATTTGATATTCTCGAGGGAAAACGAAATTATTGGTATAGATGGCGCTGTGTGTATTGGTATATGTCACATAGGCTACTTTTTACCCGACTGCCAAAGAAGGAGGGTAATGTTTTTCGAGTGTATGTAAGTATGTATGTATGTCTTTTCCTTTGTGACCACCTGTAGCCTAAACGGCTTGATGGATTTTGATGTATGAGGTATCGTTAGATTTGTCTTGATTACGGGAGTGTCATAGGATACATTTTATCCTAAAAGTCCCACGGGATAAAGACATAATAATATTTTTTCTAAATTTCCCTTTAAAAAAATATGTATGCGGTATCATTAGATTCATTTCAATCACGGGAACATGTTAATTCTGCGTCAACGCAAAGCAACTCATGCGTTAGCAAGCAAAAAGATAGGGCGTGGCCTGGCATGCGGCGCGCGGCGCGGTGCGGAGGGGGATATGCTCGAGTATACAGCCCGATTGCGGGCACAGCATGAGGGCACACGTCGTTGACGATAGTCTTCTACATCTACAACATTTTCGTTAAATAAAAACAGCTAAAAAGTTATAAATAAAAAAATTATTATTAAAAAAACAAAATACCCGACTGCACACTAAAAAAAGAGTAAAACAAGCCCCACAATAATATTGATCAATCAAATGCTAAAAACTAATTATGTAATACCGTTTAAACAATACCTATATTAAAATACACTACAATATGTGTTCGTAATCGATAGTTAAATAAACAGAAACTTATTTTGAATACAAATTTACTGAATATAATTTATAAATGTTGATGGAAAGCATCGCAGGCGGGGACCACCTTGACCGCCACCAACGAAAATTCTGCTAAATGGTGCACAACCGAAATGACTATAAATAAGCCTCTGTTGGTCCCCGCCTGCGATGCTTTCCATCAACATTTATAAATTATATTCAGTAAATTTGTATTCAAAATAAGTTTCTGTTTATTTAACTATCGATTACGAACACATATTGTAGTGTATTTTAATATAGGTATTGTTTAAACGGTATTACATAATTAGTTTTTAGCATTTGATTGATCAATATTATTGTGGGGCTTGTTTTACTCTTTTTTTAGTGTGCAGTCGGGTATTTTGTTTTTTTAATAATAATTTTTTTATCATTTTGTGACGCGAGCGGAGCCGCGAGTAAAAGCTAGTATGTATTATAAATGCAAAAGTTTGTGTGTATGTTTGTTACTCAATCACGTCATAACGGCTGAAGTGATAGAGATGAAATTTGCAACAGAGATAGATTATGGTCTGGAATAACACATAGGCTACTTTTATCCGACGGAAACGCGGGCAAAGCCGCGAGTAGAAGCTAGCAATAACATTTTTATTTATTTATTTATTAAGGGGGACAAAAAACAGTTACATATTAAAATTTTACATAAAGTGTTACACTGAACAACAGCAACAATAAACATGTAACGCGCACACAATTTAGTATAAAGTATTTTTTTAAAGGGGAAAGTCATCGAATGACTGCCCCCGCCTGGGTGAGGCGGGAGGGAGTGTCAGACTCTTACTGACTAAAAACCACCCCGTTCCTTCTCCTGCACGTCGAGCCGGAGCCTCGGTTACCCGTTAGGTTCTCCGCGACTTAGTATAAAGTATAACGGCAATAATGACCGTGTTACGGTAGTGTTATCGTAATTTAATTAAATTAAAGTTTACTAAATATAAATAACACATAAAAAGATAGGATAAAAACAAAAAAAGAAGTAACTAATTAATAACCAACCATTACTGTAACAATCCAGCAGTCAGAAGCCCCATGGCCTGCTTTCTAAATCTATGTTTCGAAAGCGGAAACATGTCCAGCCCTACGATATGCGAGTTGTATGTTTCAAAATACAGATCGGAGAGAAGTGGCACTAACCGTGTACCTCTATAAAATTTTAAGAGGTAGTATAGAACACTGTGGGGTACTGGCAGAATTAGGGGTTTGTGTACCGGATGAGTGCGTGGTGCCGCGCGCACTGCGCTCTGTGGCGGACAATATACACGTGTACATCTGCACGCTGACTGAGGTCGCGAAGGTTACATACTTTGTAAGATGTAGATAAGATATAGTAGTTAGTATACTTCTTTTTTTATTTGCTAAAAAGTTTGTTTGCTGAAAGTTTATCTTATGTCAAATTACTTTGTCGCATTAGACTTAGTCTGTTATGACAATTTTAATATAATATGTGTGTGCAATAAAAAAAAATGTAAATTACATAAGTAAGTATGTAGACATAATACGTAAGTAAGATGCCGTATGGCATTCAGTTCGTCTTTAGTGCCATTATTTAATCAAATTGTGTACAATAATACAACCCGTCTAAATATTTCTTTTCACTATATCCACCCAAAGGTTATCTGGTACAAATCACTATAAGTGATAAGACCGCCTTTGTGCCCATTATTATTTTTATTTATATTTGTCATTTCCTTTTCTGTATGTACTATATTGGTGGCCCGGAGGTTTAAGAGGCTCGCTTCTCATGCATGAGGGTGCGGGTTCGAAACCTACCAACGGCAAGTGCCAATGTGACTTCTTCCGAGTTATATGTACTTTCTAAAATTATCTAAACACCACTGACAAACGGTGAAGGAAAACATCGTGAGGAAACCCGGGCTTATAATTTCCAATTATAGGTCTGTAATCGCCAACCCGCATTGAGCAAGCGTGGCGATTAATGCTCAAACCTTCTCCGTGTGAGAAGAGGCTTTGCTCGTCAGTGGACATTTACAGGCTGTTGATAATAATTGATAATAATGTGCTATATTATTAATGGTGTACAATATAGTTGTATTCTATTCTATTAATTATTTTTTAAATACATAAGTAAGTATCTCACAGTGCACTTGTTCTCCTCGTCTCCCTCGTCGACGTCGTGTAGAGTGACGGTATACTGCGGGTTCTTCCAGAATGTCTCCAGGTAGTTCCTGCACCCTCCCGCCGTCACACCTGGAACCCACGTACTAAACGTTACATACATAATATCATGCCTTTTATAGGCAGAGGTGCCCATTATGCCACTACAATGTAACACCCACTTTCCCATGTAATAGGGGGTGAGCCTATTGCCATATACCGGGCACAATTCCAGACTCCGTGCTACTACTGAGGTTTTTTACAAACCCAGTAATACTTTGCCCGACCCAGGAATCGAAACGAAGTATCGAAATGAAATAAAATCGGGACCCTAAAATATCGAATTATAGAATCAACTATCAAGAGTATTAAGCGCGTTCGGGGCTCTGATTGGCAGGGCCCAGTGAACCAAGCAATGCGAGCCCCAAACACGCTCGATACTATTACGTTGCGAATGCGATAGTTGTTCGTGCTTGGTACTCTGACTACCGAACGGGGTCTCGTATCGATTACTTTAAACAAGACAATCTTGTGCTACGACCTCAGTTGAAGTGTTATAATACCTTGCTTCGGTACTGTTGGGTGGACCGGAGTGATACCACGGCCGAACAGAAAGCTGGCGTGACACAACGGTTGCGATGTATTTTACCGCGTGAGGTTACTGGAGGCCGAATCCATAAAACCGTAATCCCCAAAATGTTAAATAACTTGTAACTTCTATGATGTTGCAGGTGTTCATGGGCGGTGTTGATTGCTTACTATCAAGTAATCCGTCTGCTCGTTAGTTGCTGTTAGTATGAATGCAGTATATGCTAACGTCTAGTAAATTAACTATAGCGCCATCACGAAGTGCGTTTTGTCTTTTACTTCAAGTAGGCTCTCCCTCTCTCTCTCTCTCTCTCTCACCGGCTCGGTCTGTGACGCGTATCAATTTGCATATAATTAACAGTTAAAGTAATCTAAAGTGCTTTATTTATATACAACAGTTGCCCTATGCGATTTAAAAAATGATCATGTTTATTAATATAGAATTATGAACATTACCTCGAACCCACTCTCCCTCGAAGACGGACATCTCCCACTTCTTGGTGCATCCTTCGGGACATTCCTCGGGGTCCAAGGAGTCAGGGTTCAAGTTACAGATCTCCACTCTGGAAATATTAATCATTATACTCATCAAGTGCCCATTGCTGAGCAAAGGCCTTCTCACACGGAGAACGAATGAAGTTTAATCACCACGCTGCAAGTTGGTGATTTCAAACTTATAATTAGAAATTAAAAGTCAACATTTCCTCGTCATGTTTTCCTCATAATGCTTGTATAGTGTCTAAATAATTTTAGAAATTACATATAACTCGGAAAAGGTCACATTGGTCCTTCCCAGATTTCGCCTCAACGTCCGGGCTACAACGATTTTATTTAAGGTATGTTTCACAATAACTGGTCTCTATGTACAAGACATAGGTCTGTCGCGGCATTCGAGTGGTCTGTTCGGCTCCTATAGATCGTAACATGATATTTTAAAGCCTATCTATCACCCTTCTCGATAAATAGACTATCTAACACAAAAGGTTCAATTCGGACTTAACAACAAACAAACAGATTCTTCAGCTTTATATAATAATAATAAAGAAAAAAGAACAATAAAGTCTATTAACATAACATCTGTATGAACTATCTGCCACATATTATGTTTATGGGGTACTTATGTGAAGGTGGTGTAACAGGCGTTAAATCTTTAGTAAAAAGATAATAAATTACCTCGAGAAATGGTTAACGAAGTCCTTGAAGGACATCCAGAACTCTCCGTCATCATCGAATGTGAGTCCCATCTCCTCCTTCTCAGATTCCGGGATGAATCGCCATTCTGGTGACCTGTGGACGACATTTTGTTAACATATTATTGTTATTTTTCATTTTCAGCATAATCGTCCCACTGCAGGGCATAGGCCTATTCGGAGTCGCAGAGAACCTAACAGGTAACCGGGGCTCCGGCTCGACGTGCAGGAGAAGGAACGGGGTGGTTTTTAGGCAGTAAGAGTCTGATACTCCCTTCCGCCTCATCCAATTCGATGATTTTCCCCCCTTAAAAAAAAGGGCATAGGCCTTCCTACCCTCCTTCCATTCCTCTCTATGTAAAACTTTTTGGTTATATTATATATTTAAGACATTTATTTCTCAAAAACAACTTACATTGACTTGACTGAGAAATACAAAACCTACATAAGTAGGTATAGAATGCGAACCAGTACCCGAACCAATATATCCTTGTTTATGAACAACCAAAACATTACACACTTAAAACATACAAAACAAAGTTACTTTGAGTAGTCGAGGGTAATCTTAAAAATATTGGGTCAAGAATATCAAGCATTATATTTTTACTATTAGGAATTTGCAATAGCAATAGTCTTATTATGCATTCCTCAAATTCCTCAAATTCCTAATCCCTAAAAGGCAGGTAACGCACTTGCAACGTCTTTGGTGTTCCAGGTGTCCATGGGTGTCGCCGATTGCTTACCATCAGGTGATCCGTCAGCTCGTATACTGGTTTCTCCCATAAAAATAGGCGTCAAGTAAATTAAATCAAATAATTTGTAAACAAAGGTGATATTTAATATACAGATCAGGGGAAACCGCGCGAAGGGAAATAACTAGTCAGTAAATATAGATAATAAGAAATAATGATAGACATACTTATCGCTCCAAGGTCCATTCCACTCGGCCTCATTCCCCCACGGGTTCCGCAGTCGCAGCAGTGGTATCTTCCCGCTGCGGCCGGGGGTCTCGATGTCCACGTACTTCACCTTCGTTATGGAGTACGCGTGGCCGCGGATCAGGCCGGCGGGGGTCTCCGCCTCCAAGATGTTGGGGTCAGGCTGAAAATTCATAACATCACGCCTTTTATCCCTGAACGGGTAGGCAGAGGTGCACATTATACCACTGTAGAATGTAACACCCAATTTTCACTATTTATGTTATGAGTCCCATGTAATAGAGTGAGCCTATTGCCATATACCTTGCACAATTCCAGACTCCGTGCTACTAATGAGATTTTTAAAAAACCCAGTAATACTTTGCCCGACCCGGGAATCGAACTCGAGACCCCTTGCCCGGCAGTCGCACTCGCAACCACTCGGCCAACGAGGCAGTCATAAACACACATTAAAGGTTAAATAAAAGCTTGTAAAACCATTTTTTTTAAGGGGGGAATATCATCGAATGACTTCTCCCGCCTAGGTGAGGCGGGAGGGAGTGTCAGACTCTTACTGACTAAAAACCACCCCGTTCCTACTCCTGCACGTCGAGCCGGAGCCCCGGTTACCCGTTAGGTTCTCCGCGACAGCTTGTAAAACCATTGTACAAGTATTTTACCTCAATACTGCACCCGCTGAGTGAGTTCCTCTCGTACGCTTTGAGCAGTATGGTGTAGAAGTTGGGAGGTAACTCCGCTATATCGTACATCTCCGTCACTCCTCCGGTGAAGTCCTCCATGGCCTCGCATGTCGAACCACCCTTTAGAGCTTCGTAAGAACCGTGCAATCTGAAATTATACATCATCATATGAAATCATCAACTAAATAAATAAAAGGCATCATCATTAGATATTAAAAAATAACAATATCATCTGTAAGTGGGAGAGTCATGCTTCAGCAATAATGGAATGGTTCGACCGGAGTGATACCACGGCCGAGCAGAAAGCCGGCGTGAAACAATATTTGTGTTGTATTTCACTGCGTGTGTGAGGTTACCGGAGACCCATCGCTTCCTTAAATCCCCCAATTTCTTAAATCCTTACTTAGCCTTTCCTAAATCCACAAAATACTAGCAACGCACTAATAACTCCTCTAGTGTTTCGGGTATCCATGGATGGCGCTGATTGATTACCATCAGGTGATCCGACTGTTCGGTTGCCGTCTTATCACTACATAGTATAAAACAAAGTCGCTATCCGCCGTCTGTCTGTCCCTATATCCCAATAGGAATAGGTGGTACCTTTGTACTTTAATTTTATGTATTGTTGTCCTTTATGTTGTATGTGTGTACATAAATAAATAAATACATATGTATGCTTAGATCTTTAAAACTACGCAACGCATTTTAATTCGGTTTTTTTTTAATACATAGAGTGATTCTTAAGGGAGGTTTATATGTATAATACTTGCATATTGTACCCGTGCGAAGCCGGGGCGGGTCACTAGTACCGTATAAAATAAAGTTATTATACAAAAATAGAACATTCTCCTCAATCTCTTTCTCTTCTAAACTAAACTACTTACTTGGCATATGCCTTCTCAAGCAGTGCACTCCAGAACTCATTTTGTTCGGAAGAGTGAAGGAAGACGAGCTTGCCACGGTACGTGGGGAGCCGGTCGTCTATCACCACGTCCACCCAACGACCGTACTGCCAGAAACTGGGGATTAACAAAAACATGGTGAGAGAAAGAAATAAAAAATGAGTTTCTTGCTTGTTCTTCTCCATAGGAATCTACACATTGGACCGAGCACTTAGCTTTACTAGAGGACACTTTTTATCATATTTGAAGTTCAAAAGTGCTTTTTTGGTCTAAACGAAACATTATCTAGACCTTGAAAAATCATTTATTTGGCAAAAAAGTAAAAAGAATAACATTGATGATTAATTATAATCCTTGCATTAGCCACAAGACTGCCACTACTGAACATAATTTTTACCCGAAATTATCAGGTCCAACCTAACAAAGGTTTAGCCTATTACATGGGCTCTCGGGTATTAAAACCTCCTATATTATGGGCTTGTCTTACCGGAAATGGAAGACTCCAGCATACTCCTCGTCAAAGCTCTGGTCATCTGGCACCACTTGGAAGTACAATCTGGAATATAAAGAATAGAATTTTTAACAAACAGGCTAAAAAAACTACGGAACTGATTCTTAAAAGTCTTAATTAGTAACTTTGCACTAGAAAGATATATAAAATATTTATTGTACACTCTTGGAAAGAAATAAAACATATAGGTATATGTTGTGCAATGGGTGGCCTTATCGCTTAGAGTCTCTTTCAGCCCCAGGCAACCTAAAGATGGATAAGGACTGACAGAAGAAAAATACAAAGAGTATTCTTTTTAAAAAGTTTAAATATGGCAAATTTCTTAGTTACATTATACGTTAAATTAATTAATTTATTTTAATTATTATTATTCCGAAGCGAAAGCCGCGTCGCGGGTCGCGGAATAGTGATCGCGAATATAAGCCTCTAGCATGGCTTGAAACTAGTCGAGTTCCTTGTCAAACAGTTACGTGGGTAAGCCGAAAACATAATAATTAATTTAATACCTATGTCTCACTAAAGTTTAAATATATACATTATACGTTCGTTCAAATATAATATTGAAGTAGCGGCTTACTTTCTATGCAGCGTGAGGTTGGCGACGGCGGCCAGCAGCCAGCAGTCGCCGAGCTCTCCCTGCTGGACGTCGAAACGACTGTAGCCCTCCACGAACAGTTGCGGGTCATCGCAAATCTCCTGCGAAACGAAAAACAAAGCATTTAACACAAAGTAACATAAGTTTTCCACGCCGGTCCAGAATGAGCAGGATCCGAGTAGCAAAAGACAGTAATGGAAATCTTTAGAGGACGCCTATGTCGAAAGACAAGCTGTTTTTTAACCAAACGCCGATATACGAAGATATAAGTAAGAATTTTTTTTAAGAGGGGAATATCATTGAATGACTTCTCCCGCCTGGGTGAGGCGGGAGGGAGTGTCAGACTCTTACTGACTAAAAACTACCCCATTCCTTCTCCTGCACGTCGAGCCGGGGCCCCGGTAACCTGTTAGTTTCTCCGCGACAAGATATAAGAAAGATGTAACATTAATAAAATATAGGTAGTAAGTTAATTAATATTAAATAATGTTGGTAAGTTTAAACAGCAGCGGCTAATTTTATTTTATTAACATAAGGTTTTCATGCAGATACCATTTAACAGATCTGAATATTTGGCATAGGTATGTATAATTTTGAGTCCGGAGTAATGCATATTATTATGATACTTTTTATCATGACATCGAGTGTGAAGTTAGTATTTCAGATACACAACTGTATGACTTTTTCTTTTTTATAATGTCGGGCGTTTGGCCACTATTTCGGTAACCGATGTTAAGGCCTTCGATCGAACACGCCTGCTCAGAGGCAACCTATTCATTTGGGCCTTGAAGACACTCTGGCGAAGACATCCCCGGGAAACACAAGCTCTGGCAAGGGCTTCTACTACTCAGCGGTCTTACAATTGGAATGATCCAGACATACAAATGTGTACGTAATCCATTAACGGTCGCCATCGCCAGTCTGTCTGCATATTAGTCACGTAAAGTACCTACGAGTAACAAATTGCCTCAATTCCATGACAATTAAATTAACTACATACTATTAACTTTAGACATGACATTTTCAATAATTGCTTTGTACTTTTGTTTATTTTTTATGCAATACTAGGACGGTTTAATTTTGAGCCCGCGATAACCCGTTGAAAAGTGTTGAAAATCATCCCCTAAAGTTCATACAAAAGTAGTCTCTAAACATTGGATATAAGGTCTATAATGTAGTTAGTGGAGACTTATGGGAAGTCCCGCTTTTCATTGAAGGCTAATTCGTTCAATAGACCTTTCTGCGAATCGCTTTATCTGCAAGTGAGAGTGTGTTATTAACTATTTTATCTGTAACTTTTCTCTTTGTATTGTTAAATGGAAAATGAATGTTAATCAGGACATTCTGAATTATTTGTTTTTATGAGTAATTCCATGAAAAAAAAACAGACGTCAGCGCTCCTAACAATATCTCATAAAAGGTACGTCAGGATACTAAATAATTTTGTATGTCTGCAAAATTATTTAGTATGCAGGTAAGAAAATTAAGATTGGTACTGTATAGAAAACAGTAGGTTACCTTAGGACGTAGCCAAGTGATTGGTCTATCGAGTCTCTCCTTATAGTAAAGACTGCGGTCATTGGCTGGGAACTCCGGGTCCTCGAACAACCTGCCTTCGGAGTAGCAACGAGCCCTGATCTCCTTGAAGTCTTGATACGTAGACGGACCAAAGTTTGATGGACGGGTCTCACCGAGCTGGAAGCAAAAGAATTAAAATTAATTTAATTGATATTTTGTAATGTACTCAGATAGTTTAATATATTTTTGGGTAATACATAAAGGTAAACAAATGCTAAAACACCGTAATAATACTATGACAAATAAGATGAGCGAATTTGGGATAATCGTTTGGAAGTTTTGCGCGTATTATAAAATATAACGTTTCACCGGCTTTATTTATGTTACGATTCACAGGAATTATAGTTTAAAAATAAAAAGGTACGTAATTTGATATCCAATCTAAATCGAACATAACACAACATCACGCCTTTTATCCCCGAAGGGGTAGGCAGAGGTGCACATTATACCACTGTACAATATAACAACCACTTTTCACTATTTATGTTATGAGTCCCATGTAATAGGGGGTGAGCCTATTGCTATATACCGGGCACAATTCCAGACTCCGTGCAACTACTGAGATTTTTTAAAAAACCTAGTAATACTTTGCCCTACCCGGGAATGGAACCTGAATCGAACAACGGCAAAAACCTGGCAAAGTAAATAAAGGCTGGTTTAAGATTGGTGCACCTACGCAAACCACAAAACCAAATTTTCGTAAGCGCATTTCAAGCGATGGTGTGATCCAGGTCATTATCGTACGATAAGAACTGTAAATACTAACTTTACAAATAGTATTATTATTATATTATTACCTATATTACTTATTATTGTTATTCGTGCGAATTTAAAGTGCAAACTTATGTTGCCAATGTCATATGCACTCAATAGGTATTGTTTCATACGGAAAATCCAAATTCACAGTTCAGCTGTGCAGATGCAGACTGTTCGAATGTTTTGTTTTCGCAAATTAATTAGAATTGTTCCTGGTGTATGATAATGGGTTCCATCCTTACTATCCTTACTAATATAATATTATAAATTGGAAAGTGAGTTTGTTTGTTTGTTCCGCTTTCACGCCGTAACTACTAAACCGATTGTTTTGAATTTTTGCAGACGTAAATTAAAGAAGTCTGGATTAAATAATACAACACAGGGCTTACTCTGAGTTTTGTTTTACGTTTAACGAGATCTGATTGGTCGGTTTATTGGACCAGGCCAATCAGAGCGCTGAACGCGGTAACGTTTCTATCTCGCTAAAACAAAATCGTACTAAACCCTCTGAGGAGGTGCCAGTGCGTTGCCGAACTTTTTAAAAAGGAGTACACTCTTTTAAGGTTTGATGGTCGCATAGGTTCAGAACTACCATAAAACGAATGTTATTATAATTACAGTCTTATCATTAAGTAGATTTGTTCAGAACCATCAGTTTCTACATAGATGAAGGTACCTAGATAAAGGTAATGAAATCTCTAGTACAAGATAATGGAGATTAATTAACAAATATAAATTTCACACCTTGCAGTATCAATATTACCTATGAATAATTATTTTTTTTATACCACGACCGTGGCAAAATGCACACGGCCCACCTGATGACCTGATGGTAAGCGGTTACCGTGGCCTATGTACGCCTGCAACACTTAGGGCAAAACATACGTCTTGCCGACCCTTAAGAAATCTATTCACTCACTATTTTGATACTACGAAAACTAATCGATTTTAAATTTTTATTTAATGAAAATCTCTGAATCGATTTAAGTTTTTGATAGTAACTCCATACAACTAACGTCAAAAATCGATGTTAAACCATTGTTAGATTGGGGTCGGTTATTTATTTCCGATACGATACTAACGGATGGATATACATAGACATAATGTATGTTCTATTGTCTTATACAGCCGTAATCAATGGCCGTTAGACTATTGTTCACACGTGCTTATCAAAGCCGTTTACTTTATCGATTTCGTTTGTAATCTTCAAAACTACTAGAGTACCAGAAGATTTCTTGAAGAGTAAAATGTTCTTGGTTAAAAAAAGTATAGCGTTATAATCTTCATTGAGATATACTTATGTGTTTATTAATTAATTACCTACTTACTCCTTACATGTTACTTTCAGTATCCAGACGATGACACAGTCCGTAATATTCATAACTATCGTCTTATTTCTTTTTTGCTTTGCCATGAGCAACATAATTTAATCGTATATCCAAATACATATTATGCAAACAGTCAAATAAATAACCGAAACAGAAATATAAATATTGCCAAAGCACCATTCTGGCAACAATAAAGCAAAAGTTTTTGGAATGGCGACATCAAGTCTAAACCTAAATTCGCCTTATTTGGCAAGATTCCTATTTTCTGAAGGCTTTCACTGGGAGAGGTAACACCAAATCAATTTCGGTCAATACAGATTAAAGGTTCGTACGCACAAAGTTAAATAACTCTCTAGATAGATAAGAAAATATTGAAGTAAATCACAAACCCAAAACAGTTGTTCACCAGTGGGCATGAACATTTTGCTGCCGTTATAACTGGGGGGCATCCTCAGCCTGTACTCCTTATGATGGTCTACAGTTGAGAGCCTCTTAGCCGGCGTCGTTTCTTTGCTACGTACGTTTGTCAATGTAACTTTAGGAGACCCAATCACTTCTTTAGAGAAAATCATATTTTTGTTAGTCAGTGCATTGCTTCGTTCCATTGCTTCAACCTTTTTGGTAGACATTTCTGGTTCTTCTATAGATTTCGTTTTCGGTTCCTCAACTTTTGTGGCCCAAAAAGGTTTGTAAGAACTATTTCTTCGCACATTTGATTGTTGGTAGGTGTAATCCGAGACTTTGGCTTTTCTGAAGTCTTCGAACATTCTCGTAAAGAATCCAGAAGACTCCTTGCCATTCTGTTCTGTTTTCGCTGTTTTCTTTTCTCCATCTTTTTTCTGCCTTACTATTCTTCCAGATTTTGGAGATACTATTGAGACTGATTTCTTTTTCCATGTTTCTGCAGCGTTGGAGACTGTAGCGGTGGAATAAAAAGTCTTTAGATATCCGACCTCCTCTTTGCTTAGCTTCACAAAGGTATCTTCCGTTATTTCGCTAGCCATTTTCGTTCGTCTGTGTTCGTACGTCGAGTTTTCGGAAGTAACTGGTACAGCGGTAGTGATTTACTTAAATAAATGTTCATTAACCGGGTTTTCAGTGTTCTAGTGCAAGGTCGCTTGATTTAGAAATGATACCTTAATAGGTTCGTAGTGCTTTGTTATTCAAATTCAAATTCAAATTCAAAGTCTTTATTGCTTCATGTGTGGGTACCAAGGTGTTATACATAATACATATGATTTTGGTTAAGCAGTATCAACATGACCCTGTAAGGGCGCTGCAATTTACTGTTCATTGTTAACTAGTAGGGCCAGTTTTCCTTCAGTCTATTGCTATATTTGAACTAATGGATGTTGTTTAGTAGGAAAACGAGGAAATATCTATTTTAATCGGTATCCCCCTGACCAATTAAATATACCGATAAAAGGCAATTAAAACTATCACAATGATAATCAAGTTAAATTGTGTTGAGTTTAAAAGCTAAAGAAAGTAATAAATCAGCGTTTAGATGTCGCGCGTCCTTGATGAGAATAACTATCGATTTCAGTGACGACTTTAAACTATTCATAAGTAGTAAGTATTCGTGAGGGATTGAAATTTAACATTTGGCCTAAATTATTAGGTATTAAAATTCACAAAAACAAAGCATTTTTGTTAACTGAATTCTGAATTACTTGCACAAAATTTTATTGCACTTTTCCAATAACTTTTTGCTACACAAGCACTTGAATAAACTAAAGAACAACGCACAAAAATAGAACTTCACTAATAAACTAAGAATGAAATAAAAACGATTTTAATTACTATGCGGTGCCCACTTTACAGCAGTAATAACTGGACATATTGACTGCTGGCGTCCGACTGATAACACTGTTAAATGCGATGTCATAAGGACAAACTTCTATGTGTGAGTGGCGGAAACCTATAGAGAATTAAACAGTACGGTGGTGAAACTTCAGGGCAGGGTTTCCCAACCTTTTCCTGGTCAAGGACCACTTTTATCATTCTTGTTGAGTTAGGGACCACTTATTACGTTTTTCATGAGGTTCTACACTAAGATTTTCATTTACTCAATAAAAATAGTGACTTTTTGATTATTGAAATCTGTTCCATTTTTTAAGCGGGTATCGTTACTTTTTTTCCTGTCCGGGTGAGGTGAAAGGGAGTGTCAGACTCTTAATGACTAAAAACCACTCCGTTCCTACTCCTGCCTTTCGAGTCGGAGCCCCTGCAAGCCGTTAAGTCCTCCACGGGGATAACGTTACTAAAGAATTAATTTTAAAGTCCTCCGCGGGGATAACATTACTGAAGAAATAATTTTAAAGTCTTAACAGATTTTTTTTTTTAAATGACAGATATTAATTTTATTGTACAAACAAAAGTTGTCTGTCAATCGACTGTACTCCTTATACGAAATTACCTACAGTAATTACAGTGTTTCACACAAAATGCTACTCTAAAGCTAAACGCAGCTTCAATAATTAGAACACGGGCCCTAACACAGGACCCTGAGGGACACCACGTCATAACTTAGGTGTGGTGTATGACCCACCTGCTTTTATCAACTCATCGAATCTATGGTGACATAAAAAGATAATTACTGTACTGTTTGTAATATGTACAAAAGCCTTTTAGCTTAATAAGGTTTAAAAAGGTATGGTTAACAGTATCGAAGGCTTAACTTGTGAACCAGAACTAGTGTTGTGATGCTACAAGTCGTATTAAACAGTGTTAATATAGATTGAATTAACAGTAATGGGAAGAAAAAATAAACCTAACTAAAGTAAGTCTATTTTTAAGTTTAACCTTAATATTGATAAGAGCTTTGGTAAGTTGTGTTGATTTTACGATAAAATATCGACGTTTTATTGATAAAGTACATATTCGCAAATTCAAGGTCGGTTCAGCTTACGTGTTAAGTGTGATAATACACATGTCAAAATATAATAGCCTGGTTTTTTCCTGGTAGATACATACGTAGACGTTTTTAAAGAAAATTTTAAATTTTATTTCCAACAATAGCAGTGATTGCCT